TAATGGGTTGTGATGACTTGAGTAACTTTGTTTATGACCAAGACCAACTGATTCTTTGATCATAATAATTAAGTAAAATCATTAATGACAGCTCGACAGCTGTATCCAGAATTAATCCCAAACAAGCTGTTATGCCTTTTTCGGGGATTGATCTGAATGCCTTTGTATTAATTTGAAGGCAAGCACAATAACCATTGAACTACCTAGTCTATGATAATAGGATAAGTATTCTATTATTTTATATCATCCAGTGGACTATATTCATGTATGAAATAAGTAACGTTTATAACATACAACTAGGCAAATATATATTTTTGTGTTGCAGATAAATCAGTAATACGAGAACCTACCACATCCGGGATAAAAAGACAAAAAAAGCTCACAGTAGAAGAAGTGTACTCTTCACAGACTGAAGATGAAGATGATCCTGGCTACCCCACTTCAAGTACTATAGCTCCTCACAAACCACATGAAGTGGCATTATTCATGAAAAAAAGTGACATAAAAAAAAAGCTAGCCTGTGGGACTCACATTCTTGTTGAATATAAAGGGCCCAAATCTAGCAAGTGTAAATCACAAACCCATGTTGGAATTTGTCAGGGTGAACTTAATGGGAATGGGGATATTGAAGTTATGTTCATGAAACCAAGTGACAGTGATTCCTTATTTTATGTTAATCAAACCGATGTGTCACTTGTGAACATCGATCAAATTATTGCTTTGATGCCAATCCCTAAAATTATTATGAAAGGTGATCAAATGTTCTATTCATTCTAATGTGGACATTCAAAAAAGACCTTCTCTATTTAATATTTTATTTTGATTTCTTTTTCATTAATCAAAATAGTTATCAACTATTTTTCTGTCCTAACTATTGTTGTCCTGTGGTTTCAAACTTACTCGTTGTGAATCTAAATTTACAAAATTAAATTGTTGTAACCTAATATTGAGTGTCTTCCTACCTATACCCTAACAGATTAGTAAACTAAGGTATGTTTTGGATTGATTATCAATGAAGATTAAGATATACAGCGAAAATATAATAAAAAGTCACTCTCCTGTCCAAGAAGTCTCTCTCCTGGCCGTCGAAAATCTTAGTATTTTTTTTTTTTTGTAAATGACTATAAAAAATGTGTGATTAACTGTAACATCTGTTTTAATATACTGTTTTGTATCTTCACAATTTTTTTTAATTAGTTGTGTCAAAGTTTTATTTGTAACTAGCTGTGTACCCGTTCTACGCACGGGGATCTTATAATATTCAGTTGAAACCTTCTTATATAAAGAACAGCAGTTGGTTTGCATATTTTAAGATATGCTGGCCAAACTATTATACATAGCTTCATTTTATGTTGTTTTTTGTTGTTCCGGATCGGTATGACAATCAATAAAAGGTTAAATTACCTCTGTGTCTGCCGGTCGATCCTATAACGGTAGGCTTACTTTTATTTTTACTATCTGATCTCGTTTGCATGGCTCAATCACGTCCTGGTTGAAGTTCGTTCGCTACGCTCACTCACCTGTATGTTGGAGCTCGTTCGCTGCGCTCACTTTCCTTCAGGTTAGCTCGTTCGCTACGCTCACTTGCCTTCAGGTTAGCTCGTTCGCTACGCTCACTCGCCTCCAGGTTGCAAATTAGCTGTTGTCATAAATGTAAAAGAAATAATAGTGCTAGTGCTGCACCCTGTTGGTAATCCTTGTAACTTTAATGCTATTGAACATCACAGAACAGAACCAACTTGTTTAATTGAAACAGCTGTTAAGATTCAATAATTTCATTTCTCATAAGGTTAACATGGGCTTCCAGAAATTCCACGTCAAAAATCGACAAAAACTTGATTTTCAAGGGTTTACTGTTAAATATCTAACTGTCTCATATTCGATGAAATACGTCTAAAACCATCTCATATATGTATAGTATTTGGAAAATAAGTTTCAGGCGGGACAGTGCTATAGTTATTGAGGAGTAGTTGTAATAAAGTGCGTATTTTAGCGTTACCAAGAGAATGACAGATAGACAGACAGACAGACAGACAGACAGACAGACAGAAATTGAGATAAGGTTTGATTCGGTTTCTCTGACCTATGAAATGTAAAAATAACCAAAAAGTTCATTATTCTAAGCAATGTACAGACAAAACTCTAATTTTATTTATATAGATTTTTGATCCAGCGGAATACCCAACTTTCACGAGAATCACCCAAATACTTTGTTTAGTATTTTGAAAATTCTTTCTGTACTCATGATATCTTAAAGAAATACACTAGTAAGTATCAATAATATTAAAATGATAATAGCTACTTACTTGCAACATCCATTGAGCTTAGAGACTTTGAAACTCTTGAAGTTGGCTGGATTTTGGCTAAATTCTTGTGCTTAGAATTTAAACTGTGTTGGTTCAAGGCTTGAATGAAGAATTACCTTTTACAACCTATGAGCATTTTATTATACAACCAATTGAGGGAAATTACATTTATGTGGTATTCCCAGATTCAAGAACAAATAATTAACTATGTTGTTTACCTTTTGGTTGCCAGGTTCTTGATGAAATTATAAGTTAACGCTCAATCTACATTTCGCCACAAGTGTGGCATCATCAGGAGCTGTTTCTTGTTTCTTCTCACATCGCACTATCACTTAGTCACTAAAAACTCACTATCCTATTTTATTTAGACTTATTTACATTCGCGGACGAGAAGCCAGTACAAAGACAACAGCCGGGCAGTCGGACGGTGACATATGTAGCGCCCCCGGTCCGTGCTTGTGCTCGCACGCCGCATGCTTGGAATTCCACACTCGTGCCACGAATCGTCATTCATTTTTAGACTATTTTACGGAGATACCTAACAAATTGCCATGTCTTAGCAAATAGCTCAGGGGCTAGAAACAAGAATATTCATATGGTGATTTATTAGTTGTGAAATGAAATTAGATTGAGTACAACAACATAATATTATAACAATTGAAATATCAGAGTATAATGACGACAAGTACTGAGAAATTATAAACATTCGCCAAAGATATATCGGCATACACTTTTATATCCTTCCAAACGTGTTCTGTCTGAATATTTCAGATGTGTTTAAATGGAAGTATCGACAATTTTAATGTGTACTTTAAACTGTCGGGCTAATATGATTTTATCAAAACTGCATGATGAAGATGAGATGACACACTGTTGAGGTTACTCACTGTCTGACGATTTTCAAAGCGCTGTCTCAGGTAATATCCATAGAAGAGGCTACTTACGACTATCATGCATCTTTCATTTTTAATTTCAGAATCCTTTCAGCCTGTGTTTCCCTGGAAACAAATATGCACCAAATTAGTAAATAGTAAGAAGTCTTATGATTTATATGATCTGTTTTGCAGGGGATACAATTTGCAAACCCTATACATACTGGTACTGATAATACCTGGGGGGAAGATTGCACTGTGACCTGTAAGATCTATTGTGTCCCCCGAACTAGTCTCCAGTCTTTGCCTAGAGAATCTCCTCCAATCCTAACTCCTTAATGAAGTTCAGAGTCAGGTGGGGTTCTAACTCGGAAAATCTCCAACTGCTACTTGGTGCATTCCCAAGCTCTTGGCTCTCTTTCACCCAACTGCATCGCATTCAGCCAATAGTTTTCTGAGTGTTTCTTCCCCTGATTGGCCAGATGGTCAGTCACATTCCTAAATGATGTTCATTTTTTACTCAGAAACCTCTTGAGCCTACAATGTCTAATTAGAAAACCTGTTTACATTCTCAAACTGTTCTTACTCGTGGGTGTGCCCCTTGTGTCCCCCTTTTTCCCTTTCTAGGCATCGGTTTGTCCTGCGCTGCTGATGCCTTCCACTTACACTTTCTTCCCGGCTTCATCAGGTTATATGACCAGTTCTAAGAAGCGTAGATACTAGCAGGTTCTTGCCCTGCTCAGCCCCACCCTACAAAGATTGTTCCTACCCATCAGGTTCTCCTGGTTTTAGGTAGTTCTTCAAAGATCGGGGCATTTTACCTCCCCTTCCATGACTTGATTATATTTCAGTTTTTTTTAATTACAATTACTATTGGACCATAAGAGGTGTTATAGTTTACAACAAATTTCCCTTTCAGTTTGGCATTATTAAAAATCAAGATTAAAAGAAAGACGATAATCCTGTGTATTTAAACTTGCAAGGTTTTTAGATAAAAAGTAAATGTTTACTACTGCTGTATTAGTAAAGTTAAAGCCCACTAATCCCACATCAGAAAATCCGGCATTTTAAATAATGTGTCATTGGCTAATAAATAATAAATAAAGCTCTATAAACATTTTCTTAACGCTGTTTTAAGTCACATTTTCGCCTTGGGAGTCTGACATCAGTTGCACTCGAAGGAATTTGGTGTGATTTTAATTATTTACCGTGGTTATTTTATAAGAAAGCACAATAAATACAGAATGATTACTCTCCGGCCGATGATTTCCTTTTGACATTCTAAAATAAGCAGTGATTTTTTTTTGCTAGCTTTGCAATAACTGTTTGTAACGACCACGCACGGGAAGGGCAGAAAACTCAATAATCTAACGCCGAGTTGAGAATTTAACACTTGACTTATTATGTCAAAAGAACAAAATTATTTGTAATGAGTTACTATCAATTGGAAATATAGAAAAAAAATTAAAGTGATTTGGACTGTAAATTGAAAAAATTTGACGATGGTTCTACATAGGCCTATGTTTAAGTTACAGGCATATAACTTCTAAAAGCACTTAATCCAAATAAAATATTGTATAATAATAAATTAAATACTTATTCGTATAAAATTCATATTGTTCTGAAATTTTTACTATGCTAAAGGATGGATAGGAACAATATTTTAAATTGGGGTTTTACATTTTCTTGTAGGAGACAGTTCACACTAAGTCAAGTTCATTTTAACAGTGTTTATTAAGTTAATTTGCATAGTAAACACTAAAAATAATTGTTAGTGTGAAATGAGTGTACATTTTGTATTCTTAATTAATTCTTATAACAGGTACAACAAAGTGAGGAAGCACAGTAGAGAAGTTGAGTTTGAGTTAGTCAGGGAACAAGTAGATGAGATCGACCAACTCATACAGAAAGGCCAAAAAGAGCTGGATTGGAACTCAGACAGTAAGTGCAGCTTCTTGTTCGACACACTTGATTCACTAGAGGGAAAAATCAGTTCAAATTAAATAGCTATTTAGTATTTACATTACAAGTGTAGTAAGAGCGTTTTTACATCACGCAGGTGAAAGTTGTGCAACGAGCGGAAGCGAGTTGCATAATTCTCCTAAGTAATGTAAACAAGCTCTTGCGTAACGTGTAACGTACAAGATTTTACCTGACCTGACAATTTACAGGAGGTTACGAACAAAATTTTTCATTATCCATTTCACTCATCTTCTAACAGTTCATTTACAAGCCAAAGCTAGGTTAGGAAAATTCTTCAAGACAAAACAATAAAATTCAAGCGCACAGCTGATTTCTAGCGTTGAACGTCGTTGGCTCCATAGAGTTATATTTTTTAGCTTAATAATATTTTTAGCAATGTTATTTAAATGGGTTTCATTACGTCACCGAGTGAGTTTTTTCAACTTTACATCACTCGTGAAGTAAAGAAGCTGTATACCTCTCGCTTGGGATAGGGAAGTTTAACATGGCAAATGGCGGGTTAGGTAAAAGTTATTTATGTATTTCAACTTAACCACTTAATTAATCTTAATACAAACTGAACGGCTGGGTAGCTGAGTGGTTAGTGCTCTCGTAACAATCAAAAGGCTGCCAGACCCATCCTGAGAAAATTCAAAAGCTTTTTGATGATTACCAACTGGACCCAGCTGTTACTGATCACTAGGTTTTAAATAAATGGTCCTGACACCTTATCTTTGTAAGAAAGATACACAGATCATCTCGCTCCATACTCATCCTTCACTCTTATTCGAGTTTAAATACGCACAAGCACATAGGTGGTGTCATCTAAATTGATTATAATCATAATCATGTTAGTTGAAATAGGCTATTAAATATTTGAATTGAAATCTAAAAGTTGAGAGATACTTTCAATACTTTATTTCAATAAATTATCCTAATTTACGGACAGCCCTTGAAGATTAATTGCTATCACCATTTGCTCATACATTACTTGTTCCCCAGACCTATGGCAGTTCATCGAGCGACTGAACGCTCTCGTAGAGGAGCTACAAGGTAGGATTCAGAAGACACAAGTCAACGTACAACAGATGGAGGCTGTGATGAGCACTTGGCGCAAACATCCTCTATTTGAGCGCAAGGACGGGAAGAAGGACACCTTACTGTTCATTGAGGAGAGAGCCGACCGTGCTGCTAAACGGTAATGTAAAATATTTAGGAAAATTTAGTATTACGGAATTAGGAGAATGGTGGATTACGGTCCTTCACCTGGCTAATAAAACATTGATATCTGCTTTTGCTTATAGTGTATGGTGAGGTCAACAAATTTTGAATTTTATCTCTAGTGGCACCGTACGGGTACTGCTGATCTTATTGGGCATTTGCGTTTTGTTGCCAGCAAATCCCTCTATCAATTTTTTTTTGCGGTTTTGCTTTTTCATTAATTTCCTAACCGTCAAATTATGGATGTGTCTGCACTGAGGTAAAACAGAGTTGAATCTTGTTACATAATTTAAAAAGGTACACACAGAAAGTGTATCATTTACTTAAAATGGCGACCATACAAAATTAGGTATTTTATGCCATTTGATTTACATGAACAGGATTATTTCTCTGCAAATAGGAATATGTTTGAATTTCCCTTGGTTGTTTGCAGATATGCAGAGATTGGTGTGGCTGCCAATGAGATTCACCAGCTGTTGAAGGAGAACTGCACACTGTTCAACATGGATAGCAACTTGGAAGGCAAGCAGTGGCTGGACTATGTCGTGTACGTGGACGGTATTGTGGCAGAGGCGCTCTTGAAGACCATTGGTTGCAGGTGGTTTACACAATAGATACGTTAAATTGTCAACAGTTAACCCCACAGCAATCATTAGTAGTCTGAATTTCCTGAAAAAATGGAGTGTTAGTATTAAATTGTTGGGTAAAGTAGATAGCAGACATGCAGAACCCATAATATTTCGACCCCTGGGGGACTTTATCAATTGTAGAGAAGGTGATCAGACACTTTGTAAACTATCACTTTCTCTACACTTCACAAAGTATCTCCAGGAACATAGAACATATTATATGATCTATGTTCCTACCTGTACTTCTTCAAGGTTAGCTAGCTGCTTTCCTCTTCATTCTATAATTGGTGGCTTGTGAGACATAAGGGTTTAAGCACATAGGCTTATCGATGCAGTGTTGGGAAGGAGCATGCTACAAGTAGCGACGCTACAGTAGCGCGCTACAGTAGCGCGCTACTTTTCATGTAGCGTTAGCTGAGCTACTTTTCTGATTTTGTAGCTAGCTACATTTTTTAAGTAGTTGTAGTGGAATTTTAGCTACTTTTCTCACTACATAAACATTGACTGAGATAGTAACTTTTATCACAACCTTACGTGCTTTCAAACTGAAATTTTCAAGAAATGTAGGCCTAACTACTTTCTTGGCTTTATACAGCTGGTCACAGCCGTTTCATTGCCTATTACAGCGTTGCATGGACATGGAGGTCATTATCTGAGTGTTATCCACATTATTGGCTCTTATTTACTTCATTTGCTACTCTATGATTACTGTCAGATAAAATAAAATTGCTAGACGCAGACTACGTTTAAACGTTGCTGGTGACAAGAAAAGCTATTGAATGCTTGCAAGTGATTGGCAGGGAAATTAGTTATAATTTTTTTAGTTTCTTTATTTTATCGATAGTTTCAACTTGGGTTTCAATAATGGAAACCAACACTAAACCTTAAAATGATGAGAAAGCTGGTCTATCATCAACATTTGCTTCCGCTGTCTAGGACTATTCCTATGCTATGCTATTGGATTTAAGACGAATGCCAAGCTCAATTGATAGGAATATATCTGTTTAGTGCTTTTAAGAGCAAGCGGAAAAGTAGCTAAAATTGTAGCTATAGCTACATTTCATTGTAGCTGTAGTTAGTTGTAGCTATCTACTTTTTTGGAACTGTAGCTGTAGCTAAGTTACTTTTTTGGAAGTGTAGCAGTAGTTGTCGCTAGCTACATTTTAAAAGTAGGCTAGCTTCCCCAACACTGACATATGTACTTACTCCCCTTTGTCTTGCAAACGTCAAATTCAAAATCCTGGCTTAGAGCCTTTCCTTTAACAAAAATAAAATAAGTGTTAATATTAGTTTTAGTTCAAGTAAAGCCTATAGGTAAGGATTTTGATTTATAGAATGAGAGGATAGCAGCTAACTCACTTCATAAGAATTAGGCCTACAATTAGGTCATAGAACACAGAGAGGACATATAAAACACACAATACCTATTTCATCTCCTGGGGAACTTTCTTAAGTATAAAAAACAAGAGATCACAAAAATATATTTTTTATGATTTCTTTGTTATCTACACCTGAAAAAGTCCCCTCAGGGGACAAAATATTATGTGTTTTACAAGCCTTCTGTGTGTTCTATGATCTACCTGTATTTCAAAGGTAAGCTAGCTATCCCTTTTAAGTCTTAAATAATTTAGACAACAGAGACAATTTTTTAAATATTTTACTTTGAAATAACTATTTTGGCTATTCTTCTCATCCAACTTTTTTTCTTATCCGATCTATCCAATGTTTGAAACTCCAACTGAATGTTCCAGCCTGGGCTATCTAGCGGAGCACATGGACCCGACCAACAACTTTGCTCCGCTGTTTGAGGCCCACCTAGAGCTGAGGGAGCCTGACTTGGTGTTTGTTCCTCCTCTAGACTCTGACAACCCTGACAATTTCTCCCACCTGGTCCAGGGTCTGATTGACGCTATCATCAAGATGGCCAATCTCATACCCAGGATAGCCACACACTACGACTTCTCTGACTATCAGGTCTCTCGTCTTTCTAACAATCATTTTTTACAAATATTACGTCAAATCTTTTTTTTTCTCTTCAACCTTCACTTTGAAGAGGTCCTTTATTAGGATTAAATACTATTGCTATCCTCTGTGACCTTTTATTGCGTTTCTATTAGCCTATCAATTTAAAAACATTCTATTTAGTTTAGAGAAATCAGTACTTTTTTTAAAGCACCTAATCATTGACTAATTACTGGTATATGCAGGCTGTAGCTGTACATTAAGAGTGTTAGACGTTTTATTTTATGTTACTAGCCCATTTATCCCCCGAAAGTTTGACTGCAAGCGTAAGGTTATGTTTTTATGGCTCAAGCAATATTCTTCAATCAAACAGCTGTTCAACAATAAGGTTTAAAATTTGTTTGTAAAAAAAACTCAAAACTGCAAAACAAAAAATCAGGTAGGCCTAATAACTCAAGAAAGTTATTTTTATAGGAAGCAAATTGCTATAAGTTTTAATATGCCGCCATTTTGGGCTAGTAGCCTAATATAAAATCAAACGTCTAAACTCTTCATGGGAATCCTGTACATACATTGGATCAGCTTGATAGCATTGGATACCTGGATTCGGCATTGTAATGGGGAGATCTTTCTTTTTAAATTGAATAATTCACATATAATGGAATGGAAGACTTAAATTGTTTCCTACTGGCTGACTGACTCTATCATACTATGTTAGTATAAACCATTAAAACATACCAACCTAGTGTTAAATTAAATATAATCTTGGTCAATCCTCAACGACTGACTATGGTTCGTGGTTGCAATGCATCACAGTTAGATGACAGACTGTTTTAATTCACTAATTTAAATTCCAAGAATTTCATCTTCCGGCCTCATTTGCTGTGTGTTTTAGCACCATAGTCTTTACTCTCACAATTTTAAGTTTTGGATAGACTCATCTATTATTTAGGTGGAAGTGTCAAATTTGTTTTACATATTTTGTACCTATTTTTGTCTTTTAAAGGACTTGTTTAAAGGAGTTACTAAATATATGTACTTTTGATTTACTCAATCCAACATAGGCCCTGCTATATTTACAGGTTACTTACTTTATTTTGCTACATAATATTAATTGTGTATTCATTGTTTCAGCATGACATGGAGAATAACATTGACATCAGTGACATGAAGAAAGATATAATGGAGAGTGTGAAAAGTGTCATGGAAGAGGTACGTCAGTTGTATTAAAATTGTTAATCACCATTTGTACAGTTTACTTTAATCCGACAGTCTACTTTCTGGTTTGACTTTATGAAAAATTATATTGATGAGCCCAAATAAAATATTGCATACAAAACAAAGTTTGTTGTGGGCCAGAAGTTGCCAAAGATAAACACTATACCGTACAAAGAATATTAGTGTTCTAATGTCCGTGTTAGTATGCGTGCAAGTGGTTAGAGCGCGGAACTTCGGTTCCAGAGGTCCCGGGTTCAAATCCCAAGGCTTATCTTGGCTTAAAATGTAACAATATTAGCTGTATATAGCCCTGCTACTCCTGTGTAGGGAGCGAGCTGGTCTAGTGGTTAGAGCACGGAACTTCGGTTCCAAAGGTCCCGGGTTCAACTACAGTAGACTCCCTCTTATCAGGACACCTTTTAACCGGACATAGGTTTAACCGGACTACACTCGGCGGAAATGACATCTCTTTAACCAGACAATTTTTATCAGCACATCGGAATAACCGGACTAGATCGGCAGGAAGTGGGTGGTACTTAAAACGACTGTTCTCGTGGGAAAGATTTGAAACCAGTGATCACGTGTGTAAATACAATGCTCTCCTAAATTGAAGTCAAATACTGTATACAGTATGCATTTAAATGGTCCGTTTTAACGAGTTTTTGGGGACGTTGGTTTAACCGGAAAAACCTTTATCCGGACTGGCCTCGGTCCCAAGGAGTCCGGATAGGAGGGAGTCTACTGTACCGCCAAATCACCAATGGAATTTTATTCATGTGATAATGCCACAACCCCTAGGTCTAGCCTGAAGTAATGTGAAAAACAATTCCGGGCTTGTGCCTAGCGTCCTAGGACAAAAAAAAGTATGCGCGCAAGGGAGGAAAACAGGGTAGTCGTTATCGTCCCCCATCAAGAGACATCATTTGGTTTCGGGAGCACCCTGGAGCCAATTTCTAGAGCCACTGTAGCTTTGTTTACGTTTTTTGCTCAGTCTATATCTTCTCAACTAAATATAAACTTGTTGTAAACCTAACAGCATTTGTTTTAGCACCATAACAATATCTTTCATAGTATGTTATGCGACTTTTTTCTGTAGTAAAGCTGTTTAGGGAATGAAATACATCCTTTAATGTATTTTTTTTTAAGTTTAATTGTCTCCCGATATCTATACTTCTAGAATATTTAATATTCTGGCTGCAAGTCCTGGAAATGCTGGTTTAGAGGAAGTTGTGTTGGACAAACTTGTTTTTACCATTCGCTAGTAATTCCGCCGTGGTTGCTACAACAGCAGATGATTGGTTTACAGGCTAACGAGTTCTGCAGTGGGTTTGAAGTGTATTCATACCTCTGGCTAGACGACCGTATGATGTACATGCAGCAGTTCCTCATGTACGGCAGACAGCTGAACATTGAGGAGTTGGAGTTGTTGGCTGTAGGGGACGCCTGTGCTCCTGAATCCACCCCTCCCAACATGGATAAGTTCAAAGAACAGGTGATTAGTAGCTCAAGTAACTGCAAAGATTAACTGAACCTGAACTTAAACATTTTTAGCCTCTGAATTATGCTATAAACAAAATACAATCAATTAATTTCACCTTCTTTAACACTTCCCCCTCTAATGAGTAGAAATGTTCTAACTTTTTTTAAATGTCAAAATTATTTGGTATTGTGTGTTCTTATTTTAGTGGAAGAAACAATGGTCTCTGGGTGTACACAAACACTAAAAAGATATATTTTTCATGTATTTCAATCATCTCATTAACATTGTTTATAATTTGAGTTGTAAAATATTTCAATCATTGTTTTAAGAATCATAATGCAATGGTCTCTGGATCATCAGAATAAACAAAATAAACTACCTGGTTACTGTCCAAAATCAGCTGTTTCATGCTGGGAATGGAACACATCATCAGCTCGAATGTCAAGACGTGATTAAATGTACCTCATGGTGGAGTTCCTCAAAAGTTTAGTACCATACAATCAATCATAGCACATAAAACGGAAGATACACAAAACGAAAGACTTAGAACTGGTCAACCACTTGTAACAATACACATGATTCGGCGCCGGCAGAGGGTCGCAACGTCACCACAAGGAATATTTCATCACATCTTGACATGCGATATGATGATGTGCTTCGTCCATAGCACAAAACAGCTGCAGTCTTTTTAAACTATGGATCGTTTTGGGCTGTAAACGATTATTTAAGCCTCTACTAGATTTTTTCAAAGATTAATATTAACAATACAATAATACATTTTTCAGATCGACCAGTTTGAGAACCTGTATTCTGAGGTGGAAGACCTAGACTCACTCCAGATCTTCAGCTGTTGGTTCCAGGTAGACATCAGCCCCTTCAAGCAAGCGCTGCTCAACACTGTACGCAAGTGGGGCCACATGTTTAAACAACACCTCATAGAACACGTCACATCTAGGTAAGGCATATCTTGGTGCTTGAGTGGATGTAAGGATTCTAAGGCTTATTTAGGGGAACTATGGTTGTTTTGTATCTTCTGCTACTTTAGTTGTTAGTTGCAGTTTCAGTATAGAGTAATCCAATAGTTACTTAATGAACGTTACTAAATAATTGACTTAACCCCTCGACAGTCAGTTGCGCTTGCTGTTATAGAAATGTTCTTTCCCATGAGGGGCTTTATCAAACGTACCGGTATTAAATTTTATATCTACAGTTGTATGTTCAAAGTATATTTTGTGTGTGCTACCCATGATCAAAGCTCTTCTTAATACATACCGTTCATTTTCAGTAACTAATAAGTAACCTGATCAAATCAACAAATAATAACAAAACAACAACTATAACAACTATAGCAAATAACAACATTATAGCAAATAACAACATGAATTCAGCCGAAAACTTTGTACTGTGCTAGATGAACAGTATGATTGCCTGTGTCTGTACCGGTACACTTAGTATGACTCACTAGTCATGCATTTAAATATTCAACCCAAGAAACCATCCAATTCCCAACCAAGAGGATCCAACGTAAGAAAGTCTACTGTACACACAGAAAAGAAAATTTAACATAAATAAAAACTGTGCTATGTGGTAAGCATATTTAAAACAATTCATTGCCCACAACTAACGAGTCAATCAACTTTCAGCCTGTCAGATCTGGCCGACTTCATACACAAAGCTGACGAGGGACTACTGCAGCCTGTCGAGGAGGGAGATTACGAGGGCCTGGTCAATGTGATGGGTTACCTCATGAACGTGAAGGAGCGACAAGCCACGACTGACGACATGTTTGAACCAATCAGAAACACCATCGAGCTGCTTAAACACTACGACCAGGAACTACCAGAGGAAGTGAACGTGTTGCTGCAGGCAAGATAGTTATTTTTTTAATCGAGGGATTAGAAAGATCCCTAATGACGAGGGGGGAAAATATAGAATAACGAAAAATGACAAGAAGGAGTATTAGAGGTTGTGTTTGAGGTTAGGTATTCTCGTCTCTCAATTAAGGAGCTTTTGTTTTAGATATGGGGAACAAGCTTACCTGTACAGTTAGTAGTCTTTTTTAATAGGAAAAGCAGTCTTCTTTGTGATTGGCACAGTAGTCTGTGACCATGAAATATTTCAATTATGTATGTGTATAGATGTGTTTCCAATTGAGACAACTCACCCACTGTACAGCTATGCTTGTTCATCCTAAAACAAAATCAAACTTATTCTGGCCTCTTTACAAAGAATACCTAACCTCAAACATAGTCCGTGCTTTCATTACTTTCATTAGGGTTGTACTTTCAAGTACAATTATTGTCAATTTTTGTAATGACAAGAAGGAGTAATTTCTTGTCATTTGTTCTTATCTTATCTTATCCTATATGTCTTTCCTCTCGGTCATCATGGATCTTCCCAACCCTTAGATTAACAAACTGTGCATGCAAACCACCAAACCCTACATATTTTACTCAGGGTTAAATCAGTCACCCTCATATTGATAGAAGAGCACTCCAATGTGACAAACACATGAATATGTCAATATGTGGGCTAACATCACACAATATCTACAGGAATTGCCAGAGCAATGGAACAACACCAAGAAGATTGCAGTGGTTGTGAAACAACAGGTCGCTCCACTACAGGCCAGTGAAGTGTCTTCCATTAGGAACAAGATAGCTGCCTTTGATGGAAGCCAGTCTGCCTACAGGGAGTACTTTAAAAAGGCTCCATTCCTAAGGTAAAGCTAAAAAAATAGCTTATTCCCTATATGGGAAATTCGCTAAAAAATGTGTTATCAAGGTAGTAAGGTAGATTTTAAACCTAACTACTTATATTCAAGGGATTATTGCAAACATTCCATCATGGTTATGAAAAAACATGTTTTCACAACACTTCTGGATCCAGAATGTGAATATGGCGATCCTGTCTTCAAGTAAGAAAGTAGATAAGACATAAAAAAATTAGTAAACAAACCCTACTTAAACTGAAAAATCACCAAGAATAACCACAACTAAAAACTGTAGTATGGTTGTCTGAACAACAAGTAAAAACCAAAATGAAACCTGAAACAATACAATGGGTTAGACAAAGTCCGGTGCAGGCTGTTTCCATTTCTCATCACCATCACTTCCACCTTTATCGGTCTCGCTTGAGCTACCATTATGTTTTTGTGCACTATAATCCCTCAAATACCCTAAAACCACTATCACAAAAATGAACTTCAAACAAAGAATGAATTAATGGATTAGTTTCTTTAAATGAGCGTCAACACAACCATCCCTTCCAGACCGATCCATTGATTTCTATTCTATTTAAACTAAAAGTAAAGTGGCAATTAAATAGACTTAAGGGATAGTTTACTTTAGGTTAGCTTTTAAATGACAAACCTTTGTTTAGGAAGAGGCTCTCGGCCAGGATAGTAATTTTTACAGAAAATGGGGATAGCAGCTAGCTTACCTTAGAAAAAGTCTAGGTCTTAGTACATACAGAAAACACAAGATTTCTGGGACACACTACCTTAAGACTTTTGATTACATGCTGGACAACTGCCAAAATGGTATCTAAATTATTATCTTTCCACAGATATGATTGTAAAGATCCATACAAAATGCTGGATGACACAGATCAAATCATTCACAACCACGAAGTTGAAATGCAGAGGATTCAAGAGAGTGCTTCACTGTTTGAAGTTAACGTTCCTGACTTTAAACAGCTGAAACAGTGCCGTAGAGAACTCAGGATGCTGAAGGTATTTTATTGTTTTGTAATTTTATATAACTTAGAAAATATTTGTTTTTACAAAAATTCTCAATGTGACAAGATTCACTAACATGCCTAAACTTTATCACATTTTAGCAACTTTGGGATTACGTACACATCGTCCAAACAAGTGTGGAAGATTGGAAAACGACTCCATGGAGACAAATTGACGTTGAAAACATGGACTTGGAATGTAAAAAGTTTGCCAAAGAAATACGAGGTAAGTCTTTGTTACCAGTTTTGTAAAAGTTAAAATTTTATTTCTTGTGATGGTTTTATGATATCAACATTTGTTGAGGGCCAAAATTATGTATACTAAATAAAAGACCTGTAGTTTTAGTCAGATCGTTCTTGAGCACATTTCAAGTTTCATTGTATTACAATAGTGATGGATAACTCCCACAAAAGGTTTTTTTTTTGTGAAAATATTATTCATCCGTGATCTTTTATCTGCGGCAAAATAGGTGTGTTTCGAAATGTTAAGACGTTCTAACAATTCATAGTGTTTAATGGAAAGGTAAGTTGAGGATTATGTTTGACTGTTCTTTTAGAAGCTTTCAAACTTCGAATCTTAACAAATTTTCAGAAAAATCAATATTTCATCGATTCCCTAGCCCATCAACTTTTTATTTCCAGATACAAGCGGTATTCGGAGAAACAGTAAGTGAAAATGGATTTCGAGTGGAATTTTGGGTTGTGGAAAAGCAAGTGACACATCTCAATGTTCATACAGTACTTTGGTATTATCCGGAGGCCACTTATTTCAAAGACATTTTTTTACCAGAGACCAAAAATAACTCGGAATTGGAAAGAACATACTTTAATTGACTTACTGTACAAATTTAAATTTGACTCGATTACAATTAGCGGCCTTTGAGTTCTGCCTCCCAGATGGCAGCGATTTCGGCGAGGATTGAGTTGAATGCGTCGCAGTGGCTAGCTGCCACATGTACTCCGCCAAGTAGGTAAACAACGCGCTGCGGCGTTTATGCTAGGTTGGGTTGTCATTAATATGTTTGTAGGGCTTTCCTCGTTTCATTATAAAGAGAACGATACCAGATGAGTCATCACTCAGGAAACTGATGCAGATACAGGGGGTGACAGATGATGTGCACGCTCCGGTCAACGACCTGACCTTGGCCTACTCGGAGGGCAAAAGTATGACTCATCTGGTATCGTTCGATTCATAACAAAACGAGGAAAGTCCTACAAACATATTTATGACAACCCAACCTAACATAACCGCTGCAGCGCGCTGTATAAGGGTGGCCTCCGGATAATACCAAAGTACCGTTCATACTTACCTACAATCACTGATCTCAACAAAAACATGACATGCACATAATACAACTCAACAAATCAACCACAAAAGTACTGTGGGAACGGAATTTGGGCTGGAACATTAGTGCTGTGTTTGGCATGAGCACGATCGGGAACAATTCAGTTTGTAGAGCTACAGCATGCGTTGAAAACAAATCAGTTCCGACTTAGATTTCAAAGGCATGTGAACCATCACAATCGGATTGTATAAGAATGTTTGTGTTTTGTCAGTTTCAATTATATTTTCCTGTTTTATCTGCGTAAAAGTGTCTTTAAAATCAAAGATGTTTTTTGAGCTCAAAAAAAGTTTTACATCAAAAGTTTTCAATTAGCTATGCTGATTTTCAAAACCTTCCCATATTTTGTTTCTTCTTCTTTCACCTTTTAACTGTCTTCTGTTATGGTTATCCTTTAGATATTTTTAGGATCGGGATGTTTTTGCTTAGCAACTGTTTATTTGTATTCTTGACGTTACTGACACATTATAGCATGAGGTTTGTGGAATGGTTCTCGACAACTGTCTTGTGCACATGTTTTAGAACATGTTCTGTGAAAGAAAATAAAATTAGTCAGCACTAATTGAGGATGATTAGTCTTGTTGTAACCATTACTACATCACTTTGAATCCGAGTGATTGTCAGCATGCCATTCATCAAGATATTTGAAATTTTTAAGCTCCAGAAACTCAAATTTTTAATATTGATTTCTTGGAAATAGCTAATATACTAAATAGTTACCCATCGGGCATCGATATGACTTCATGAGAAATTTTTTAAGAACAAAAAACTGCCCAAGCCCTTTTTAACCTCAAAGAAAATAGAACACTAACTTCTAAACACTTAACATAAACTTCTAAACATCCATGTTCATGATGATTGTTTCAGCTGTGAAAGTAATATATTTTTTTTAACTGTAGGACTTTTTTTGTGATATTTAACATGTTTCGTGAGATATAAAGATTTTTAGGATCTAAAACAATCAGAGGCTTACAAGGTTTTGGACTAGGTCTTCTTTGTGTTTGGACTCGAATAATCAATTAAACATGCACAGTTAATAAATTAATTGATCATTAATCCAAAACTTAAATATACAACACAGCAGTTTTACAAGGATATAAAAATACTGAGCCTTTTTGGTGGGGAGTCAAAATAGCAGTAATTTTAGTTGTACGCAAAAAATGTGAGGAAAACCAGAGTGTGGTGTATTATAGCTGTGTTGTTTTTGAGTTCTTAACCTAACAAAACTAACCACTGCAATATATTTATGTTAGCTCAAAAAAAGGTTTCAATATAAGTATCATCCTAGTTTTTTACCAACTTATTTAACAATTTGCTGTCTATTGTTATTCATAATCCCGCAACATTGTCTGGATAATGTATTTTTGCATCCTTAACAGCAGGAAATTTTCTGGGAATCATTTCTTAAATTATTTTCTTCTGTCTGTGAATAGATAATATGTCACTAAATAATAAAAAAAAACTAATTTGTTATGAAATACTAATTTATGATTTTTTCTCATCCATTTGTGGCTGAATAGAATTTGACTTTTGTTCTCCAATTTTCTATTTAAAACAACTCATGGAATGTATTGTAATTATGAATACAATAGTTGTGTTGAGTGCTATCAGTGTTTCGACTTTGTTGGCAGCTCTGGATAAGGAAATGCGCACCTGGGATGCGTATATCCAGCTGGAAGCTGCGGTCAAAAACATGTTGACCTCTCTCAGAGCCGTCGGAGAACTTCAGAACCCAGCTATCAGAGAGCGACACTGGCAACAGCTCATGAAGTCCACAAAGGTTTGCTCTCCACACTTTGCTTTTGACTTTTTAATTTTTTTAGGTACAAACACAAATAATTTAAATTCTGTAACAAACACCTTACAGTATGTAAGACAAACTATGACAGTTACGTTTCAATTATTTCAGCCCTACCTAGATTTCAAACTGGGAATTAATCAATTAAATCAAACTAGGTGACCATAGCAGAATAGCAGCAACTGCGCTTAATCTCTGTTGTAATTTGTCCTTAACCATTCACTTATAAAACTGCGCACCACTCCTAAGTTCTCTTTCGTAGTAGCGGTCTTCCCCTAACACGATACATTTCAACACTCCATAAGCATTCTAACCTAAAAACAGAACATTAAAATCAATAAACAAACAAATATGTAATGTTTACATCAGCTGGTAATTTAAAACGACTTATAGAAACACTGCAGCAGAACTTCCAGTAGAAAATGACTGGATCTTTGACGGCCTGTGGGGCAGAGTAGGGGTAATTGTAGACACTTCTTTTCATTTCATTTCATTTATTTCATTTATTTCCCACGGTTAAACCAATTTTACAAATTTGTCTACATCAAGATGATAATACAATAACAATAACAACAATAAACAATAACAATAATAAACAATAACAATAATAACAATTTACAATTCTAAAATGCATAGCAAAACAACCATAACAAATAACAAAATAATATTCAATGCAGTAGCAACAAATATAAGTAGAAAATTGGAAATTACATAACAATAACATGACTGTATCAGCACTTGAAACTTTTGGTTGTGAATCAATCATTATTTACAAGTATTTACAGGTAATTTACAAGTTTACTTCTGATATTTTCCCACCGTCTATGGCCTTAAGCTTTAAAATGAATCCTTAACAGCCATGCTAATTTGTTTCTAGATCGAGATATTTTGTGGGGACCGATTCACTTACAGAATTAAACATATAGACATCTATAATGAAAATATTTGAATTTATTGTGTACAGGTAATTTATATTATTTTAAAAGGTTTTAGGATCTTGTACACTCAAAAGGCAGTGACGTTGGCAAGACTTGTTTAAGTGGACTAATATCCAAGTTTTGCTCAGTTAGCCGCATGTATTCAGTCAAGTAGGAATCGAGATGTTGGTGGACTTAATTTATATTCTTGTTCCTCTACTTTGATCAACATAACCTCGTCCTCGTTAGAAAGGTTAGAGGCATAGAAATTCTACAGATAGTGTTAAATTTACAGATTACATATTGCTTTATCAGTTTTATAAACCAGGTCAACTGTCATCATTATATGAAAAAATGTTGGGACTGAAATAATTGAAAAGTACCATAATTTGTCAGTTATAGAAACCTCTCCGATGATATAATAAGTTTCTCTCAATATTTTTGATGATTTAAAAACTTGAGAAATGGTAAAATTCTTGTTATTTAGGTAAAATTTAAATTATTAAGGCGTATGACATCAATGCCTATTTAAAAATTACAATTTATAATTTGAAGAGCAAGAATTAATTGTTGTTATTAACTATTTTTACTATTTAGCGCTCAGTACTCTTAATAGAGTTTTTTTATTCACATGACCCTTTCATATTGAATTGGAGGTTTCATATCGACCTTTCGTTTCAGGAAATTCTATTTTCTCATGTGATATAATATGTGTTGATTTGATTCTTTACCTACTACATGAATTTATTTTCAAGTAAAAATACAATTTGTTGATTATGTGTAAATATTTTTTTTAACACACTTGTAAAAATCAGCACCAATGTCAATATTATGTAAATACTTCAGCAATATTTTTAAAATATGTATTTACACTTTGAACACACTTCAGAACATCTAACTAAGAATTACTCCTATGCATTTTAATTTAGTTGTTATAACTTCTTGTCAGTTTATTTAGTAACAATTTATTTATTTAAACTATGTATTGTCTTCTAAGAACTGTCTCTCTTTCATGATATATTCTTCTTTATCTGTCTTTTTGTTTAAAAGCACTTTTACCGTGTTTAAAATTCCCTTATTTTAGTAAGAGTATGATTATTTTCTTTTTCTTTCTTTATCTAACTGATTCTTTATTTCATATGTTTAATAATACAAAACTTGTATTTATTCAATTAATAGAGTATATTGTTTCAAAGTACAGTTTTCTCTACTGTGGTAAAATAACATTTTGTTCATTATTAATTTTATTGAGATTCTAAGAAAAGTAGTAAATGAAACATTTTTTTCTTAATCAGGACAGCTTCTGATTGTTCTCTGTATTTTATACATATCAAGAAAATCTAATCCAACAACTAATATGTTTATCTTTTTATCTTCAATTCAGTTTTTCTTGATGATTTCATTTATTAACAATATATTTTGCACAATTTCTCCTGTTGTAAGGTAAATACAGATAGTTTATTAGCATGAGAACAAATACTCACACACTTACAAGTGTTTAAGTTGCGTATGTTTTACTTGTGCTAGTGTTTGTATGGTGTACAGCAAGTCAACTGTGCAATTTCAGCACTCACTACCACAGGGTGTAATAACTCACCTTTGTGACTCAATCACATTCCCTTTGAAAGGTAAAAAATATGTACAAAAAGTGTAGTTTTTCCAGTAAATATGTACTGTCCGTAATGTGGTCACACTGCTGCAAGGATCACTAATTACTAACAATAGTGGGACTATAGTTGTTGAATTCATTTGTTTACTTGGGAGTTCCACAGGGATCTGTTGTTGGTACCGTTTTGTTTTCGTTTGGGTGAATAACATATGGAGCGATAGTACACTATTTTGTTTCACACCATATGCAATCTTTTGGCAGAACTAAATTAATTAAAAATTTGCAATTTTGGAACTTATATGTATTTGAAATTAGTAAATACATAGTAGATTATCTCACAAACATTGTAGAAACTTTTCTTTTTTCCCTAGTTGGCGTGGCCCTATTTTTATCTTTACGTTTATGTAAAAGCTCTAAAAGAATAATCGTTGACCAAAAATTAATTTGTTTGTACAACGATATTAGATAGCACTTTTAAAATCTAGAGGTTTTAGAGTCTTTTGAAGGTCTTAACAAACTTTTGTAATCTCAAAGTATAATATCACACTCAGGAAGTAATGGCATTTCTAAAAATTTCCAGAAAACCCATGTTAGTACTGGGAATAAGTTTCCAAAGTATTTATAAGGCAGTACTTACCAATTCCCTGAATGGAAACATCTTTGTTGACCACTGTTCTCAAACTTTCTCAAATTTGAAGTCATATGGAGCTTGGTCAATCGATTCAATTCATACATACTTAGAATGTTATAACGATCTAAAAACACTTCTGGAGGTACCTTGATTCTTTTTTCCTCGATGTTATTCACAAATGTTACACATTACATTAAAAATAGATTTTGTTTCATATACATATTGTGCATTCAATTCAACGAAGGGAACTTCTATTGTAATATTCCTGGCACAATACATCAGTTGGATTCAAACATTTACTCACACCTTCACAGATACAATGAAAACTCAAATCCAGACCACAACCACTTTCATCTATTTTAACAAAGTCAACATTGCAACAGTCTTTCAAGAAAGGTTTTTGAAAACTTTGTAGGCTTTCAAACACTCAAAACTCCTGTTCGACTAAGGTTTTCTTAACCTAACTGGCTATATCAAATTTGTCGGAAAAATAAAGAGAAAGTGAATGTTGCAGAAACTCCACGCTAAGCTCAAAGCTCAGCGAGCCAAATCAGGATCGGCGAGATCTTCGGCTAGTAGCAAGTCTAGTTGCAAAGCGACTAGACGACAACAGTACTTAGCCGAGTTGGAGGAAGACGTAAGGCTTGTTCTGAGTGCAAGGGAATGATTCTGTCCGAGAGCAGCGTAGGGTGTCCGGGAACTGTACATACGCATCTCACTAGGGTCTTGACAACCGCTGTGTCGCAAACTCTGTATTTTGGTTTTTCTGTTTTTGTGTGCCTGCGGTTTTGCACTGTTTCCGCCTGCACTGGAATTCTTGACTGCATTGGTTTGTTATGTTAGTTGTGTTTCACTACGGCATTGTGTGATTTAAGGTAAAAGGTATTACATGTATTTCACCATGCTAAAGGGTGTATGTGGTTGTAAAACTGGTAAGTGTTCATAAAACATGGTGAAGTCTCAACCTTAAAGCATATTTTAACATACGCTTTAAATGTTGAAATCATTACCTCACCGGGGTCACATTCAGTTTTCAAGGAACTTTATAAATTTATTGACGGATAAGAATCTCAAACTCCCAACAAAGGTGCTTTCATCACACTACACTAAATGTATAGCTGTTTTCCTTTGTGAATCTAACATTTTTTATGTTAAAATTTATACTTGGGTTGTCTGTAAATTAAGAGCTCCTTTCACGGTGAGGCGAGCTACTCGAAATCTGACCCCTGTGTTTTTTTTCTATTGTTAATTCCCCCACCAATATTGGAGTCTGTCCCTATATTTACACACCGCTCAGCTGAAAACAATGGAAAAGAAAATCTACACCACCTCCTACTGAATAAAATGTGTTCTATATTATATTTATGTGAGAAGGAGGTCATTTCCATTTCATTCCTTGGGTATATATGAAGAAAAGTTTGACATAAAAAAGTGCACAAGTGGTAAGTCTAAAGTTAGTTCAAGAACCGTACAAATTTGCAAGACTAGGCCTCGATGGGAGCTCAGACTACTTTAACAGACAACTCTCCATATAATCTCCGCTATATGGAAACCATTTATGACTTTCATACAAAAGGTCCTGACTGAAATAGTGTAAAAATGTTATCAACACATTTTCACTGGACAAATTGAATGTGCTAGCCGCACAGACACGGGGTGATGATAATAGTGGCACTGAATTGATATGGCTGCATGTTACAGAGCCTAGCAGCACTACCCCCAGAAGTTACTGTAAGTATCCCTCTACAGTGTACATACCACTGGTACAGCTTACTGCTGCATCTTGTACAGTTTTGTATTGAGTAGATTTGTGCTTTCCTCCATCTACAGCCTTTCAATGTACATGTAACTCTATGAGGGATTTTAAAAAAAAATTAATTCCGTTCTACTAAAGTAGTAGTTTAGTTGAGATTTGAATCTTTTCAATTGGCAATGGGTTTTACAAGAAAATTTACAGTTAGACTCCCCATTATCCACAGTAATGGTGGTTAGAGCGCAGGACTTCGGTTCCAAAGGTCCCGGGTTCAAATCCTGCCAAATCACCAATGGATTTGATCCATGAGATAATGCCACAACCCCTAGGTCTAGTCTGAAATAATGTGAAAAACGATTCTGGGCCCGTGCCTAGCGGCCTAGGACAAATATAAAAAAAATGATCCACAGTAATAAGTGACTGAATGATCGAGGATAGTCAAAATAACGGATAGCTAATAATGAAGTAATAAGTAATAATGAAGTAAACAACGTCAATTCTACATTCTATCCATGAGATGATAGGAGGACGCCTCACACTAAACATCTTGTCCGTTAGTGCATAATGTACATTAATTGATTGAACTTGCATAGTATAATTTTTTATTAAGATTTTTGTAACCGTAATTAATTTGCATTTGTAGTCAATTCACTTATAAAAAATCGGAAGTTTACTATATTTGAAAAATATAATTCAATAACAAGTGCCACAAACAAATTTTAGTTAAGTTACCCCAATAACAGAAGCGGACCTGCAAAGAGTTGCATGTACATTGCTTTATGTGTTGTCAATTTATGTAAATGTTCAAGAGAGTTGATAAAAGTGGTTTTAGTCAAATTATTTTTTATCTTCTAATTTTATGGGTGAATATTTTTTTGTGAGGATAAACATTGTTTAATCTAATTCCATTGGATAAAGTATGGTGTTTTTGGAGCTATGAGATATGATTTAGCAACATATTGAAGCTTTGTTTAAATAAATCATGTTACCACCTTTTTCAAATTGACGAGTTTTAAAAGTCAACACTCTTGTTCGTCGTGTTCACTGTCCAGTGTTGTGTTGCTCTTGGGATTTTTTGTATTTTTCATAGTTTTATGTGTGTATTTTTTCTTATAAGCAACAATGAGGAGTTTTAGTAAATAGGTGTAATGTAATTGGAATTTGTTTATGAAAAGCTATTTGTGTAACTTGTTTTAGGCGTCAATATTCATGTTTTTTATCAGTAGATCTTGATCTCTTTTTCTTACTAGTAGTTCAAATAAGCTTCGTAGTAAACTTGCTGAATATTATTTTTTGTGATTTTTAAGGTAAGTAATAATGTGTTTTTCATGCGTTAAGAGATTGATTACTACAAGTAAGGGGATTTTTGTTGAAACTTTGTATACCAACCAGAACAGTTGACGTTTAGATTATACGTACCTAAACAGTTATATTTTAATGCTGATCAACTGTTCTATAAGATAAAACTGTATGTTAACAGCTACATGATTCCTTATCAACCTAAAATCAAAATCAGTAATAAAATAATGTTCTTTTAGAAAATCAAGTCAACTAATTCTTTTTTACATTCTCCTCAAAATAATCCATCTTTTAAATAAAATTCCCTCATGGAGTTTAATTTAAAGATTACATAATGCTGGGAGGAGTTGGAAGAACTTAATGCTGGGATTTGTTGTGATCTCATCTGTAATCTTGTGTTGAAGAGTTTGCATTTCCAATGGTTTCCTGTTACACAATGGTTTATATTGTACAAAAAGTAATTCTGAACCAGTTAAGACTTTTCATGCTATACAGTACCCAATAGTACTCAGTACCCAGTACCCAAATATCCAATTATTGGAAATTATTGATTTATTATTAGGATAAATAAAAAAATATCACGCCCTTATTCCCTAACTCTTGCCATTCTATCCTTTTAAACAAACCCTTCAAACATAGTAGACTCTCTCTCGTTAAAGCACTTCAGGATTTTTTTCTTGTAAAAAAATTCAAACTTTCAGAAATGAATACAGAACTTAATGGATACGTTTTAAAACACACATTGTGTATGCAGTACTATAGAACTTTATTACTGAAGCGAACAGGAAAATTCAGATGTAACAGCGCTAGACAAAAGGTTATGACTTAAAATTGGTGAATTGTTGTCTTTGGTTAGGTGACGACTGTTTCAAAATAAATCAAATGCTTGTATTCACCTAAGTTTTGGTCTCAATTTAGATTAACATCTTCAGGGTGACAAGATTTACGCACAAGGTATCAAGTGTTTCATCTATTTTGACACAGTTATCACTAGAAGGCCATGAATCTAGTGTATATGACTGTGGAAGCCTATCCATAGAGGTTTTCACTTGTCTACTTGGTTCCGAACAAAACACCATGTATATGCTCTAATTGTGATCGTTTGAGTCATACCGTTGACTTTTGGATCAGTAGACATCTTATCTATATGGATCAGCTGTGGCTTTTTTTATTCACACAGTGCTACAGTCTAAAATTATATTTTCTCCGTTAGTATTTTTACTGAGTAATTTTATGTAACTTCTTGATCAGCATTGTACGTGTTATTAAATTTACGAAAGTAAATAAAAGAAACGTCTTATAACACTTAAAACTTATATTTACACTTACTGTTATTCACAAGACGGTAAATATACATGAAAGATGGTAAGTGGTGAAATCGATTTCGATTGGACACTCCAATCATCATCAGACCCAATAGGCGAAATGCATTTATATCCAAATTCAAAGGCAACTTTGAACTTTCGAGAGGGAGTCTACTTGTTAAACTTTCAAATATCCGCACACCACTAACACCCGCTGGCTACTAGGTGAAGTTCGTAATGGACGAGGGAACAACGTTGAGCGACCTTCTGGCACTGAACCTGCACGAGTGTGAGGACGAGGTGAAGAACATTGTAGACAAGGCAGTGAAGGAGATGTCCATGGAGAAGATCCTGAGGGAGCTACACAGTACCTGGAGCACCATGGAGTTCCAGCAAGAGTGTCACACACGAACCGGGAGCACACTACTCCGGGCCAGCGAGGAGTTGATAGAGACTCTGGAGGAGAACCAGGTAGGATACCGGGCAGGACCTTTACAACTTCCAGGGCTATGTTTAGCATTTCGGTGCCCCTAGGCCGAAATAATTTTCTGCCCCCTAGTCTGGTCAAAGTTATCATGCCCATAGGCCACACTAGCATAGGTACTGGCATAGGTGGCATAGGTGGTTATTGCTTGAATACCACTCCTCGTCAGAATTTTATCATGGCAAGTTTTTTGAAGAATTGACTCATTTAGCCTTAACAAAATGCTGTGTTAAACACTTTTAGCAATCGTATGCTTTTAGTAAATGCTCACGTTTGTGGGACTGAAACAAAACAACTCAATCCACTGAGCATTCTTGCAAAAAACATGGCCATTGATTCCAATTTCAGGCCCAAAAACATGAACTCCATACAGTACGTGATACCATAGATTAAACATACTCCTTTAGTAGATTCGTCATCATTATGGATTAGCTGAAAACAATTCTTGTTATATAAACTTAGTTTATCCAAAATAAAACTATATAATCATAAACAATAGGTCGTCTCCTGGTTATATTACAAGAAATTAAAACACATCATAGAACTAACCCTAAAATAATAGAAACAAAAGTACCGTACGTCAAAACTAATGTCCAGTGTCACCAACGTGAACTAGACATGAAAAAGAATTTGAATTAACAATGTGATAGAAAGTCGACTTGAGTTATATTTAATCTATGGTGGTACTGCATCTAGGTTATATTTCCAAAGCAAAACAGACTACAGAGCAATATTCCGGCCAACCATACCGATCCTTAGGTCTGAGGAGAAAATTACAGCATTAATGGTTCTTTGGAGGGCAAAAACCTGTTGTAAACTGAAATTAATATTTTTTCGTTAATTTTAAAGATAAATTAATGTTTTTTTTTAATATTCAACACAACGTATTATATATTTTAACTTGATCCTGCAGATTGTTGTAAACTAATCAAAAGATTAGTCAATAACTTTTGTTTTGTGAGTTATTTGTTTTGTGTGTTTGGTGGTAACAGTGTCTAGCACGCATGCGCCCCTAATTACTCCGATCAGTAGCACCGAGCCAACATAGTGGCAGTGCAGTGGCAATACGATGCGTACAGCTCGGGCGCTCTCCAACATCCCTACAGCCTCCCGTACCAATGTTGTAATGATATTGATGCGTAATTCTGAAAAATAGTTTAAATCTTCTAACAATTATTTCTTTCTAAGAACTTCAGAATCAGAATGCTTTATTAGCCAGAGTTGTTTTAACCAACTATGACTATTTATTTTATTTTTAGATACAAAAAAAATTCTCTCGGCCATGCGCCCTCTGGGAGCTTGCGCCCATAGGCCCAGCCTACCGGGCCTATTGGGAAATCCGGCCCTGACAACTTAATTTCAGATTACATTAGATAGTGTGATGTTTTGTCGATTCAGAGTCTAGCATCTTAAATTCAGATGAGGGTGGTTGTTTTTTATGCCTTACCTCGAGGGCTTAAGGTTTTATCTTGAGTTGGTATTTCATTGGAAATCTTGGTTATAGGGAGAAAATGTGTTGTTGGATGCCACATTGTAAAAGTTTTATTTATATTTAAATAAATTTGTGGCGATAGATGAAGGGCCAATAGATCATTTTCAACAGCTTTTGGGGGGGAAGGGGGTCACCTCAATGCTTATGGAATTTTATGTACTCATATACTATTTAAGGGATATTGTAAATATTTTCATCACATGACCGTTTTGAAAACCAATACCATTGTAAAAGACAAGGCATTCACGATAGTTCATGGTCTGGAATCTGATCCCGTCCTCAAATGAGAAAGTGCATTAAACACTACACAAACCCAAAGCTGAAAACTCACCATCTCTAAAAATAACCTTCAAACAAAGAATTAACATGGGTGGAATCCGTTGGTGTTTGGCAGACTTTGAACCAAGCTCTCCAGAACAGAAATCCCAAGCAATGTCCACTAGATGAGCAGCACACTTGAAGTAGTAGTTACTGCTACCCGAGTATATAAAAAATGTGTAATACTAACCTATAAATGATTGTTATACTATCTTGGACTTGAGTGTAAAAAAAATATCCAAATCCAATTTTCCCTCTGGAGTCTCTAGGATATAAAATGTTTCCCACATTTTGAAAATGGTAGTGCATTTTTTACTTAGGTTCAACTACAAAACCTGATCACGTCCAAGTTCATCGCTCATTTCCTGGAGGAAGTGTCTGCCTGGCAGTCCAAACTGAGCGTCGCTGATCAAGTCATTACCATATGGTTCGAGGTTCAACGGACCTGGGTGCATCTAGAGTCAATCTTCATGAGCTCTGAAGACATCCGCAGGAAGCTGCCTGAGGATTCAGCCAGATTTGACCGCATTGACACAGAATTCAAAGTAATTTGTTACAGTTGTTTTTTGTTTTTTTTCAACCGTTATGTTGATCAAAATATTCTCAAATTGAATCAGAATATAATCATCAGAATATTTGTTAAATGTATAGGATAAAGTGGGAATTTCATTTAAATTTTGATTTTGAAACACAAAATAGTGTTAAATAAATATTCTTTATTGAATGTTTGAAACTAATTTTTAATTCACATTTTTGAAGCTGCAATTTTGTTCTCCTTCGATTTCATTATTAACTGCATGCAACTGCATACAAATATTTTCCCCTATAAGTTCCAACCATGTACCTGAATTTTTATGAAGTAATTGTATTGGAGGAGGATTACAAAAGTGTTCGTAAACAACTAATGGACATTGTTAAACCACATAATTTATCGTAATTAGTAATATCAAGATCATATGACCTAAATCTTTGAATATCAGAAAAAATATTATGTGTTATAACAAGTTTATATGTGAATGGTTCTATTATGGTGGTATTATAGGTTCTGATGGAGGACATGTCTAAAACCCCAAATGTAGTTGAGGCAACAAACAAAACCGATCTGGTCAAGGTTCTGGAAGATCTACAGAAGGAGTTGACGCTTTGTGAAAAGGCTCTAGCAGAATATCTGGAGACTAAGAGATTGGCTTTTCCAAGGTTCTACTTTGTATCTTCAGCTGATCTTCTGGATATACTGTCCAACGGGAACCAACCAGAGCTAGTCGCCAAGTAAGTTTCTATTGGACGATTTCTCTGACGACATAAAAGAAAAGATTATGCTAAATCTGTTTTGTATAATATGCCTATTTTGTTAGAAATTTGAGTTCAAACAAGAAAAAGTTATATAGGTACTCAGACATACCGGTACCTCAATACAATGTAGAATTTTTATTCTCTTACAAAAACGTTAGAAAATTCTAATGGCCATACTAATACACAGATTGAAAGTTAACTGCTCTATGTATTTTGCATTATGGTTTGTGACTAGAAAAAGGAATAGTGTGATTCCTAGTCATACTACTTCTATGGCTTTTTGTTGGAAAACAGCTAGGGGTAATTAATTGAGTAACTCCTGTAATATATATCTAAAGTTGACTAGTTCAGTTTTGAGAAAAACTTATGTGGAATGCAGTTTCTGGAATTGATTATGCTTTTTAGTTACTTGTTGATGCTAGACAAAAGTATGGATAGCTACTGTAAAAAGTAAAAAAAAAACTACACCGATTTGTTACACTTATAAATGTCCTCGTCTTATGGTCAGTGAGTAGTAAAAGTAGATATGGCATGGTATGTATAAATCTATTACTTACTTAACAAATTTATTTATTTTAGTAAATTTTTGAGTTTGTAGATTTAACATTGATTGTTTGTAGTAAAAGGGACCCCCCCCCCCTTCTTTCTCAAGTACTTTAAACATGGCACTTATACTTAAAATTCACTTTGACTGTTTGCAGGCACTTGACAAAGCTGTTTGATTCTATGGCTCGTCTCAAATTCGTGCCAGGAGAGGTGGAGGGCACCAAGAGTGCGTTGGGGATGCACGCTAAAGACGGAGAATATGTGGAGTTCAACCACGACTGCGATTGTAGCGGACCTGTATGTAGAATTAATATATTTTAATTATTGAATAATCAGTACATCATAATAATTGGACATATTGTCAAAAACAGGTTGGGACTCATTTGTTTGGGATTTGTTTGAGTTGTAACACTCTTGGGATCTGTGCCTAGCACATGTGCCTCGATTTATATTTTTATTCAAGTGTTTAGCATACACAGCATCTAAACTCACTAGACAATAATTTTATAATCAGTTAAATTAACTTCAATTTAAGTTAGAATGTTTTTTGCAATTATAAAACTATTTACTTTACATTCAACATGAATATATTGAATATTCCATGTATTTTTTCAACTGTTCTTTACAAGTGGATAACATATGTGCATTGAATGTTTGTTTTCTTACATTTTGATCCATGTTTCAGGTGGAAGTATGGCTAAACAGGCTCCAAGATGCCATGAGAACTACAATACGTCATTACTTCGCTGAGGGAGTGGTTAGTGAATAGAATGTTTCTTTTATTCTGGATTAAATTTAATTAGTCTATAAACTATAGAAGTGTTGGTCAATCATTTTACATTTTTAAAATTGCTATGTTATTAATATTTTCAAAAGCTGTATCTAATTTGTAATTATTTTGAGGAAGTGTAACAGTTTATGATTAGGACTCCAAGAAAAAGTTTTTTAACAGGTTGGCGGTTTCTTTTAGCCTTGCATTTGCCCATCCACATAGACTACAGATCTGTGTGCGAAACTTATCCAGCAAAGCAAGGGGTGAGCCAGTACAGTACAAGGGTAAACTGTACTGATAAAAAGAATTGGCAGTGACCAGGATCCAATCCCTAAACATTGCTGCCTTGGGCCCGAAGTCTGTGGCATTACGAACTGAGCCACCGACTCACCAACATTTTTTTTACTATTACAAAAAATTTCTTTTAGTTTTCTAGTTTTATTGAATATTTCCAATCTTAAAAAACTTCGTGTTGACACTCTTTGTGGTTTACCCATTTAAATTGGAACATAAAATTACTGATAGAGTTTAAAAACGATTTAGTACAGGTAAAATAGGGTTTCATAAACAACAAAATTTGTACATTCATGAAATTTCACCTGTGAGTTACTAATAATATAAGAAATGAAGATCCGATGAGTCCCCAAAATTTTGGGTGTCCTAAGGCCCTTTTTGGGGCCCTTTTTGTTCCGAAGGGCCCTTGTTCCTGAATGATTTTGTTTTTACGTTTAAGGTCGAGTGAGGTGTGGTTTTCGATGGTTTTAGTTATTTTAAATCGATTGAGAGTAGTTTTAAGTGTATTAAACCACATCATACAGGGTGTTTAGAAATATTATTACTTTTTACGATATTTAAACATTTATTCATAAAGTAATAAAATTAGTTACCTCCATGCTCTATATAAAAGGGGATTATTGAAAATAATTGTAATTCTTTACAACGTAAGGGGAAAGGATCACAAGGAGTAAGAGGAAATAAGTAAAGATTATTCTCCGTCATAGCAAACCTGCAGACCTAGCGAATTTCCGTTTTACTTACTTGATTTTCAATTAAATCTAAAATAGCATTGCGTTTAATGATTACCTAGGTTTGCTGCTACAAGGAGGCTAATAAAGTGTGTTTATAGTAAAATTTTAATATCCTAGTATAAAACAAATAAATTTTACAAGTTTGTTAAAAGAATATCTATTAACAAACGAACAAAATCATTTTACACTATTCTTCATAAGAATAACATGGGAATTTTAAATTTACAATTTTAGTATTTATATCCGTAACTAATAACCATACAAAAACACGTTAATATAATCAATTATTTGTTTGTAAACTATTAAAAATGTTCTAGAGAAAAATTGGGAAACTTTGAGTTTTGAAGGTAAAGTAAATAAGAAAACCCAATTTTTACCCCATAAACCTTGTTCCCATTGTTCAGGACAAAACTGCTTGTACCGACAATGCTGCTCTGATGTCTTAGTGCTGTCCTGGTCGTCATAACCACGAAAGATAACCGTACTTGTATTGTATTTGTATTTAATATAAATTGAAAATAAGTTTGAGGAACTTGAGATACAAGTTGCAAACGTCAGTATGTATGAAAGGTGTTTTTGCACCACATTGTTCGTGCTTTAAGATTGGTGTTGCCTGTTCTGCAATATGCAAGGTTTTAGGTTTGTAAAGGGGAATCCTGCTTGAACACCAACTTGGAAAAAAACAGTAAAGATGGACAAGTTGCTAAGAATAATATAATTGTTAATGAGTCGTCTGAGAATAATTATTGTGATGATGAAATTGTAAAGAGAGATACAGGGTGGCGCAGATGGATTGGGTGGTTTTAAAATACTTGTCAAACTGTCAATTTTAAAGGTATTGGATTGAAATAAAGTGCAAAACGTGTAGTTACAATGGAAGTTTATTGACAAAAAAATAGTTAAGTTAGTTTTTAAAAATTACATCCATCAAATGCCTTCCTTCTCGAGCGACGCATTCTTGGAGTCGGTCCTTGAGGTTCCGCATTGCTCGCTCAAGCACATCACCATGAATTGATGTGATTTCGTTGTGAATTGCAGCCTTCAACTCCTGAAGCAAGGGTCTACATAAACAACCACGGACCATTCAGGAGTTGAAGGCTGCAATTCACAACGAAATCACATCAATTCATGGTGATGTGCTTGAGCGAGCAATGCGGAACCTCAAGGACCGACTCCAAGAATGCGTCGCTCGAGAATGAAGGCATTTGATGGATGTAGTTTTTAAAAACTAACTTAACAATTTTTTTGTTAATAAACTTCCATTGTAACTACACGTTTTGCACTTTATTTCAATCCAATACCTTTAAAATTGACAGTTTGACAAGTATTTTAAAACCACCCGATCCATCTGCGCCACCCTGTACTACGGAAATTGTAGAAAAATAGCTTTAGTTTAAGTACTTCATTTTAATATGTAATGTAAGGTGTAAGGTTTTATACAAATACAATTGGTTTAATTTTTAATAAATGTAAAAAAATAACTTAAATAATTACCTAAGAAAAATACATATCAATTTGAAATTGGTCTTAATAGATTTGCATAAAAAAACACGTTGAAAGATTATTCACACCACCTTAAAAGTTGAAATATTTGCTAAGTAACCTATGTAATTATTTTATAGTGTAAAACTTAATGCATCCCCTTTTAGCGAACATCCCATATAGGAGATAAGCTATTACCGAAGGTCTTATGGTAAAACATAGACCCGAAACCGATTAACGTTTCCATGTCGATGCCCCCAGAAGCCTAAAGCACCATGCACTCAAAATATTATATATGTGTTTATATACATATACATATAACATAATATATCCATGTTATATACGTGTCCGTAAACATGATAACTCGAGTAATTTTGGTTCGATTTTAACTAAACCAGCATAATCGGTCCATGGAACAGGGTTTTATGTGGTAAAAATTTTTAATCTTTGACCCTCAAAAGACAAAGTTCCCCAATTTTTCTCTAGAGCATTTTAAAGAGCTTAAAGAAAACAAATAATTTAGTATATTAACGCGTTTTTAAGTGTATTAGTTACGAATAAAATTCAAAATTTGTTAATTTAAAATTCCATGTTATTCTTAAGGAGAATAGTGTAAAATGATTTTGTTTGTTTGTTTATTGATATGTCTTAATACAACTTGTCAAATTTATTTGTTTTATACTAGGCTATTAATATTTTACTATAAACACACTTTATTAGCCTCCTTGTAGCAGCAAACCTAAGTATTCATTAAACTCAATGCTATTTTAGATTTAATTGAAAATCGGGCAAATGAAAATTCGCTTAGTCTGCAGGTTTGCTGAGACGGGGGTATTTAATATTTTCTCTTGTGATCCTTCCCTCTTATATAGTAAAGAATTAAAGTTTTTTTCAATAATCCCCTTTTATTCTGCATGGAGGTAACTAATTTTATCACTTTATGAATAAATGTTTAAATATCGTAAAAAGTAATAATATTTCAAAACACCCTGTATGGAGTGGTTTAATACACTTAAAACTAGTCTCAATCGATTTAAAATAACTAAAACCATCGAAAACCACACCTCACTCGACCTTAAACGTAAAAACAAAATTATTCAGGAACAAGGGCCCTTCGGAACAAAAAGGGCCCCAAAAAGGGCCTTAGGATGCCCAAAATTTTGGGGACTCATCAGATCTTAATTTCTCATATTATTAGTAACTCACAGGTGAAATTTCATGAATGTACAAATTTTGTTGTTTATATGGAGTGTTTTTTTATTATTTTACCTGTACTAATTGTACAATATAATCTGTAAGTAATTCATTTGCAGGTAAGTTACGAGGAGAAACCCAGAGAACAATGGCTCTTCGACTACCCAGCCCAAGTTTCTCTTTGCGGCACTCAGATTTGGTGGACTACGGAGGTGAACATTGCCTTCTCACGGTTGGAAGAGGGATATGAAAATGCAATCAAGGACTATCAGAAAAAACAGGTAAACTATAATTGAAAACAGTTCACCACTGTGCCTGGTATTATTAACTTTGTGTGTATGTGTTGAGTGAGCATTTCTATGGTGGTATTACATGTATGAGTATTAGTTAACTTTCTTCTAGACGTTTCTTATCTGTTGTATTTTATACTAACACTTCCAACTACATGATTCCCAAGCCAATCCCACAATCTTTGATTATATTAGAATATTTTTTCTAACTAACATTTCCAAAAACGATTTTCTCATTACACAACATTCCAGAGTATTGGAGCACATCCAAAATACAACATAGCCTAATAGATCTTTTATCCAACCAACACTTTAAAATACAACATACCAGAATAGTTTTACCAACCAACACTTCAAAATACAATATTATAGAATATTTTATCCAACCAACACTTCAAAATAAAACATTCCCGAATATTTTACCCAACCAACAATTCAAAATACAACATTCCAGAATATTTGATCCATCCAACCAGCACTTCAAAATACAACACTCCAGAATATTTTATCCAACCAACACTTCAAAATACAACATTCCAGAATATTTAAACAAACCAACCAACACTTCGAAATATATCATTCCAGAATATTTAAACCAACCAACACTTCAAAATACAACATACCAGAATATTTTATCTAACCAACACTTCAAAATACAACATTTCAGAATATTTAAACCAACCAACACTTCAAAATACAACATTTCATAATATTTTATCCAACCAACACTTCCAAATACATTCCAGAATATTTTCAACCGGTTGAAAAATTAACGATTTGATTTCATTCACCAACATTCTCTAGGGGTGTTATTTTTCGGGTGGAAATTGAGGTTAATCTTCTTCTTCAAGATTTACCAGCTGAGTTCTTTGATTTACCTTCTTCTGGGTGAATTGAGCAAGCAAGATCGCCAGAAGATCATGACGATCTGCACGATAGACGTTCACTCGCGAGATGTCGTGGCTCGACTCATCCAAACCAAAGTCGAGAGCTCGACCGCCTTTCAGTGGCAATCGCAGTTACGACACAGGTAGAGTATGTGATGTAGATATGAGCCGCATGTGAGGCGAACACTACCAACGCTTCTGTACAAACGCTGCCTGCAAGATAGAACGGCGGTTAGATGGTCTTCACTCCATAAACATAACCTAAAAGTATTAGCTTACGCCATAAACTTCCAGATAAATATTTGGTTTTTAAATTAGTTGTATAAATTAAGTGTATAAACAACTCAATAACTCATTAACCTTACAAGAGTTACACAAGTGATGCTACATTGACTTAACATACTGTAGTACATTGAAACATGTTTCACAAAATAATATTGTGTTTCTAACCATTTTCAATTGTTGCATAACTTTTTCAACAAAAACTGTTTCATGTGTTAACAATTAAAAAATTAGTAATAGGCTTGTTTTGTTATCCGCTACAATACATGAAATAGTTACTTAATCAAATACACTATTATTTTTTTAAAGATTTTGTTTTAGTCTTAGTTACAGATAAGTAAACTGTTCAATGGTTTGTAACAATTACCATTTATTATTTAACAATAAACTGATTGTATATAGTTAATAATTTATATCAACTCTAATTCATCCTCAAAAATACATACATACGTTGTAAATTACAAACTCATACGATTGCTTACACAGCTTGAAACTCAAATCAAGATCTAACCTCAAACATAACCATTTTCAATTGTTGCATAACTTTTTCAACAAAAACTGTTTCATGTGTTAACAATTAAAAAATTAGTAATAGGCTTGTTTTGTTATCCGCTACAATACATGAAATAGTTACTTAATCAAATACACTATTATTTTTTTAAAGATTTTGTTTTAGTCTTAGTTACAGATAAGTAAACTGTTCAATGGTTTGTAACAATTACCATTTATTATTTAACAATAAACTGATTGTATATAGTTAATAATTTATATCAACTCTAATTCATCCTCAAAAATACATACATACGTTGTAAATTACAAACTCATACGATTGCTTACACAGCTTGAAACTCAAATCAAGATCTAACCTCAAACATAACCGAAACTAATACCGTATTTTAACAAGTTACTAAACATGTCACAGCATAGTTCTGCATGTATGATAGAGTCCCTGCAGGAGACGGAGGATCATACGATCATCGCAGGTAATATGTACAATGTTTTGTATTGAAGATATACCAGTTGAGTACGCTGATTTCCCTTCTCATCGGAGAACTTACGCGGGGAGATCGACAGAAGATCATGACGATATGTACAATTGACGTACACTCACGGGACATGGTCGCCAGACTGATCCAAGCAAAGGTAGAGAACGCTCAAGCCTTCCAGTGGCAATCGCAATTGAGACACAGGTAAATGGCTGGACATTTACAATCGTTAACGCAACGCTGTCGCCTACATGCTTACGACTCGAATATGGAGTTAAGAGTTGATGTTTTGCATTGTCTGTTGTGCAAGCGGATATTTTTTTAAAGATTTTGTCTAGGAACTGTGCATGTGTAAAATGATGTCATTGTGCATGAGTATATTGTCGTCTGTTGCTAATGAATATTTTGCGATGGTTTTGTTTTTTGCATGTTTGAATCTTGTTTGTTAGTTTGTATTAGGTTTTAAATATGTACTTTATATTCTATGTCATGAAAGTAGTTAATAAAAAGAGTTGACAACTGTTAATGGGCATAATCTTTAACTTCTGACTATGCTTTGGCAGTAACAGACCTATGAAAGCATATAATTTTTACAAACATACTGAACATATATGTTCAGTCATTAAATATACTCATGATTGTTATTTATTATTGTTATTGTAAATGTAGACATACAATACAACTTTACCTGACTAAGTATTCAAACATTTTTGCAAAAATAATTTCATATTTATTTATACTTCAAATGTTTTAAACATTAGTTTTCATTATTGCTTTATTGTAACATTGTTTATATTTGTACTGTTTAACCTATTCCGCTTCTTTACCATTTTGACATTTTATTCTTTTACACTTTTTTAAAGTAGAATAAATTTACATTACTTGTTTTTTTGTTTTTTTTTTACAGCTTAGTAAAGCAACACTTTCTTACTTCAAACATGTGTTCATCTACTATTTCTATGTAATTTTTAACGTTCTCTTTAATATTCTCACTTTTTATATCCTCTTATATCTTAGGCATCCAAGCACTTGCTACTTCCTTAGGTAAAACATGTTCTTTTACATATTTATTATTTATTTGGATCAGCTAAATACATAAGATTACGTCCAGTAACATGTGAGCGTCTTGATGTCTACAAATTTATTCCTGACTATTTAATAACTTAAAATTATTACAACCAAAAAGAACAATCTATACCGCACAAGAGGTTAGATACCTCGTTGCCAAAGTAATCCTTAGACTAATAAATAAAAATGAAGAAAAATAATATATTTGCAAACTGGCATTATAATTAAAAATCAATTTGTTGACAATAAAACCAACCCTAAATTGAGGAAAAATATTTAATTAAAATCAATCCCTTCATGCGTTACTGGACATGTAAATAATATTGTTAACACCAACATTAACTTAAGGTTAGAAATTAACTTGACGGATTTTAACTGAGTTTACAGCAGATACAACATTCCAGAATATTTTATCCAACCAACACTTCAAAATACAACATTTCAGAATATTTTATCCAATCAACACTTCAAAATACAACATTCCAGAATTTTTTTTCCAACCAACACTTCAAAATACAACATTTCAGAATATTGTAAATCTGCTTGCAGTATCCAAAGTTAACACAAATTCTTCCTTGTATTACTTTTATTACTTTTGTTATTACTTTTTATTTCAGTAAATTGCTTCTCATTTTCAAATTTACTAGATATTACTTAAAATTCAAAGTTTGTGAACTTAACTTTCGTTCTGTTTGGTGTTACTAATCATTGTTTATAGATTTCATTTTTTTAATAAAGTGGGAGGTAAGTAAACAATAGATACTTAAAATAAATTGATCAGCAATACTTTCTAGTATTTTTTTTTAACTAAATAATAACAATCAAAAAATATATCATTTACAAAGAAACTACAAAAGATTTAAATAATAACTAAGGAGTACAGTTATTTTTTTATTGAAAAGGCTACACTTTCATAGAATAAACTTTAGTGGAAAACTTTGTTTTCTAATCATATTCAAATCTTTGAACTAAAAAAAAGATTATGATTGCATATACTGGGTCCTGGAATTGAGTTTAAATTAAATCAGTATTTTGATGGTATGTTTGAGTTCCATCTAATATCATAATTTTCAATTGTGAAAATAGAATAACAGTGCTACGATGTACAAAACAAAATACTGTCCTGTTTCACTGTCCAAAATGCAAAAAATATTCAACTTGCCAAATACCAAGACATTTCAAAAGTATAGTTATATATACAGTAGACTCCCACTTATCCGGACTCCTCGGGACCGAGACCAATCCGAATAACGTTTTTTCCGGTTAAACCGAGGTCCCCAAAAACTCGTTAAAACGGACCGTTTACTGTGACATTTGAAATAAATTTAGGAGAGCATTGTATTTGGACACGTGATCACTGGTCTCAAATCTTTACCAAGAGAACAGTCGTTTCAGTACCGTCCACTTCCTGCTGATCTAGTCCGGTTAAACCAATGTGCTGATAAAAATTGTCCGGTTAAAGAGATGAAATTTCTGCCGATTGTAATCCGGTTAACCCGATGTCCGGTTAAAAGGTGTCCGGATAAGAGGGAATCTACTGTGTAGTATTTAGATGATTAGCTAATAGGTCCCTTAGTCTTGAAATCGATTAAGCGAATACACAAAACTCATATTTTACAACTATTGTTCGTTTCTTTAAGACTATGAATTACCTAGTTTCATTATTTATAGCTATATAGCTACCAGCTGAGTGCATTTATAGAACCAATATGAATTAATATATTGGCAATAGAGGATGAATTCAGGCGTTCTCTATTGGCTTTGCCAAAAGCTTGTCGTTGCTCCTGTTGCTCGTGTTAATGTTGTTCTCACTCCACGCAGGTGGGACGAGCGTGAGAGGGACTGTTACGCCAACATTTGCGACGCTCAGTTCCGCTACTGTCACGAGTACCTCGGCAACACACCGCGGCTCGTCATTACGCCACTCACTGACAGATGCTACATCACGCTCACCCAGGTTTGTAAAATATGGCGTCTTTGTTGCCTTCTCAAATAACGTCAAGGGTTACTGTGGGATAATTTGAATACGTTACTTTTAAAATTCAATAAAAAGACAAATTTTGTAGTGCTAGTATTTTGATGCACACGCATTTAGACATTCTGAGGACGATGGGATGTAGTTAGGGACGCCCCTGTGATGATGGGAGATGATTTCTCTTGCACTGTTACCTAGTTCCGTAGTTTCCTAGTTCTTTGTAACACTGAATTTAATAATGACCAAAATAATAAATAAAACAAAAAAACTGCTGCTTGCTTAACAAAAATAATAATAAACTGATATTTAAAAATAAAATGGCAACTGATGGCCTTAGAAAGGGAATTGAATATAAAGATAAAGTTACTGATGAACTTATAGTTTGAAGTTTGGTGGACTGTAGTACTGTAGAGACAAGAGTGACCGGGGGGAAAGGGGGGAGGGAGAGAGAGAGCGAGAGAGAAGATATGTCGGTCGGTCCAAACTATGGAATTGAAACAATTGGATTGGGACTGAACTGTTTGTATTTACTATTGTGAAATAACATTATGGAATGAAATATTCTTCTAAGGCCAAATTGGAACTAAAAATATAATAGAAATCCTTCACAGTTACCCTTTTCTACTTTGTGTTTGTTTTCATATTTGAAATGCCTCGGTGATTATTAATTTAAACTTTCAATTAACACTGGAACTGTGTAGCTTATCTCAAAGAAACTAACAAACATGAAATAAAAATTGTTCAACCTTGTTGTGTTTTTTTCTTTCTGAAAAACACTTTTAGAAGCTTATTATTTTTATTTGAACTTTTGTACTAACAGCATTTATCTGTAACTTGATTGATGATTTATGTTTTTCGTAATCATTATCTATCTATGTGTGCAAGTGCACATACAAATTATTTGGTTATCGAATGAGTTTGAAGAAAAGTAAATAATGTATCGATTAATTACCTAATTATTGTTAAAAAATGTACTTTGTTAACGTAAATTGTTTATGTTTAAGTCTCTTCATCTGGTGATGGGAGGAGGTCCTGCTGGTCCAGCTGGTACTGGCAAGACTGAGACTACCAAGGATCTGGGCAGAGCGCTGGGCATCATGGTCTACGTGTTCAACTGCTCTGAACAGATGGACTACAAGGTGAGTGGGATTTGACATGTTAATGATGGCGCCGTGATTGCGAGACATGTTAATGATTGCCCTGAGGTTGCAAGGAATGTTGACGATGGCGCTATGATTGCGGGATATGTTGACGATGGCGCCGAGGTTGCAAGAGATGTTAAAGATGGCACCGAGATCGCAAGAGATGTTAACAATGGCGCCGTGATTGCGGGATATGTTAACGATGCCGGCAAGGTTGCAAGTGATGTTGACAATGGTGGGAGACGAGTAATGAGTGAGGGACGATGTTCCCTTTTATTGTTTTTCCCAAGTAGGCGCTCTGTAGTCCACAGACCACAGCTTATTATTCGCCTAACAATCTCAAAGTTGCCGGTTCAATCCTGAGAAAGGTCAGTAGCTTTTTGATGGTTCCAATTAGACTCAAAATTATCCTGACCAATGACACAGCTGGTCTTAGTCAGTAACCAAGCTACACAGATCATCTCACACTCTACACTCATCCTTCACTCATATTTGGGAATAAGCACCTAGGTTGTGTCCCCATCCCAATCAATAGTTGATAATTGATACTTCCGTTTCCAAATTTCAAAAATACAGAATATACTGCTAGAATATTTACAATTTTTCCTTCGCTGTGTTACAGTCCTGTGGTAACATATACAAGGGACTTGCCCAGACTGGAGCTTGGGGCTGCTTTGATGAGTTCAACAGAATCTCCGTAGAGGTACTGTCTGTTGTGGCAGTCCAGGTCAAATCTGTTCAAGTAAGTCTAGTTTCATTTTTAATGGTTTTTGACTGATGCCTCTCATACAATTTGTAAAATAATTAGGTTTCGGGTGCAGTTACGTCAAGATATATAAGCATAAACAAATTAAATGTATTTTTTTAAGGTTAGCTCTTTACACTACAGAATATTTAGCTTGACACTACAAGTTACAGTCCTGATAAAGAAGGGTTGACTTGGATTAGAAAGCTAGCACTTGTTTTGTACAAGAAGATCATTGTTTCTAAAAATATGCCTTCATTTATCCTTATACAGTATATAATACGTGAAGGCGATTTCTACGAAACACTACTCCTCCGTTAACAATGGTGGGGTTTTTATAAACTATGTGTCAACATGAAACATTGATTGTGTAGATGCCCCCTTTCACAAATTCCTGTAATAAAAGTCCTTGGGCTTTGCCCCACAGGCCATCAAAATCCCAATTTATTTCTTCTAAAGAAAATATTTTGTTTACCTACTACTAATAATTTTTATTAATTACAGCTGTTCATAGTAAACACATGATACACACAAGAGCGTTCGTTTTCAGAGTGAGTTCGTTTTCAGTTTCGATAACTGGAGTGGAGTGATTGATTACATTAACTTTGAGTTGACTCTTTATGTCATCGGAAATTATGACTGTTATTCGTTTTGAAATAATGCCTGTAATACTTAGCAATTGCTCAAATTCGAGCAACAGGTGCACTAGTTTATTTAGATTAGAATCCAATGCCAAAGAATTGACTCAGATCACTTGGCTATGATGGATATTTTAAATTACATATTTTTAATATCTGATACCATGGGGAGCGAGCTGGTGTAGTGGTTAGAGCGCCGGACTTCGGTCCCTGAGGTCCCGGGTTCAAATCCCGCCAAATGACCAATGGATTTTATCTAAGTGATAATGCTGCAACCCCTAGGCCTAGCCTGGAGTAATGTGAAAAACAATCCCAGGCTCGTGCCTAGCGTCCTAGGACCAAAAATAAAAATATATCTTGTACTAATAATTTAAATATTACTTACAACAACTAACTGTTTAAAAAATTATTGTTCTGGCAGGACGCCATACGAGACAAGAAGAGTCTGTTCAACTTCATGGGAGAGATGATCGCAATGGTGCCAACAGTGGGGATCTTCATAACAATGAACCCTGGTTATGCTGGCCGAACTGAGCTACCTGAGAATCTTAAAGCTTTGTTCAGGTAATACATAGGCCCTATAATAATTATTTTTATTACTTTTGACACATTTCTACAGCCTGTATTGCCCATTTCCAGTTTCACACTTTTTTGTCAAACCACTCGCTGACATGAAGTCTCTTCGTCAACATAGCCTCTATTTACATACCCCAACTGTGTTTATGTTGTCCTGTCTTATTGCTGTATACAATTAATTATTATACATCACAAGCTTATTATGCACTCATAATAAACAAGTTCAAAATGTAGAATTGTAAAACACATTCTGAGACATAAAATATAATAAAAGTTCCTTTTTAAATTTAGTGACATGCAGTGAACTACTAACAATGTAGAAAACCAAACATGTTATTTCATTCTTCACTCTTGTGTTCAAACAAGAGATAAATCTTCAAACTATTGAAACTTTTAAGGAAATAGTTGCCTACTTCGGAAGGTAGCTTCTCAAACTCAAGTATAAAGTATACTCGTCAGTGCAGAAATCACCTTCCAATTCTTTTATCTTGTCCAAGAGCTGTATTACGTTACTAGTCAGGAAAAAAGGTGTTGACTAGACAAACAAGGAAGTTCCCATACCATAGCTCGAGGAGTAAACAAATACATTTAGGACGAGCGGCGTACAATATTCTTGCCAATACTATCCTAAACCAACCTAACGATTAAAATCTGTCTTATGCTGCCACCAGCTTAAGGACTTATCAATCACTACTCATAACTTCTGTGGGAGGTTATGTTTCAGTTTATTATTCACTGCCATTAGAATATTAAACTACTTAGTACAACACTTTTTTGAGGTTTTATCTCTAGAAGTAAGTTTGTTTAGTGTACATTCTTTTACGTTGATAATTATTTATGTCTAAACAATATACAAGGTGTTCAATATCTAAAAATAATCATAATCAGCTGATGTCCGGCAAAATCCATAATGAGATCCTGTTTGATTAAAAAAGCGTCAAACAGCTGTTTTCCGGACTAAATCCATGCGTGGAAAGTCCATCAAAACAGTTTAGGGAAGTCTTTACAGCAACATATTGTTTGTCCCCAGACCGTGTGCCATGGTTGTGCCAGACTTTGAGTTGATCTGTGAGATCATGTTGGTGGCCGAGGGTTTCCAGGAGGCTCGCGTCCTCGCAAGGAAGTTCATCACTCTGTACACCTTGTGCAAGGAACTTCTCAGCAAACAAGACCACTACGACTGGGGATTGAGAGCCATCAAGTCTGTTTTGGTGGTCGCTGGTTCTCTCAAGGTAAATGATCTCTTGCTTTCAACTCTGCATTGGTTATGTCCATCTTCCTTGATGAACATCTATTCAGGAAATTATGTGACATCCTGTTTAGAGTTAAAAAAAAAAATATATTAACTGACATTTCATGATCTTACTTACAAAGTGCTAGGCCTACACCCATTTTTTTGTATCAACTGCAAGCAACACTTGATGCTGTTTCAAAGACGTGATTGAATGGTATGATTTGACAGAGAGGTGACCCCGGCCGGCCAGAAGAAGAGGTGCTTATGCGAGCCCTCCGAGACTTCAACATTCCGAAGATCATTACAGACGACGTGCCTGTTTTCATGGGCCTCATCGGAGACTTGTTCCCAGCTTTGGACGTGCCGAGGAAACGAGATATGGAGTTTGAGCGAACGGTGAAACAAGCTGCGATGGACCTTCTATTGCAACCTGAGGATAACTTCATCCTGAAGGTTACACAGTTCTGACAATGTAGGAAAAGGAATCGGCTGGGCTCCAACTAGTCATATTAATCAATCATATAACACAACCATTTCCAATGAAACCCATTTTATGGGGTTATTGCAGATTTTTCTATCACAATTTGTAAAAAAAAACAATGTTTTCATAATTTTTTTCATGATCTGAAATCTGATTCTGTCCTCTGGGGATAAAGTACTTAAACATAAAAAAATATTGTACACAAAACAAAGCTGGAAGATCATAAAAGAATAGCCAAACAAATATCTGTTTCAAAACGCAAGTCTTTTATTCTGAAAATGGAATTTTAGACTGTGCACATGATTGAAGCATGATGAAAAGAAAAAAAATACACTATTTTCTGCTATTACGTTTAGTTTTTTTTTATGCTTTTCGGATAAAACTACCAACCTAACTTAATAATTTATCATACTATTACAGCAAAGTTTTCAGATCCAATCAAACATGATACATCATAAAGATCACTTGGAAATCACATGGATTTTTTGAAAATTCATGCCCAAAACAGTACAGTATAACCTCTTTAATCCGAACCCCCGTAATCCGAACGTCCACTAATCCGAACCCCTCATTGCTGTACTTTATACACAGTACAGCAGTTCTTTATTGTATACTGTATTAAATGTACAGTACTGTTTATTCACCATGTTTACTACTGTATCAAATAAACACTGTATTTCAATTTATAAAACATTTTTTTCACTTTTCCCAAAATAATTTAGATAAATTTTAGCCATGTTTTAGCTATTGTTATGTAAAAACAACAATATATTCTGTAATCCAAACTATTCACTAGTCCGAACCACCCCTGGTCCCAATTAGCTCGGATTAAAGAGGCTCTACTGTATTTTCTTGATCTAATGAACGTAAATTTTGTTTTGGTGGTGTGGAGACACTGTTTTTTGGTACTTAACATAGTTTGTGGCTTTTCCCAGGTGGTTCAGCTGGAGGAGTTGCTGGAAGTGCGACACTCGGTGTTTGTGGTTGGTAACGCTGGCACTGGCAAGACCCAGGTGTGGAAGACGCTTCTCAAGACGTACCACAACATGAAACGCAAACCTGTCTTCAACGACCTCAACCCAAAGGCCGTCACCAATGACGAACTGTTCGGCATCATCAACCCCGCCACCAGGGAGTGGAAGGATGGTTAGTGAAGATCATTATCATTAGGTATGAAAGTCAGAGGCTACATAAAGGCGAACAAGTCGGTGCCTGGGGCCCTGCACTTTTCAGGGGCCTGCATAGCCGTATTTCAGGTATTAAGAGAGGCCCGCTATTGAACTTCGCCTTGGGCCTCGCAATCTCTTGATCCACCACTGATGAAAGTGTAGATTGTACGAGAACTATTCAGAAAGTTAGGAATATTTTTAAATAAAATTACATTTTGTACATAAGAAAACAACTTGTACAGTAAAAATTTCAAAGAGCAACTGAAATATTACTTTTCTACATGGTTGTTAAACAAAATGAGACTCTTACTTTAGCGGTGGACGAGGTTTGATTTTCCATCCTTTGTCTTAGAATTCTGCTGCCAACGCGCTCAGCTACCTGGTGACACACAATTTGAGCTCATAGTCGTCAAGGCGCTTTTCAATAAGTGTGGTTTTCAGGTTTATTCTCTGTCATCATGAGAGAACAGGCCAACCTAAATGGAGATCATCCTAAATGGATCATTCTGGATGGAGACATTGATCCCATGTGGATTGAATCTCTCAACACCGTCATGGATGACAACAAGGTATGGAGGCATTTCGGACTTAAGACTCTGAAGTTAACTCTTAAGTTAAAAGCAAGACAGATTTGATCCTTGTCATATTCAGAAACTTGTAAGGTTTTTGGACTGCTTTCCCTTCAAAGCGTGTGGTGTTCTTTTAACAAAATTGTTGCTGGTGTGAATAATAAAGGTGTGCTGTCATAATTGGTAGAACTGTACATGCATGTTGTATTACAGAATATCAATTTAATTTTCCTTAACTTTTTAACAAAACACTTAGACTATTTATAAGTTAATATACTGTTACTGACTGTTAGGATGGGATCTCATCATTTGTCCGAGTTTTCAACTGTCCGAGTTTGTTAAAAATTACAAAATATTTGACAAATCAGTTGTCCAAGTTTTCATTTGTCCGAGTTTTGATAAATAACTAATAATAGAGTTTTCATTTGTCCGAGTTTATTAAATTATTTAAAAAAATGTTGAAATATCAAGTGTCCGAGTTTTCAACTGTCCGAGTATGGTTTAAATAATAATAATATTTGGTTAAATCAACTGTCCGAGTTTTCATTTGTCCGAGTAGGGTCAACATCAAATGTGACACTGCGCGCCGAGACTAGCGTGTCTAATGCGCCTGGTCAGAAACCTATGTAAACCTTTTCTGCGAAGGAGTCAGGCATTGTGCGAGCCGCGAGAGCCCCTCATCACGTTGACTTAAGAAAAATTTTATTATTTTTATTATAAGACTAATTTTACAATTTTATAAAATTAAACTGTCATCACCTAACACAACCAACCAAACATGCCGATAATATCAAATACTCCCGCCGCAGCAAACCTGCAGACGAAGCGAATTTCAACTTGTCTGATTACATATTTACTAAAATATTTCCATAAATAAGCGAGTGCTTAGGTTTGCTGCTACGGGGAAGGTAAACAGTGTTTTTTGACCATACGTCAATAGCATAGGATGAAATAAACAAAATTTCCAAATAAAATACATGTCATTGATAGAGGGCCAATTGAGAACAAAAAGTCGTTTTGTGGTAGTGTTAGGGCGCATTTGTAACCTAATAGTTAAGATTGTCCAGAGTCAGGTGGTGACTGTGATGTGTTAAGCGGTTAAGCCTATTACGCGCCACTGTTCTGTAGCTGAGGTCGTTATCACGATTACGCCTCCTGTCTATGTTTCGTTGTCGTCTCGTCAGAGGCATTTAAAACAAAGAAACAACAAATAAACAGTTTAAAGCTACACAAAACAACGATAAATGCACAAATTTAAGTTACAACCATACTAACATGATCCATCACGGGGGTTATGTTTACACAAACTCAAATAGTAGGTAAATAAATGTACTCAATGCGTTTCATTGAATTTAAAAATAAATAACAGCAATTAAATTATACAGATGATCAAAATGTAAACAATTAAGTTCTCCATAACGATGACATGGGAACCTTCAAAGCCACTGGGGCAGGGCCCAAGGGACTTTTTCAAACATGTAAGGTCAGTTTGTAAATCTGTGTGACACACTCTTTCCAATGAGACGTCAATGGATAAAATCGGTTAAGAAATGGCGGAGGAGTTCAACCAACAATTATATAGATAGAAGATATATCTTCTCCCACAATCCCCCACTCTATTGCAGAAGAGGTTTACATCGACTTCTGACCCTACCCAGACAGTTAAAAACTCGGACAGTTGATATTTCGGTATTTTTTTTAATAATTTAAAAACTCGGACAAATGAAAACTCGGACAGTTGATTTAACCAAATATTATTATTATTTAAATCATACTCGGACAGTTGAAAACTCGGACACTTGATATTTTGATTTTTTTTTTAATAATTTAATAAACTCGGACAAATGAAAACTCGGACGACTGATTTTTCAAATATTATGTAATTTTTAACAATCTCGGACAGTTGAAAACTCGGACAAATGAACCTCACCCGTTAGGATAACATTCCTTCCTACCTAACCAAGCTGATGAGAATGAGAATGAGAATTTTATTTGGTCTTTTAAACATGCAGTTACATGCAATCAGACAAGTCATATAATAATCATCTGGCAACAATCAGTTGAATGGATGGAACAATCAGCTGGATGGATCAGCTTATCTTTGAAACAAACCTACAAAAAGGGCAGTACAGTATGAAGAAGAGTCTGTCTTATTTATTCTGTGCCTCTTATAAAGTTATTTGCTGAATTTGGCCAGTACAGTGTATGTCACTGTTTTTCAACCTACTGGCCCAATGACGCTTGCTATTTTTAGCTTTTACAGGTTTTTTCTACACTACAAAACCTCACTGTTTCAAAACTCGCCATGCTTTCTCATATTCACTTACCATTAAAATTCAAACTCTTGTGTATCATTCTCCTTTAAAACCATTACATACAACACTTCTGAAACCATGTAGGTAAATTTTAACTCTAAGGTAAACTTGAGTTATACTTTTTAGAGACTATTTGGTATTATGAGAAATATTTGTCTAGATCCTAACTCTGGCCAGCAACGAGCGGATCGCCCTCAACCCGTCGATGAGGCTGTTGTTTGAGATATCTAACCTGCGCACAGCCACCCCGGCAACTGTCTCTCGTGCGGGCATCCTTTACATCAACCCGCAGGATCTCGGCTGGAACCCGTGAGTAATTTTCTTAATGTCACATTGGGGAAGAAATGTTGTACATTTAACAATGAGTGAAGTTATCCTCTGACACTACTCCAGCTTTGATAGCATAGACACACCTCTAGATTTCAACCTACCAAGTATGATTTAAGGCCAATCATTTTACGAATGACATGAACCGATTTATTAAAATTGTAGTCAGGATGAGGTTGGAACACTAGGAGATACAAAAGGGTTGGGGTAGGACTTAATCAATTTGGTAGTCAAAAAATTGTTTCAGCATCGTTATTTGCTAGTTGAGACAACATTTTATGATATAATTTAATATATTTTAAAACTTTACTAAAAGTCTTTAACTATTTCATTTATTGTATTAAAATTCTAAAAGAAGAACATTTAGGAGGAACTTTTATGTATAGTGGTTGTGTGTGGAAGAAAATTAAGTTACCTCAAATTCAATGTGTCTCCGTGGAATCTTTTTTTTTTATGTGCTTCATCAACATCTCATCAGTGTCAATAACTAAAAGTCTTGATGTTTTGGGGATTGATGTAGAGGATGTGATCTGAAAATCCTCTACACCAATCCCCAACTTATCAGGCCTGTAAACGTCATTTCCACCTTCTTCGGTTTCCTCTATATGCAAATGAACCAGTTCTTTGTAACTTAGGGTTAAAAGTTCATTTGTAACATTTTGTAAGTTGTTGCACACTAAAACCACTAAAACTACTGTTAAAAGTCAATAAAAAACTATTTTAAGAAATGTATGTATTTATTATTTACCTAAATATACTGTACACTGATTAAACCTTAAAATTGATCACTTATTGCATCAGAGCACATTTTTACTGGAATAAATAATTTTAAATCCTAAATTGGTGGTTTATTTATGCCCTTATTCCTTATAAGAGGTATTCACAACAATATAACAATATGGAGTTCTAATACTATTCCTTTTCATTCCAGCTATGTTACCAGTTGGATCGAGACAAGAGAGCACACATCCGAGAAGTCAAACCTTGTCATTCTGTTTGACAAGTACATCCCATCATGTCTGGAGAATGTTCGAACACGGTAAATAGGAATTTTTGTTTATTTTAACTAGGCGAAGTAGAAATAGTGGTACGGTCTGCATAACAAGGAGACCATTAAATGAAGTAGGGATGTTCGGGATTGTAATTTTATTGCAAAATAGGGCAAAATCACATTAATAAGTTATGTTTAACAGAGCATTACAAGCAACAAAAACTGAGCAAAACACTGTAATGGTGAGAAATTATAAGAATTTAAGTCAAGCATAATATTTTCTTCAGCAAAATCAAAATGTTTGTCAACTTCTAGTGATATAGCTGCACAATTATAAGCTTACAGCAGTAGAAAATAGATGAGATTGCGAAATCCAATACATCTCATCTCAATATTTTAGATAAAAGGATTCAAAATGGAAAATAAGTTTACACACAATTAATATCTTTACAGTAAAAGCGTGGTTGGCATCCAATGATCTGGAAAATCAGTCTGTTTAAGCCTTTTTTGGCAGAGTCAACTCAGTCAAGTGCAATCGGCAGACGTCGAGTCGAGAGCCATCAGAAGACATTGAGTGCCATTAGTAGACGTCAAGTGCCATTGGTAGACTTTGGGATGCATCGGCATCCATCGATTGTGTTCAGTAGATGTCGGTTGCGATCAGCAGATATTCTGCCCAAGATCAAAAGATTGTTTATCCCGGAAAAATTAGAATGTTCAGCTCTTGATAGTAGGTTACCCTATTTTTCCCCTTTGTTGCTGATCAGGTCGCGGCAGATAACCTTAAATTTAACTCCTAGGAAGAACCATTAACTATGAAAAACAACCCAAATTAGGTTCAGATTTAAACCTACAACTTCTTATTGTTCTTATTTCAGATGAGTATCAAGGACCAATACAACTCACCCATATCTTTTATTTTGTCTCTTCTTATTTTCCAATATTATGTTAATCATAGTAATTAAAATCACCATCGTCATAATTTTCTGCTACCTTTTATTTCTTGCGTAAACATTTTTACCAAACTGTTGGTGTAGGTTCAAGAAGATCACTCCCATCGTAGAGATGGCGCATATACAGATGCTCTGTCATCTTCTCAACTGTCTTCTCTCGCCCACCAACACCCCACTGGACTGTCCCAAGGAGTGGTACGAGTTGTACTTCTGCTTCGCCTGCGTTTGGGCCTTTGGAGCAGCTATGTTTCAGGACCAGGTAAATATATAAAAATAACGTTACAAATTTCTAAGGAAAATATTTTTATTTTTAATCAAGATGTTTACTGGTTATTGACTCATTGGAAAGCCATAGAATTCACAAATAAGTGTCGGAAATCACTGATTTTAAAAAAAGCATTCAAAACTGTAGGTTTTTATAAGAGCTACAAAAGGAAATTTGTAAAAAAATTTGTCAGAAAAACTTTTACTATTCTATCGAGATATTTGCTGGCAATAGGAAGCCATGATAAGCGTTATTTCATTCACTCGTTCAAACAGATGAGGCTACTAAAATAATATGGTATTCTCAGTATTCTATTACCAAGGAACTAGGCCTGTATTTTTCTCTGATTGCTGTTAATAGGATTAGCGTTATTTCACTCGCTCTTTCTGACGTCACGATATAGTATGGTTTTCTCAGTATTCTATTATCAAAGTATTATATTATTTCGTGATGATCACGGTGAATACGAAGACACGATCAGCGTTATTTCACTACAAACAGCTCAGACATTACAAAGATAATAGGGTATTCTAAGAAACCTATTACCAATGTAATATCTGACACAGTAATAGCAGTATTTATTCATCCAATTACATTTAATGTTCCCCACCTCTAAAGGAGACATAGGTTTTTATAAATTATGTATTTACTATTTAACCAGCGCAAAATGAAATTTTACATTGCATTTACCAGTGAATTTTCCTTGTTCTGTTCACTCTATCTTTGATGACCAATCTCACTAGTACAATCTGTTTATTTTCAATGTTTCGATCCTGAACTCGTTTCATCCTGACAGACGGTCGACCACCGAGTTGAGTTCACCAAATGGTGGATCAATGAGTTCAAATCCATAAAGTTCCCACCGCAAGGCACTGTGTTCGACTACTACATTGATGTGGAGACGAAGCAGTTCCTGCCGTGGACAGAGCGACTGCCCAAGTTTGAACTGGACCCGGACATGCCACTACAAGTATGTTCTATATAATTACTTTATGCTTACACAATGAAATAAAACGGCAAAAAATTTGCCGAACTGGCAGTATAGAAAAAGTCACCTGTTGAATAAAGAGGAAAGAGAAAGCTCATCGTGTGTGAAAAAAGTTTCTTTTGTATTTACAGTATTAGGCCTATCATTGACCAATGTGCTTAAAGTATTTTTTATTGTTTATCAATATCTTCTTTTATTACAAAAAGTATGCACATTTTGGATTTTTACTAACAATTTATTGTAAATTTCTGTCTTTTCTTTCGTTTTTTTTTTCCCCCCTTGGATACATGGTTCTTGCTTAGGACCGTTTTTCACATTTCTTTAGAACAGACCTAGGGGTTGCGACATTATCACAAACAAAATAAAACTAGTTGTGACACTAGCTATAGCTACAATCAGGATTGGCATGAAACAGGTGTTTGCCCCAATTTCATATATTCAACGTAACCCGGAGGCTAACATTAAAAATGAAAAAAATAAAGTAAAATCCATTGGCAATTTGGCAGGATTTGAACCTGGAACCTTAGGGACCAAAGTCTCACACTCTTACCATTAGGCCAGCTCGTTCCCCATTTAAAAGGTTATTTGGAACATCTTTTTCTCTGAACAATAATTAATTAAAACAATAATTGACGTCAGTTCAAGCTCTGGTCTTTAACCCCCCCCCCCCCTCTCTGAGACCATTAAAATGTTGAGTTTTTTTAGTACTGTATTGGTTTTTTTGTTTTTTTCCCCTTGTTCAGTTTGTTTACATCTTGTCATGATCTAGGTTCCTTTGCACCTGAAGACAGTCAGATTCCTAGTTCTAAACGTCGTGAAACTGTTTTACTGCCGACAGAAAATCACCGTACCATAATTTCAGTAACTTTGCTACTGAGTAGGTTGAGCTGTTTTTTTTACCAATATTTATTAAAAGGGATCAAGAAACAGCTGGGTCAATTTTTAAACCAACAAATAGCGACTTTTCCCCGGGTTAATCCTGCTTTCTCAGAGTATTTGGCAAGCACCGTAACTGTGCGGGTACTCAGCTGTAAATGTCCATAATAATTCTTCAAACAGCTTGAGTATTTTCAGAATTTGAGTATCTGTTATTTGTCTATTACTCTAGGCTGTACTGGTCCACACGGCAGAGTCCATAAGAGTCCGCTACTTTGTGGACCTCCTCATGGACAACAAACACCCCGTGATGTTGGTGGGTAACGCTGGCTGTGGCAAAACTGTTTTGGTCAATGAGAAACTGACCAGCCTCTCTGAGAACTATGCGGTCGCCAACGTTCCGTTCAACTTCTATACCACATCAGGTATAGTGTGTCATCCAGTGTCTTTTAGTAGATTGTGGTCAGCGAGCAATGTATTTTAATTTGTATTTTGGTGTGTAACTCGCAAAATATTCTCTTACGCTACGTTTTTAGTTGTAATGTACTAATTGGTAAAATGCTAGATGAACTGTTAATTCATAATGGTTATGTTTAATGTTTTACAATTAATTTGGAAAAGTGTTTGATTCAGGCTATAATTTGGTTGAGTGTGTAAATTTGGACTGAAAACTAGTTATAAAAAATATATAAAGGACTACTAGGAGCTAAACCGGGTGGGATTGAGTTAGGTATGAATAAATCGGTAAAGATACAGCTAAAGACAGCATAAAAGGGATAGTACAAAAAGCAAAACTTCAGATGTTTTGGCACGTGAGAAGAGATATATAATCCTATGAAAAAGTTTATGGTGATAGAGGGTAGGAGATTGAAAGGAAGATAGAAGAAAATAGATGGACAACATGATGAGGGATGTAGAAACAAGAAAAGTGAGATGGCGGACGTTAAGGGAAGAAAAACAATGGAGGAATATGATAAAATGGAGATCCGTTGGTGACGCCTACCTTGAAATATCCAGAATAGAAGACAATGTGGATGTAAAGTAATAAATAGGCTGCCTACCATGTTTATTCTTATATTGATGTTATAGGTAGAACGGCTTACATTAAGACTAATGTAAATCAAATTGCTGTGGATTTAATGTCGAAGCACATTTCAGCACATTATGTCAAAACAGTTTCTTACATTTTTTTTGGGTCAACTGTATTTGTCTGATGGTATAATAATGTAAGTCTTAACTTTTTTCAGAAATGCTACAAAAAATATTAGAAAGACCGCTGGAAAAGAAAGCTGGCAGGAACTACGGACCCCCTGGAAACAAAACCTTAGTGTACTTCATTGACGATATGAACATGCCCGAGGTATTCATTTTAATTTCATCATTGTATCTTGTTTTGTTAAAGTTCATAATTTGGGAATAAATCTGATATATTAAAGCAATATTTTGTCAGCGACAGGGGTTATTTTACTTCATGATTTAGGCAGTATCTTCTATATTATTTTGATTCAAAACGATAATTCCAATCAAAATAGTTTTTATCCCTTGAGGTTTTCAATGTGTTTCAAGTTTGGAATGTGTAAACGATTGAAAGCTACCAGCTGCTGTTAAGTCACATGTCAATCAATATGTGCATTTATCCAAGTACATTTATAAATGTACAGCTGAAAGCTGACTAGAACAATTTTATTCCACATGCAGATTTAGCATACTATTTAGCTGCAACTGATAGTTGTCAAATCTGTACAGTTTGAGGAGCTATATATTGATGAAGAGATGTTTGGTCGGCAGGTTGACGCTTACGGCACCGTCCAGCCTCACACCCTCATACGTCAACATCTGGACTACATGCACTGGTACGACCGCACCAAGTTGACACTCAAGGACATACACAACTGTCAATACGTGGCCTGCATGAACCCTACAGCTGGCAGCTTCACTATCAACCCGAGGCTGCAACGTCACTTCTGTGTCTTTGCTGTCAGGTTGGTAGAACTGAGCTTCGGATCATCGTGGCAAAAAACGTCCATGTGGGGTACCGTAAAGTGAAAATGAAAGGCAAGCTACACAGTACTAAGCAGTGCTGAATTGTAAAAAATGAGGTACCGGAACCGTAACCTATTTAATGTGATTTGTACCTATTTATGCCAATATTTTTTATCTTCCCCAAAAAAGGTACTGGAACTCCATTCCGCAGCATTTCCCTGCAAATCAAGCACTGGTACTAGGTAAGAGATATTAAAATACACATCTTCACAAAACGAGCACAATCAATATATATTTATATCAAGATGCATTTACACAATTTTCTCTTTACAACAGCTTCCCCAACTCGGAGTCGCTGAGTATGATTTACTCGTCCATTCTGAGTCAACATTTCGCCAACGTGGAACATCGTTTCCCCCACCTAGTAACAAGACTGTGTCCCAACGTGGTCGCAGCGACAATCGCAGTTCACAACAAGGTTGCGCAAGTGTTCCTTCCTACAGCGATCAAGTTCCACTACATCTTCAACCTACGAGATCTTTCAAATGTCTTCCAGGTACTGTATTCACATTAATTCTGATCATTGGTATTGAAAATAATAGATTGGACCTAAGTTTTGTCATCACTGTCATATATATTTCATATTTGTCATATTTGTTGCAGGGACTCCTGTTCAGTTCTATGGACTGTCTCACTCAACCTACAGATCTGGTTAGACTTTGGATGCACGAGTCTCAAAGGGTATACGGAGACAAGCTCACTGATGAGAAAGACGCAGACGCCTTCATGAAGATCCAAATAGACATTGTCAAAAAGAGTTTTGATGTAAGTAAAAGTAAAAACAATAGAACTAGTTGAGTTGATATTAGGTTGACGTTCTAGCAGTCTTCACTTAAAAATTCAGTCTTCACACCTTTGGATTTGAAAACTCAAATGTTATTGTATCAACCTTTCCTAAATCAAAATAGTATTAATCAGTAAGCCTGAGCCACCCAACATTATAAAGATGGGCCTCTTCTTGCCAAGCTCTGCCAGTATACCCCAGACCTAACCGAAACAGGAAATTTCAAACCATGTTATTCGACGACTCTATAATGTATGAAGCATTCTTGTTATATATCCCAGACGATGACTGAATGAATAGGCCAAACATTTTGTGAGTTTGACTATCACATTTTGAACTGCTGATGTAACGGTACCTTAGATTTGTTTATATTTATGGCTTCCAATGGTATGTCCACTTCATGTATTCCTCTGACTGCAGGAGCTGGATGAAGGTGCTGTGCTAGAGAGGCCCAACATCTACTGCCACTTTGCCCAAGGTATAGGAGAGCCCAAGTACATGCCTATCTATGAGTGGCCAGTGCTCACCAGGCTACTACAAGAGGCCCTGGTCAGTTTCAATGACCTTGTGGCCGCTATGAACCTCGTGCTGTTTGAAGACGCCATGATGCATGTTTGCAGGTAACGTATTAGATTTGTACAACGCACCAGGTTGTGTATTTTTAAGAGGGTGTAGAATGAACGAAGAGTGTAACTTGTTACTGATCAAGATCAGCTGGTTCCTTTATCACAATCCCAAGGATCAAGGGTTGTGCATCGTTACCATTATATGATCAAGGAATACTAGATCCAATATTAAAAAGCTAGCTTTTCTTTTGGATCGAACCGGTAGTCTCCTGATTTCATAGCAAGCATTGCAGTTATTCAGAAAAAGTGCAAAACTACAAGAAAATTTGAACGTAAGTCACACTGTATAGGCATAAATCACTTTTCAAACATATGACGTCAAGCTTTCTTAGTTGGTACCCCACAACCCTTATGCAACCCAAAATTGCTTCCATTTACAACATGTTGCTTAGGTATAGTGACAAAAAGTTTTTTTTTTTAATTTGTGCTCTCTTTTTGGTATGTGTTGTTGAATTTGTTCGGTCTGATTCAGTATGAGGAATATTTTTTGGAAACACTGATTTATGGTTTAACCAAGATTAAGAACTGGAGAATGCAATGAACACTGCGAGTTGAGTGCAGTTCAGGATTTTTTTCACTCTGAAAGGTAATTTATTTTGATTCCAGGATCAACCGAATCCTCGAGTCTCCTCGTGGAAGTGCGCTGTTGGTTGGGGTAGGAGGTAGTGGCAAACAATCGTTGGCTCGACTCGCAGCGTTCATCTCCAGCTTGGAGGTGGCTCAGATTCAGCTGAGGAAGGGCTACGGGATATTGGATCTGAAGGTCATACACACTAGAACAATTTGTATAGTACCTTGTTATTTTGAATACAATAATCTTACAGCATAAATATTATAACATGTACTCCGCTCTTGCAATATTAACCATATCGCCTATAAAATGCCATGGATCTCTGCAGCATGTTTGGGAATCTGGTTGTTTCCTAGTGAACAGTTGGTTATGTTGTTACATTTATAGCATATTGTTTTTAAAATCAATTAATGAGAAACAAATTCTGAACTACTACTTTCATTAATCACATTTAACCTCTTTTTACCTCCAATATAACCATGAAACTTTACTTCTGAAGTTGACTTTAAATCCTTGCACTACAAACTTCCAAAGACTATACTTGATATCAGGAATCTACTTTAGAGATTCGGCTTCCATCCTACAAACTAATTTAGCTATGTCAAATTCTTTACAAATTTGCAATGTATGTTTCATAGATGTAACTGTCTGGGTTGTACCTGAAGGCAGGTCTGAAGAATGTAGGCATCATGTTTCTAATGACTGATGCTCAATTTATGTTTCACAGATGGTCTGGGTTGTACCTGAAGGCAGGTCTGAAGAATGTAGGCATCACGTTTCTAATGACTGATGTTCCATTTATGTTTCACAGATGGAACTGTCTGGGTTGTACCTGAAGGCAGGTCTGAAGAATGTAGGCATCATGTTTCTAATGACTGATGTTCAATTTATGTTTCACAGATGGAACTGTCTGGGTTGAACCTGAAGGCAGGTCTGAAGAATGTAGGCATCATGTTTCTAATGACTGATGTTCAATTTATGTTTCACAGATGGAACTGTCTGGGTTGTACCTGAAGGCAGGTCTGAAGAATGTAGGCATCATGTTTCTAATGACTGATGCTCAAGTCCCCAGTGAAACATTCCTTGTTCTCATCAACGACCTCCTCGCTTCCGGAGAGGTTCCTGACCTCTTCCCCGATGATGAAGTGGAAAACATCATCTCCAGCGTTAGAAATGAGGTGACTTATTAGTAAATTTAGAGATGGACCAGTTACTAATAATAAATCTAATTTACTAAACCTTTTGTAATTGTGATAAATCTTGGAATCGTCTTTTAAAATCTCAGTGATCAATGATAGCTAAAAACGGTCATGATTTAGATTGGAGGCAGTATCGTAGTTTTTAAAAATCCTATTTTACATTTGGGAGAATTGTGTTGTTTGCTAGTAGATATTTTAGGTGTTAAAGTAAAGTCCAATAAAATTTATAACTATAAATACAACCTCTTTTACTTTATCAGGTGAAAGGAGCTGGTTTAGTAGACACCAGGGAGAACTGCTGGAAATTCTTTATCGACCGAGTCCGTCGCCAACTCAAGGTCGTGCTGTGTTTCTCCCCCGTTGGTTCTACTTTGAGGATCCGAGCTCGTAAGTTCCCTGCTCTTGTAAACTCTACGTCCATCAACTGGTTCCACGAGTGGCCACAAGAGGCGCTCATATCTGTCTCCAAGAAGTTTCTCCAAGGCCTGGAAGTTTTGCCGGTAATAACATAACGTTGTAGCTTTCTTTCATCAACAAGTCATTAGAAGGCAAACTAGAACTTATCAGCAATCATTAGCTTAACGATAATCTATGGGTCCATAAACAATCTCTTTCAGAATCGTATTTGCAGGCTTTAAATTTGATGGTGATCTATTTAACCATTCTGTCATTCAGTCAAAACTATATCAACACACATTATATCAAAATAAAATAATAAAAATATGTATGAAGTATTTAAAATGCTACTGCCACACAGAGTAATATTCCAATATTTCCTATGCCTTCTTTTTTACTATTAGTGTATTCCACTTTATTCACACCAGTACATTAAATTTTGAATACGCCTTTGATGATGTTTCAAAAATCGCCAAGCCTGAAGGTTTGAAGAAATGAAGGTATTTTATATTTTAGCTTAATTTTTTGTTTAAATATTTGCCTAATTTTTGTTGGAGAATCGGTGGCTCAGTTGGTAGTACTTTGGGCCCAAGGCAGCGCTGTTTTGGGTTCAGATCCTGGTACCAGCCACTACTTTTTATCAGGACATTTACTTATACTATACCGGCTCATTTGCTTTGCAGGATACGTTACACGCACAGGCCTCTGTGGCTCATGTGGACAGGCAAATGCAAGGAAAAAGAGGCTGCCAACCTCTTTAAAAATGTAATTGATTGTTCTAAACTTCTGTCCAGGAACATTACCGAGAGTCGGTCGCCCGCTTCATGTCCTACGTTCACATCCAGGTTAACCAAACTTCCCGAGTTTACCTGCAGAGTGAACGGAGATACAACTATACAACCCCCAAGTCTTACTTGGAGCAGATCTCATTGTACTCCAAACTACTCCAGATGAAGAGTGCGGAGTTGGCTAGTAAAGTGGAGCGGTTGGAGAACGGTCTGGAGAAACTCCGAAGTACAGCCGAGCAGGTGAGATGAGTGTGGTTAGGGTCAGAAATGTGAGGTATGCCGAGACTATTGTATAATAATCCCTGGTTTACAGATCCAGGAGTTCCGCAGATCTCGACGGTTAGAGAAAGTCTGGAAATTGGCTTAGGGCCAGGAAAATAAATAAAAACACAGAACCCACTTGGTGGAGGTTGCATTGCTTAATCAAACATTGATAATTTGTATCACGAGTATATTCATGTACAATTATATACACTTATGAAAAAACAATCTTGACTATGACTAATATTTATGTGCCCTCATTAAAAATACACTGCGATCAAGGAAACTCACAGCTATAGGTGAAGACTAGTGAAAGTCAGCATACATATGTATATGTATGTGTATGTATTTGTGTGTGTATATATGGATCTATAACATATATTGGGTTGTGAGCCAGCTATTTTATTTTTTAGTTTCATTCGCTTTAATTAAACATTTTTATTTCAGACTTTTTACTTTTGATTTTAGTCCAGAATTTAATTTATAGTTTTAAATTAAAAGTGTAAAAAAGTGTATGCCAACCACGTAGACGGTTCTATGAACCATTGCGGTTTTAGTGTAAGTCATTGTGGCTTCCTGCGAGGAGCCTAGGTTTGCAAGGAAAATCTTTTGTTCAATAAAGCACTTCTTTCATTCATTCATTCATTCATAGTGAAAGTCAGCAACACTAAATGGGAAATTTGAGTGGATATCCTTATATTTACAAAACTTTATCCTTTTGTTAATGATAGCATGAATTAGAAAGGTAGTTGAAACAAGTCATAAAACTAAGGAAGATGCTTTAGATTTTAACTGCATCTTTTGCTTTTTTACCATACAGACTATATTTAAGGATTATGGTAGTTGGTACTCCTTTGCTTACCAACCTTCCTTTAGTTTGAATAATTTGTTTTGTATGTTAAAGTTAATTATGAAACCTTAGAGGAAAGTGTCTATAATGATAATTAGGAGCAAACTGTTATTCATTTTGATACAGTATAAAGTTATTGAGGTGGTATTTTTTATTTAAGAAAAAACCCTTATGTTGAATAGGTTGACGATCTCAAAGCAAAACTAGCTCTCCAAGAAGTGGAGCTGAAAATCAAAAATGATGCAGCTGATGCCCTCATTGAAGTCGTCGGGATTGAAACAGAAAAAGTATCAAAAGAGAAAGCCATCGGTAAGTAACTTTGTACAACAACACAAGCTTCTAGAATCATTTAGTTAGTTTATTAATGTTATTTATTCAACATATAATCTGATAAAGTCTGTACTAAAAATTGAACAACAAAAGTTTCTTCATTCGTATAATTCAGTCCAGTTGTCCTATGTATGACAAATTAATCTAAACACACAGACTTTAAGTTTTAAGTTCTTTTACATTATTGTTCCTACCTACGATCAAGGAAGATAATTATGTATGGTTAAAAATAATTAACAGCTAAATTGTAACAGTTTCGTAAGTTTTTATGACTTAAAAATTGTATATTGTCTATCAGTCATTTTAATTAGAATGGTAGGACTAACAGGTCCAGATTACATCTGGGTAACTGAGTGGTTAAAGTGTTCTCTTAGTAAAAGGTTACCATTTTGGTCGTGGGTCAGTAGCTTTTTTATTGTTCAAAATGCCGCCCAGCTGTTCTTGATCAGTGGACTTTTAATAAATGATCCTGAGTAATCAATCAGCTGATCTTAGCTCCGTTCCTCGACCTTTCATTCATATTCAGCTTAAAATATGCATCTAATTATGCTAAACTAACTTGTTTTACAGCTGATAGTGAGGAGCGCAAAGTAGCGATGATCGCTAAAGAAGTCACCAAGAAACAACAAGATTGTGAGGAAGACTTGCTGAAAGCTGAGCCGGCCCTCATAGCTGCACAGGTCTGTATGAGATCAAACGATAATGATTCCTTGAATCCTATTTATCTTATTGTTTGGAGTTTTTGGAGTAATTGTTGGAGTAACACAACTATGTTAAAGTGTTTGCCCAATGCATCTATTTGGCTGGATCTTATTTATTAATTAATAATTACGATAGAGGCCACTGGCGTCTTAGGATGTTCTTCTTTTTATGTCCCACCTTCAGATCCTAGGATGCAGAACTGTTTTCACATTACTAAAAGCTAGGTCTAGAAGGATGAGACTTTATCATTTTGATAAAACCCATTGTTGATTGTTAGGATTTGAACCCTGGACTTCTGTGAGCAAATCTCCCACTCTACAACTTGAGCAGCTCACTCCCATCTCAGGAGGTACTTGATGGTACTAGGCTTCGTGGACAGTATTGTGTCAGTATTGTTTTTTATGCCTGTGCTCTTTCCAGCTTTATTATGTCCTTCAGTGATGTATTCCTCCTTTAGTTTTGTTGCATTCTGCCTTTGGAGTTACATTATTACGCTCTTTGTGACAGAGTTATCTTCTCATCTTATGGTATTTGTGAATCAATAGTCCCATTTGATTGATTGAAACAACAAGGTAGAATATGACTAAAGCTGTGTTTTCTTAGGCGCCTAACGCGGAGTGCGGAGAAGAGATTTTCCACTCATCTAGTGGCAGTCCGCTCCTCTTCTAGGAAAACATTACCATTTTGTTACCTAACACATGAGAAGAGTTGACTCAGCTCTCCGCTTCCAGGCCTAGGGAAACCCAGCTTAACTTTTAAAAACTTATACTGATATTCATTGCCCTATAGCTTACAGATGACCTTGTAAAATATAAATTGCATCTCAAAACTGATAATCTTATGAGGTGGCAATGTTCATGGTATTTGAAGGATTCAATAATGTCAATTACACACTAAATTATTATTTGTACAACACTTCTGTAATGTTACACATATTTTTCTGGCGTGACAAGATGATGACAATTTGCTACCTCTTTAATACAGGAAGCCTTGAACACTTTGAACAAAGCCAACCTGACGGAGTTGAAGTCGTTTGGTTCACCGCCCGGAGCTGTCACCAACGTCACCGCTGCTGTCATGGTGCTGCTGGCTCCCAACGGGAAAATACCCAAGGATCGCAGCTGGAAGGCAGCTAAGGTTGGTTACCTTTCTTATAGAGTAGCAAAATATAGTTGGTTCTCCAAAAAAATGGAGTATACTAAAAGTAAAAAAAGGATTCACACAAATAACATTGCAAATTTGTAAAAGCTTGTAACTTGTAACAAAATGTAGGAGGCAAAAATGAGTTAGTCAAATTTGAGAAGAGAGTCTACAACACTCAATTAAATTAATGAACTCCCTGAAGGAACAATAGTTACAGAGGCAAAGGAACTAAGTGAAGGCAGATTTGTAGAGACAGGATCGACTGCAGAAGACGGGAGGCATCATTGGCTGGTACTCCTTTGTACTCATCTCTTGCTGCTAAAATTCTGCGAACTTTCTCCACAGACTAATGTATTTGGCCTTACATCTGTTGTGTAGTATAATTGATATTCAAAGGTATGGCGGAGGTGGTTCTTAACAGTTTCACTTTAATTACAGATCGTGATGGCCAAAGTTGACGCTTTCTTGGACGCTCTGGTCAACTACGATAAGGAGAACATCCATCCTGAGATCATGAAGGCGATCCAGCCTTACCTGAAGGATTCGGAGTTTGAACCGGAGTTTGTACGGAGCAAGTCAGCGGCTGCTGCTGGTAGGGAAATATTGTATCAGTCCTGGAAAGCTTTCAACTTTCAGCTCTACAAGTGTTTTTATCATAAAGCAAAATTTTAAATTGATCTACTCCCGAAACTCTCTACCAATATTTTAGGGCCTTGTTCCTGAGGAAGAAACATATCTAAATATCATATTTAAATTATCCGGAAGTCCTTAGTTACTCACACAGTCGTCATTTTGTTTTTTTTTTTTCACTTATTAATTTTTTTTTTTCTAAAATGTGGTAAGAGATACGAAATCAAAATTTCGCACAAACTTTTATGACAACGAGACAAAACTACAAAAAGTTAATGACTATTTTTCAAATTCATAAATCAAAATGGTGGCTATTTAAAATATCTCTTAAATATATCAAAACCATTGATTTTACAAACATTTTTAATGGCCGCCATTTCGTTTTATGAATTTGAAATCATTTAATTTTTTTCTTTTTTAGCTTTGTCTAGTTGTCATAAACGTTTATACAAATTTTCAAATTCGTATCTTTAACCCCTTTTTAGAAAGAAATTAATAAGAAAAAACAAAATGGCGACTGTGTGAGTAACTGAGGACTTCCGGACAATTTGAATATGATATTTAGATATGTTTCTTACCCAGGAACAATGCCTTAAAATATTGGTAGTGAGTTCTGGGACACCCTGTATAACTTGGCATCAAATCCCCTCAGGCAGGTCATTATATCTTAGTGGATCGATGTATCGGACAGAAATACAGAAATATAACTTAAAATTTGTCCTCAGAATTCAGGGTTCGGGTTCTGGTACCGGTACCTTCCATTACATTTTATCAGTAAAGTTCATCCCTTGTACTGTACCAGCTCACCCCTTGCTTTGCTGGATACTTTCCTAGCTCAGGCCTGAGTAGGCTATGTGGATGGGCAAATGCAAGATCAAGATAGGTCACCAACATCATAAAAAAAAAACAGGGTAAACAACCGGTTGTAAATTGTTTGTTCACATGGCTAAAAAAAATGGTGACAGTGTGTGAGTCATATCAGGTGGTGTTTTACACCTTACAAAATTCTAAATTCAACAGATCTGAACGAGTTTGATCCTAGTGTTCAGGGTGGTTTTTTTCCCCCTTTTAGAAGGGAGTTGGGTTTTGCTCATTTGGCATCAAAAAATGTCAATCCACTAAAATCAAAATGTTGTGGTTGTTAAAGGTTTGTGTGCGTGGGTGATCAACATCATCAAGTTCTACGAGGTTTACTGTGATGTAGAACCGAAGCGGAAAGCTTTGGCTCAGGCAAATGCTGATCTGGCAGCAGCCCAAGACAAGTTGGCTGTGATCAAACGGAAAGTTGCGGTAAGATGTGTTTGAACCAGTAAAAACAAGTAAAATATTTTGTACGGTATAGTGTGGCAAATCCTGAAATCAACCTAATGATAACCAGGGATGAAATCATACGAATTTCTCATGTACTTCTAATCGTTATATCGATTTCACCCCTAAGCACAGCTACACAAAGTGCAGTTTAAATATAGCAGTGTATAAGAGAAGACTGTGTAATTTCTTTCCATAATTTCCATTTTGAACACCTCATTGCTGAATTTCTATAAAAAACTGTCAGACTATTTTTTCCCCAATTTACTATAGTACAAATGGGATGGTAACGTAATTGTAAAGTACTTAAAATATAAATACAGTAAACAAACTAATTATTTTTTAATCACTTCCCTCTGTTTCTATTTTCGTAATATTTGTAGAGTCTAGAAGAACAACTCGCAAGATTGACTGCGGACTTTGAGAAAGCGACCTCGGAAAAGCTGAGGTGTCAAGAGGAAGCAGACGCAACCTCCAGAACTATCCAGCTGGCCAATAGGCTGGTGGGAGGACTGAGCTCGGAAAACGTCCGCTGGGCAGAGGCGGTCGCTAAGTATGTTTGTTGTGTAACAAATATTAATAGTTGTTCACAAAATTTTCAATATAAACATCGTGGTAAAAAATAGTCAATTTCTACCTCTGAATCGCTATTGGTAGATTTAATAAAACTAGTGTGCCTGATGCTCGAAAGTGAGCAATTGTCAAATACTGGTATTATACAGGAGTTATTAAAATAATTACAGTCATCTTCTCAAAATCGAGCAATTGTCAAGTACCGTTATTATACAGGCGTTATTTAAAACTGCAGTATAATAACAGTCATAATTTTTCAGTTCGATAACTTTAAAAGACTCAAAGCTTATGGAACAAATTGAAATACACACTCTATTAATAACGGGTTGAAATAATAAACACTTATTGTAAAAATGTTTTATCATTTTTTTAAAGCCGGCCTTATTTTATTGTGTTTTATACACATGTTTCCCGTCTTTCTTGCATGTATTCATTTGATCTGACATTAGGTAGGGTTTCTTACCACTGTGACAACATGTTTTGTATATTCTTCATGATTGTTTCACTTGCAAAATAAGTTGCATAGAAGAACTGGTAAAAATTATTCGCCTCTCCAAGTGATTGTGTATCTGGATTCCTTACTGTTAGACCTGGCCTCTCTTATAGTCTGCTCATACGTATGAGATTTCCTCTTAACCTCCTCCTGATTTTAATATTTCTTCTTTAAACTCAAGAAATTGTCTGTTCTTCCAACTAAACTGATGAACTGTTTGGATTGGTCTATAACCACCTGAATATTACAAACATTAATATATACTCCCAAGAAGCTAATGAGTTTCTTTTTAAATACTGTACAGTTGTTTTTTTTCGTTTTTAAATTTGTTCAATGTAATTCTTATGGTGAAACCCCGACCTTTGAAAGGGTCTCATACCCTTAAGGGAAGGAACTTTAACATTCTAAAACCTTACATAATGTACATAATGTATCATTAAGGCAATAAAGCTTTAGAGTAAATCAACTCTTACTATTAGCATAGTCATTTTGAAAAAACTGTAAATTTCTTTACAGTTTCATGCAGCAAGGAACTACACTCCCTGGAGATGTTCTTCTCATCACAGCCTTCATCTCTTATGTTGGCTGCTTCACTAAACAGTTCCGACTTGATCTGCTCAACAAACTGTGGCTGCCTTTCTTACGAACTCTAGAGGTAAGTTAAGCTAGATAGCCGAGCGGTTGAAGTGTTTTTTGTAATGCAAAGGTTCTGTGGGGAATTTATGTTAATTAGAAAGCAATGTGGACTGTATTATAGTAATTTTGAATTGGATACACTAACCTTTTGTTATTAAACTGATGCGTAGACTGGGGGCCCCCTTTGATGAATCCTGAAATGCTATAATGTTGATAAGTTCACTTTTTCACACTATATGATGTTAAAAAACACTTCAATTGTCTTTATAATAAGTTATAAGCCAGCGGTAAATATTTATGTTGGTAAAGAGGTTTATGGTATTTGAAAATGTAGGAGAAAAGGCATGTTAAGTCCTCATAGCAACAGGACTTGCCCAAGAGTGTGCCACTACTCTACTGAAGGAAGGAGTTGGTCATGTGATACATATCAGTGACCAATCAGAGAGCTAGTCTTGAAACCATTGGGGTTTGAAGATACTGATGCACTCTATGAGGAAAACATTTAACTATTTGAAATGGTATTTAAATGGAGATTGTGGTGAAATCAGTTACATATTATTAGAGTGCATTAAAATTAAAAATTAATATAAGAATACTTAGAACAAAACAGTATATATATTTGACATACCGGCCCCCTTGAACCGATCCGGTTCAACAGAAAAACAAGAAACATGCATGATTGAAATATGAGGAATAAAAATAAGGAAGGGGGTTGGTAGCCAGAGTTATGTTAGATTAGTTTATAGGAAGGCGGGAAACCTTAACTACAGGTCGTGTTAAGGTTTTTGTAGATGTCTTGATTTGAACGACTCTTACAGTGCCATCTTGACCAGGAGAGGCTGAGATGATTCGACCAAGCATCCAAGCAAGAGGTGGAGTATTGTCTTCATGAATGATTACTAAGTCTCCGATCTTGAGGTTTTCTTCTGGAGTAGTCCACTTAGATCGTTCTTGGAGGGTCTGCAGATACTCTCTATGCCATCTGTTCCATATGTGTTGAGCAAATGCGTGCACAAGTTTCCACCGTTTCAGGCGATTTACAGAGATATCCGTGAGATGAGGTTCTATTAGAGACGTCAGAGGTCCTCCTGTCAGGAAGTGTCCTGGAGTTAATGCTTCAAGGTCAGATGGGTCTGCAGAGAGTGGTGTAATAGGCCTTGAATTTAACATTGACTCAACACGAGCAATCAGTGTTAGAAACTCTTCATAGGTAAGGATTTGTGTACCTATGATTCCCTTCAAGTGGTATTTGGCACTTTTTATTGCCCGCTCCCACAAGCCTCCTTGGTGTGGAGCTCGAGGTGGTATGAAATGGAAAGTTATTTTGTTGTTCTGGGCAAACCGTTGTGTTTCAGGTTTTATCATTAGGTCTTGGAAGCATTTTTTAAGCGTTGAGGCTGTTCCAATGAAATTGGTGGCACAATCTGAATATAAATCTGATATAGTGCCTCGTCTGGCAGTAAACCTAGTTAAGGAAGCAATGAATGCATCTGCTGAAAGATCTGTGACCATCTCCAAATGTACAGCCTTTGTGGCAAAGCATATAAATAAACAGAGATAGACTTTAATTGGCTGCAGTCGACGTAAGATGTGAACCTTTACTGTAAAAGGTCCAGCATAATCCATAGCGGAAACATTGAAACAACGAGTAGCCGTAACACGTCCAGCAGGTAAGTCGCCCATTAAAGGTGCTGTCATTTTAGGCTTAGCTTTGAAACATCGAATACATTTAAATATTCTGGAGCGTATAACACTTCTCTGAGACAATATCCAGTAGTTTTGCATTAACATTGCTTGAAGGAGTATGTAGATATATTTTATGAAAGAAATCAATCAGCAGGTGGACTACAAAATGGTTCTTGGGAAGCAAAATGGGATGTTTTGCACTGTACTTAAGTGGTGAATTTTTCAGTCTTCCACCAACTCGTATGATTCCTTCTTCATCTAAGAAAGGTGCAAGCCGTTGTATTTGGGTAGAACATGTTTTCTTAGCTTGAAGCGATTTGATCTCATTTGCAAAGCATTCCTTTTGCACACACCAACATATGCGATTTGTTGCACTTTCAAATTCCTGTTTGGTTAAATGAGTGGTTATTTTTGCCTTTAGCTTTAGACATTTAATAAAACGAAGAACATAAGCCATAACGTTTACAAGTTTAGACCATGAGGAATATTTACTTAAAAAATGTAGTTTAGAGTCATCGGTTGATGTTATGAGGTTGAATGTCTCTGATTTCAGTTCATTAAGAGATTCTTCAGGATCTGGGGAAAGTTTAGTTTGTGGCCATGTAATTGAGTCCCATTTAAGCCACTTAGGTCCTGACCACCAGAGCTCATGATTCATTAAAGCGGATGGTGTTAGGCCACGAGAGGCGCAATCAGCAGGGTTCTCTGCTGAGGAAACGTGTCTCCATATGCATGAAGGAGTAAGCTCTTGTATCTGAGCTACTCTATTTGCTACAAATAGTTTTAGCTTGTAAGATGGGGTGTGGATCCATGACAGAGCAATCATAGAATCTGACCACGCATTGATAGCTGTAATATGGTACTGTTTATCAAACTTATTGATGCAATAGTGAAGCAACTTGGCAAGTAAATGAGCGCCGCATAGTTCAAGCCTAGGTATTGTAGTGCGTTTAAGCGGAGCTACCTTTGATTTTGCAATCAACAAATGAGTTGAAACATTGTGATCAGAATCTTCTAGCCTTAAAAAGACACATGAAGCATAGCCTGATTCACTAGCGTCTGAAAAGCCGTGTAATTGTATGTTACTGGCGTTTACCATGGGAAGGTAGCGAGGTATTTTTAGATTGTCAATTTCTGAGAGCTCACTGATAAATTGAGACCATTTCTCAGAAAGTGTCTCAGGAAGCTGAGTATCCCATTCTAACCCTAAACACCAAATGTGCTGCATTAATGCCTTTGCCCAAAAAACCAGCGGACAAATTAGCCCCATGGGGTCATAAATCTGAGCAATAAAAGAAAGAAGTGCTCTCTTTGTATGTACTCCTAAGGGTTTGGGTATAGCATAAGAAAATTTGTCTGTTTGTGGTATCCATTTTAAGCCAAGGACACTGTGACAAGGTTGATCAGTGCTTCGAAGCATGAGGGGAGTTTCACGATGATCCAGCGGAACATTTTCAAGAAGTTTTTCATTATTAGAAGACCATTTTCGTAGCTGAAATCCTCCTTTGAGTAGTAAATCGATAACATCTTGCTGTAAGTCAAGGGCTTCATTTAAAGTGTCACAACCTAACAAAGCGTCATCAACATAGATTTGATCTTGCAGAGCTTTGGCTGCCAGCGGATGGTTATCACCTTCATCGGCCATTAGCTGTTGGATAACACGATTGGCTAAGTATGGACTTGAACTCATGCCGTATGTAACCGTGGTTAACTGATACACTTTGATCGGATGAGAGGGCTCTTTTCTCCAGTAAATCAATTGAAATTTTCTATCATCTTCATGAATTAATATCTGCCTAAACATTTGTTTTATGTCACATGTGAAGACATATTTATGTTGTCGAAAGCGAAAAATTATATCAGTGGGATCGTTATGCAGTTTTGGGCCTTGGTGTTGTAAGCTGTTAAGCGAGATTCCAGTAGAAGTTGGGACCGAACTGTTAAAAACCACTCTTAGCTTGTCTCCTTTAAAAACACCATGATGAGGTAGGAAGAAGTGAGGTTCGTCTGAGGGCGGAATTGATTCACAAATTTCCATATGACCAGAAGTCTCATAATCTTGCATGAATTCAACATATTTCATCTTGAAGTCTGGTTGAGCAGCAAATTTATTTTCAAGTGAGTTAAACATACGTTTAGCTACAGGTGCTGAAAGACCCAATTTCTGAGGGGATTCCTTAAACGGTAAACGACAGATATATCTACCGGTATTGTCACGTGAGTGTGAGTTTAGGAAATGTTTTTCACACTCTGCATCAGTTGGCGAAATTTTCAAAGTTTGAGGCGGTTCTTCAATTGACCAGAATCGTTGAAGAGTAGCATGAAGATCTAAGTCGTTAGTTGAGAGAAGAGTGGATATTCCACTAAATTGAAGCGGTTGATTGGAGGGAGCAATAGGTGCGGCACCAAGCACAACAAAGCCAAAAATTGTTCTCATAATGAAGGGTAAATTTTCTCCCATACTTACAGGCGGCTCAAGTAAAGTTTGAGGGAATAGATCCGCTCCTATCAATAAATCAATGGGACCTGGCAAGTCAAAGGTTGGATCGGCTAGCATGTATTTTTTCAGCTGAGCTTTGATGAAGGGTGAGAGCTGAACTCGAGGCAGGTTACTTGTAATCTGATCAAGAATAAGAACAGGATGAGAAGAGGCCAAATTTGACCCACTGAGGGAAGAGATATTCAGATGTGTGAAACCTTTAGGCTTTATGTTAGCCACAGAAATTCCTTTGATATCAGGGACACCAACAGCAGAGCGTTTTACATTTAATATATTTGCACAACTTTCTGAAATAAGTGTGGTTTGTGAGGCGCTATCCAAAACAGCACGCAAAACGAGACCGTTTCCTTTGTGAGTAGAAACTTTCACTAAAGCGGTTGCAAGCAATACAGTATTATTCTGAGTACGAGCCAAACCCATAAGAGTATTCGATTGATTGACATGATCAGGGGACTTAACATTACTTGTACAGGGATCAGTGTTTGCTTCATTCAATCTTGTTTGAGCCTGGTCAAAATGCAGGAGAGTATGATGTCGTTTTGAGCAAGTAAGACAAGTCTGTTTAGATTTACACATTTTAGGTTTGTGCATACCAAAACAGTTTACACATAAGTCTTTACTCTTAATGAAGTCAAACCTGTCTTTAGTATTAATGCCCCCAAATTTAGGACATTTGAATACTATGTGAGTAGTAGCGGAGCAATAAATACATTTAAGCATTCGATCTTTGTCGTTAGACGACAACAATATAACATTAGCCCTATTAGTTTTAGCCTTATTCGCAAAATTAGATTTGATTGGGTGGTTGCTCTTATTTTCATTTGGTGAAAATGTTTTGTTCGAAACAGAAGCTAACTCCGCAGCCTCCTCTTGTGTACATTTATTTTCCAAGAAAAGAATTAATTCATTGATAGTAGGGACCTTTTTTGAGTCATTACGTGAGTGTTCAAACTTAGTGCGGAGAGCAGAATCAAATTTACGCAAAATATGCGTTGTCAAAAGCAAACTTTCATTAGCAATATCATGACCAAGAGTTTTTAAGGCCTGGTAGTTTTCATTGTAAACTGAGAGAAATTTCCGCAATTGTTTGACAGTAGGCCTAGTAAGTTGAGGCAAATCTAAGATATTGTTAGTATGAAGAGTGATTAGCAACCTTGTATTGTGGTATCTATCTATCAGAGATTGCCATGCTATAGCATAGTTCGCAGCGTTAAGAGGCAAAGATTTCACCAAACTCAATGGCTCATCTGAGAGACAGGATAGCAAATATGTAAATTTTTCTATGTTACTGAGTGACTCATTAGTATGAACTGCATTTTCAAATATGCTATGAAACGACATCCACTGGTCTGGTTGACCAGAGAATTTACCTAAATCCAATGAAGGCAATTTTATTGTCGGAGGTACAGCCACAGCTTGTGCTGTTGAACTAGCGGTGGACTGATTCAATTGCTCAGATACTGCAGGTGTAGGTATCAATGTGCTACATAAGCTACTAATATTTATGTACAGGTCAGATATTTTATCTTGAAGTTCGGTTACCTTTTCATCTACGATGTCTTCAGGTAGGGGAGTTGTAGAGAACAACTTATTAACAATTTTTTCAAATTCTGCATGTTTTTGAGAAGCTGCAGTTGAAAGTAACTTTATTCTATTTATTTGTTGATCATTTAAAGATTCAAGGGCTTGAACAGTACTTAATGTTGTAACTTGCTTGTCAATACTACTAAGTCTTTGTTCAATAAGTTGACTTTGCTTGACAAAAGATAAAAATCTCATTTTGGAATAGAATAGTCAAACACACAATAAAACTCAAAAGGTCTGTATAAACTCCACCTTGGAATTTATAAATTAAAGTTATTTCTTCACTAGAAATTTCAATAACTTATTTTGCAAAGTATTTGCAATATAAAATCACACTAAATTATTTACATTTTAATTTTCTTTCCAGAAGTTCCAGAAGTATCATTTAATACAATAATGATCAATCGACAATATTACTGTACAAAGCAATCAGCTGTTTTCGTGATAGATGAGAATCAATAACATTTGTAGATAATCAGAACAAGGAAAGGAAGGATATTTATTTCTGGCTACACAATGAATATCCTGGAATGCAAACAGAATGCTGAGAGGGGAAGGGGGGTATGTCTGCTAGAGATAAGGCCCATATGAAATGGCTGATATATAATCATGAATATTTAAATTGGACATGAAACTAGACTTTCACTTTTGTGCATGTTTGGAAATGAAATATGAAAAATCATCAAACTTAAATATGTTTGATTTTGAAAATATATAGTACAATGTCCTATGATTTAAAAAAATCAACAAAACAACACTGGCTTATTTAATAAATGTTCACAAATTATAAAAATGTGTTTGTGATAAAATAAAAAATGTATTTCACAATGAAATTAAATCTTAACAATTCTTTAAATATTTCCAACGCACTGAGTTTATCCGTCCGGCTCGAAGTACCAAAAATGTGGGGAATTTATGTTAATTAGAAAGCAATGTGGACTGTATTATAGTAATTTTGAATTGGATACACTAACCTTTTGTTATTAAACTGATGCGTAGACTGGGGGCCCCCTTTGATGAATCCTGAAATGCTATAATGTTGATAAGTTCACTTTTTCACACTATATGATGTTAAAAAACACTTCAATTGTCTTTATAATAAGTTATAAGCCAGCGGTAAATATTTATGTTGGTAAAGAGGTTTATGGTATTTGAAAATGTAGGAGAAAAGGCATGTTAAGTCCTCATAGCAACAGGACTTGCCCAAGAGTGTGCCACTACTCTACTGAAGGAAGGAGTTGGTCATGTGATACATATCAGTGACCAATCAGAGAGCTAGTCTTGAAACCATTGGGGTTTGAAGATACTGATGCACTCTATGAGGAAAACATTTAACTATTTGAAATGGTATTTAAATGGAGATTGTGGTGAAATCAGTTACATATTATTAGAGTGCATTAAAATTAAAAATTAATATAAGAATACTTAGAACAAAACAGTATATATATTTGACAGGTTCCTCAATTTAGATTCTGAGAAAAGTTTGAAGAGCTTTTTAACGGTTTGAAACTGGACCCTGTTGTCATTGAGCTTTTAGTAAATTATTTTCAGAAAAGGATCAACTTACCTGAATCAGTAACAAGATGGTTGTCTAACCATTCGATCAACACTCATATTTCACTCAACTTCCCCACCTTACTGTATTACAGTATTGTATGAAATATCCTTGGGGAGCGAGCTGGTGTAGTGGTTAGAGCGCAGGACTTCAGTCCCTTAGGTCCCGGATTCAAATCCCGCTAAGTCACCAATGGATTTTATCTAAGTGATAATTAGGGATGGTCAAGTCTCGAAATTTCGGGAAATTTTCTGGAAATTTTCAATCTCGTTACACGAGACGAGATTACTTTTTGGCCGAGATTTGTATCGAGACGAGAATAAAAAAAAAAAAAAAAAAATTAAAAACGCCTGCAGAAAGTCAATGCAATACAGGAGCGTGTTGTAGTTGCGTTTCCTTTTCGAAGGCGTTCTTATTTAATTAATTCTTTTAATGTAAATATTACTTTAATTCTTTTAATGTAAATATTACTTTCATTATTTTAATAATATTACTTTAATAACATTTGAGAAGTTTTGTTAAGTGTAAGCAGTGTGAGGAATGTTTTATTACCATAAAAAAAGTCAAAACAAGTAACTATTTTATAAAAATTAATATTGCTTTTATTTTATGATTTATTTTATTTTAGGATAAGTTGAACTCTATCCTAACTGATATCACCATGTTTCCTAATCGTAGGCATTTTTAATAAGTTAGGCGTGATTAATAAAAAAATGTTATGCTGATGTTATTTAATGAAAGATTGTAAATATTCTTGCCTATTATCATTATTTTAGTATTTAAACAGTCATCTAACAATGTTACAAAATCAGGTAAAAATTTCGAACGTGCATTTCCCGTTGTGTATGAGAAGAGAAATCTCGTCTCGAAATTTTATGAGAAATAAAAAATCTCGTCTCGTCTCGTCTCGAACTAAAAATCCAATCTCGTCCATCCCTAGTGATAATGCTTCAACCCTTAGGTCTAGCCTGAAGTAATGTGAAAAACAATCCCAGGCTCGTGCCTAGCGTCCTAGGACAACAAAAATTTATGAAATATCCAGTGTGTGACTTTCCATCTATTGTGTGTGGTATTCCATATTATGACCTTTATACCTGTAAAATCTGTGTTTTTTTTTTTTTGTAAGGTGTAGTGAAGTGTACTAACCGCAATAATTCATGGTATATTTCTCTCTTCTTAATTCTTCCTGGCTACTTGTATTTGATGTGGTAGCTCAATGTAATGTTAGATAATACGTTGTGACCGGGGACATCATATAGTCTCCTCACCAAATAAACTGATCACTTTAGTTGTTTTATCACACCACCTTCCATTCCCACTGCTACCATGATCACCCGACACACCTTCATTGTCCTACCTCACACACACTGTCACTTTAACCTATTTCTACAGTTCTATCTGTTTATATTTACACAAAAGTTATCGTTGTACAGCCTCCAGTTCCTATCACTGAGGGCCTAGATCCGTTGACTTTACTGACAGACGACGCTCAGATTGCTATCTGGAACAACGAGGGACTGCCTTCTGATCGGATGTCTACAGAAAACGCTACAATCCTCTCCAACTCTGATCGGTGGCCTCTCATGATAGATCCTCAGGTAATGTTCAATTAAAAGACACCTTTTCATCGAACACTTGTCCCCATTCAAAATATTTGAACCATCTAAGTTAATACAAAAACGAATGAATACAGTACATTTTGAAAACATACAAATTATCCGCAAAATATTAAATAACATCTTAGCATTTTGAGTTTACGCTACAATACAAACATAATAGATCGTAAATTAAACGTTTTCTAACTTAACGATATACACTCCCGACACTTCTCTTCAATTGGATATTATCTGACGGTGACTGGTGTCGCTCGAAATCAATCCCCATTGGAATTTCAATGACTGTAGCTCACAGATACATTGTACACTGTTACTGTAACACAATTCTAAGTAGTGCCTCTTCGTAATAACTACTAGGGAAACTTGAGAAGATTCTAAAGCTGACAGGAATTATTACACTGGAGATGTATGTGACTTTCTCATTGGTCAGTGTACTATAAGAAAATTTATAACTTTGCAAATATTTCAAATTCCACCCATGAAATAATCTGCCCCTTGGTGAAGCCACCTGGGGAAATATGAAATGTAAATCCATCTGGTATATGGTTGAAATACATCCGTATGGGGTATTGGGATATTTAAACGGTTTTTAGTATTTAATCAAGGAAATCTTAAGTTCTTGATGTTTTCAAAAGTAAATACACTGTCTTTTTCAACTATCAGTTGCAAGGAGTAAAATGGATCAAGCAGAAGTACGGGGAGGGTCTCGTAGTGATCCGGCTGGGTCAGAGGGGAGCAATGGAGACGTTGGAGAGTAGCTTGACCCAGGGGAAGACAGTTCTGTTGGAGAATATCGGAGAGAACTTGGACCCAGTGCTGGACCCGCTGCTAGGCCGCAACCTCATCAAGAAGGGCCGGTACGTGGTTAACTATGTATTTTAACAGCTGTAGATGTATGTTTTTTTTTTTATTAGATCTTAGAAATTTTATACAAGTCTTACCAGATTTTTGTGAGGTTAGGAGGCTTACTTGAGAATTGGGGCAACGGAGGATGATGCGAAAGACCGGTTAACTTGGCGAAGATTTGTTGGTGCGGCCAAATATCACCTCTGATATAAATGGCCCTGGGAGTAAGAGTAAGAGTAAGTAGGAGGCTTACTTAAATGTGAATGAATTTGTTCAAAGGAATAGAGTTCAAATAAATCACCTGAGAAAATTGGAGTCCAGGGGCTAATACATACACTATAAACAAACACAGAACATAACACTGATATTTAGTCCTGATGTATGACTTCTTCAAAGAGTAGATTGAAGATAAATGTCAGTTACAGTTCTAAACTGGAGTGATTTTCAGAGTTGCCAACTGTCACCACAATAAAAGACTACACTAGGATACTATACTATAAAAAAAAAACATTAAATATTTCTGTATTTAGTGTATTTACACATAACCTTTTAAAAAACTACTTAAAAGCTAGCTGAGAGGAAAAGTAGCGTTTATATCTTAATTGAGGTTAGGAGGATTTATGGAGTCTGAATAGATAGGTAGGGATATATTGGGGAGATATAGGGGTCTCAAAAGTAGGGAACTGGTGCATTGGTTTTTTGGTATGGACTCTATTGCGTCTACATCGGGAGGCTACCCGATCAAAAACAATGTGGATATGGATACTTACTTAATATCAAAATGTGGCAGCTTCCTGGTGGTGTAGCAAGAATCAAAAGCTAAGTAATGTTTTTAGCATGAGTAGGTATAAGTTTATCTTTGTCAGGTTTGACATCTAGCCTGTGTCCTTCATCCTCTTTCTGAGGGCCTCTCTATGATGATTTCCTATATAACATCATTCAACATTGGAACAATGATATTCAAATATACATTCGAGAATTCTCACTCATGTAGTTTTCTCATTTCCTCAGGGCCATCAAGATGGGCGACAAGGAAGTGGAATACAACCCCAACTTCCGTCTGATCCTGCACACCAAACTGGCCAACCCACATTACAAACCGGAGATGCAGGCGCAGACGACGCTCATCAACTTCACTGTCACACGAGATGGACTGGAGGATCAGCTGTTGGCTGAAGTCGTCAAGGCAGAACGACCTGATCTTGAGGAGCTCAAGGTATATAGTTGTGAAAATGTACAGGGTTGTCTCTTGTGTTTTGCTTGTCTTCATTGAGAAAATGGTCAAAGGAATGGCGTATTTGACATAAATCAGTAACTTAAATCAGAACACTCCATCAACAGCTCAATTCAACTAACTTTGGATTCAAAGACCGACAAAAAGAAGTTTAGCATGGATGGATGTAATTATTTGTGAAAAACGTCACCGCAAACATATACAATTTTATTTGTTCTCTCATGCTACATTTGTGACCTATTAATTGATATTTAGCCTGTAATATTTACATTAAGGTTGTAATTTGTATTTTTACGGTTTAGGCAGAGCTTACAAAACAACAAAACGATTTCAAGATCGCTCTGAAAACACTTGAGGACGATTTGCTTTCTAGACTTTCATCAGCTGGTGGTAAGTAGTTTATGTTACAGTTACAACAGGTACGATAATAGGCATAATACCTACTTAATTACTTACTTACTGCCAAGCTGGTACTTGGCCTCGCCAACACGTTGTCGCCAGTTCTCTCAGTCTGTATCTTCCTGTATTTGTCTCATTTTTTCCATATCTTTGCAGACTTGATCCCATCAGCTGGCCTTTGACATTCCTACCGGTCTCCTTCCCCTCGGATATCCCCTTAGTACCTTCTTCAACAAGCTCTCCTCATTTCTCCTCAAGATATGGCCAACTCACCTTAGCCTTCTGCTTTTACCTCTCCTACAACATCGGGTTCTCGGAATGATTCTTTAAACTCTTGGTTGTGATGTATTCTCCATACTCCATCTTCACACACTGGACCATGTATAGTTCTTAGAACTTTATTCTCAAAGGTTAAAATCCTTTTTTTTCATGTTTTTGCTCAGGATCAAATTTTTCCCTCCATATAGGTATAATAGACTATCTAATTAGGTAGTACTTTTATAGTAGTATAGTAGGTTGTTCTGTATGCCTATGCTATGTTACATTCTTTTGACCTACCTTCACATCTTAGGAGTAGGCTCTAGCCTGCAATTTCTAATGACACCTTTACATTTTTATAGTAAACACAATATAATTTACTTGAATTTGACAATTAGTTTCAGGTGTATGCTTGTACACCTTACCTTATGCTTGCCTTACAATACAATGTTAAGATTCCCTGCAATTTTGTAAAAACACAAGATGAGCTACCATAGGATCCCAAGGACAATGGCTTTCCATTTCTTATTGCTCTCATCAACTCATTATTAGTTGGTTGTATTAATTGATAATTATTCATGTTTCATTTGCAAGTGTAAAATTATTATTGCCATTAGCAAATGTTCTGCTGATAATTTTGGCAGTGCAAATTATAACCCCGCTGTTGATTTAGTCAACTAAGCAAAACTAATCATTAATTCTAAATATTAGTTGACTCACAGAAATTGTCTTCTTCTAGGCAACATCCTCGGTGACACTGCGCTAGTAGAGAACCTAGAGACGACTAAACGTACTGCAGCGGAGATCGAGCAGAAAGTCGCAGAGGCAAAAATCACCTCAGCGAAGATTGACGAGGCTCGAGAACATTACAGACCTGCGGCAGCGAGAGCTTCCCTGTTGTACTTCATACTCAACGACCTCAACACTATCAACCCGATCTACCAGTTCTCTCTAAAGGTGATGATAATGTGACAAATGTTGTCGTTGTGATGAATAATGGCCGTTGACTCCAATCTTCCACTGTTTACATTGAAATGGAGACGTCATTGTTGCCAGTCCCATGTGTAGGCTACTTTAAGGATGTATGAAAAAGATATTGTGAAGAACTATATTTACCCACTATGGATCTATTATAAATATTTCTTTGCTATTTTCTTGTTTTCAACAGAAACCAGCAGGGTACACCTCAGTCTAGAAAATACTTTGGATCCACTTGAGTTTCTAAGTTGAAAATTTAAACTCATCACATAGATTCGACATGTGTTAAGTACAACACCAAACTAAATGATTGAGGAATGGGTATTTAAGCATTCTGCTGTGTATTTCAAAAAGCCATTTATGTTTCAGGCATTACTTACTGCCATGGCCACTTGTACCCAAGCTGGTACTTGGCCTCGCCAGTTCTCTTGGTCCTCAGAATCTTCCTTTTCTAGTCTAATTTTTAGCATATCTTTCCATTCCATTTTTTTTATGGAGTTCCAAAAAGCTGTCGCTGTTTCAGGCATTCTGTGTGGTATTTCAAAAAGCTATTAATGTTTCAGGCATTATGTGTGGTGTTTCAAAAAGCTATTGATGTTTCAGGCATTCTGTGTGGTGTTCCAAAAAGCTGTTGCTGTTTCAGGCATTCTGTGTAAAATTTCAAAAAGCTATTTATGTTTCAGGCATTCTGTGTGGTGTTTCAAAAAGCTATTGATGTTTAAGGCATTCTGTGTGGTGTTTCAAAAAGCTATTGATTTTTCAAGCATTCTGTATGGTGTTTCAAAAAGCTATCGCTGTTTTAGGCATTCTGTGTGGTGTTTCAAAAAGCTGTTGCTGTTTCAGGCATTCTGTGTAAAATTTCAAAAAGCTATTTATGTTTCAGGCATTCTGTGTGGTGTTTCAAAAAGCTATTGATGTTTAAGGCATTCTGTGTGGTGTTTCAAAAAGCTATTGATTTTTCAAGCATTCTGTATGGTGTTTCAAAAAGCTATCGCTGTTTTAGGCATTCTGTGTGGTGTTTCAAAAAGCTATTGATGTTTCAGGCACTCCGTGTGGTGTTTCAAAAAGCTATTGATGTTTCAGGCATTCTGTGTGGTATTTTAAAAAGCTACTGCTGTTTTAGGCACTCCGTGTGGGGTTTCAAAAAGCTATTGATGTTTCAGGCATTGATTGATTGATTGATTCTGTAGGGGCGGACCTTGTCCTGTTGCACGTCAGCCACTGATGGGCTTTTTGCGCTCCCCACATGGTACTTCAGAGTCCGTCAAACCTGAGTTGCTTAATGAACTCCAGCATCCTGTCAATGAGCTCCTCCTGAGGAAGGTGTCTGCCCCTTGTCATTGCACCAAGAGTACTGTCCCTTACCTCATTCAGAGCTGTGCAGTCGTAGAGTAGGTTATCAGCAGTCTCCTCTGATTGCCCACATTTCCTACACGCAGTGTCACCATTGTGGATCCTCAAGCGATGCAGGTGTAATTTCAGAAAGCCATGTCCAGTGACCATTCCTGTGATCTGTCTGAGTCGCCTCCTGTCCAAGCGTAGGGCATTGGAGGCGACCCTCTGGGAAGGGGAGAAGAGGGTGAGCTTACTTACCCTATGGTGCTGAAGCCTAACCCATCTTTTCCTGTGTTCCTCCTGAGCCCATGCCATGACTGAGTGACATGCATGCCCACGAGAGATTCCACAGAAAGGCTGTGGTCCCACAAAGTCTGAGGCTGACGCGACATTTGCTAGCCTGTCAGCCACCTCATTCCCTTCTATCCCTGAGTGCCCAGGAACCCAACAGAGCGTTACCTTGTTGCGCCTGCCCAGGTCACATACCGCAGAAAGGCAGTCCCAGACCACCTTAGAATTGAATTCATAGGAGTCAAGCGCTTTGAGCGCAGCCTGGCTGTCTGTAAAAATGGAAATGTTGATGTCCCTGAAGCCTAGCCTCAGGTTTTCCCTGGCACATACCATAATCACAGTCATTTCGGCCTGGAACACAGTTGGGTGAGTGCCCATAGGAAGACAAATGTCCACCCTGTTCTGCACTCCATGAATTCCAGCCCCAGTCCCACTTCTTACCTTAGAACCATCAGTATACCATTCAAGGTCGCATTGTGGAAGAGGATTCCCACCGGACATCCACTCATCCCTGGACGGAAGGAGGACAGTGAATGGTCTGGCGAAGAAGAATCGAGTCGGCATGTGATCCGAGGGCATGTCCATTACCTCCCCTCTTACCTGCTGAGTGATCCGAGAGTGACCTCGGGATCCTCCAACATCCAACCAAAGGTTTTCACACTGGAGTCTGTAGGCAGTCCTCCTCGCAGTGACCTTGACATACAGGTCAATCGGAGTGAGGTTGAGAAGGCAGTCCAGTGAGGCTCCCGGACAGCTGCTCATTGCGCCCGTGATGATGAGACAGGCAAGTCTTTGGACGGCAGCCAGATCTCTCACCGCCGACACTGAGTCCATCTTGGGCCACCACACGAGTGAGCCGTATGTCATGGCGGGCCTTACCACGGAGACAAATAGCCAGTGCATGAGCACCGGCTTGAGCCCCCAGGTTCCTCCCACCATCCGTCTGCAGGCCATGAGTAACCACTTACCTCGATCAATGACCTTTTGGAGTTGTGGCCCCCATTGCAGCTTTCGGTCCAATACCACCCCCAGGTACTTTACCTGATTCTGCATTTCAAGCACTGTGTCTTGTAGTCTCAGAGGTCCTATGCCATTTAGATCGCGCCTCCTCGTGAAGGGGATAACCGCCACTTTGGAGGGGTTGATAGAAAGGCCTACCTCTGTGCACCATTGTCCAACTGACCTCAAGGCTGTGTTCATGAGGTCGGAGACCGTGTTATTGAATTTACCCATAACTAGTATCACAATGTCGTCCGCGTATCCTTGAATGAATACACCACTATCACTGAGAGATCTAATTAAGTCGTCCACAACAAGGTTCCAGAGAAGAGGAGAGAGTACACCCCCCTGTGGACACCCTCGTGTGGTCCTGGCCTCCAGAACCTCATTATGAAGAGAGAGTCTTACCTTCCTCCTCTTAAGTAGAGACTCTACCCACCTGCACACCACCTCATGGAATCCACGAGCTCTGGCAGCATTGATAACAGCCTGGGTTTCAGTGTTGTCAAAGGCGCCCTGGATGTCAAGGAACGCCCCAAGGGCAATCTCCTTGAACTCAAACGCCTTGTCGATTCTGCTTACCAGGTGATGTAGGGCAGAGTCACAGGATCTTCCTGGGGTATAGGCGGTTTCTATGTAGGGGATTGACTCTGAGGACTGTGTCCCCCACATACCTCAGCACCAGTTTCTCTAGGGTCTTCAACAGGAATGAGGACAGAGAGATGGGACGGAAGGACTTGGGATCCGTGTAACTTGCCTTGCCAGGTTTTGGGATGAAAACCACCCTTGAGATGCTCCAGGCCGGGGGAATGTGTCCCAGGGCCAAGCTGGCCCTGAACAACTTACTCATTGCCGGAAGTAAAATATCGATACCTTGCTGGAGACAGACAGGTCTTACCTCATCAGGTCCAGGTGATTTGTATGGGATGAGTGACCCTATGGCCCATCTCACACGACTGTGTGTCACAATGTGGCACGCAACCCTCCACCGTTTCAGGCATTCTGTGTGGTGTTTCATATATTGCTGTTTTAGGCATTCTGTATGGTGTTTCAAAAAGCTATTGATGTTTCAGGCATTCTGTGTGGTATTTTAAAAAGCTACTGCTGTTTTAGGCATTCTGTGTGGTGTTTCAAAAAGATATTGATGTTTCAGGCATTCTGTGTGGTATTTTAAAAAGATATTGATGTTTTAGGCATTCTGTGTGGTGTTTCAAAAAGCTATTGATGTTTCAGGCATTCTGTGTGGTATTTTAAAAAGCTACTGCTGTTTTAGGCATTCTGTGTGGTTTTTCAAAAAGATATTGATGTTTCAGGCATTCTGTGTGGTATTTCAAAAAGCTATTGATAAGGCAGAAGCGGCTGCAGATGTTGAGACCAGAGTCCTGAACCTCATAGACTGCATCACATATTTTGTGTTTGTTTACACTACTCGAGGATTGTTTGAATGTGATAAACTCATCTTCTCATCGCAGATGGCTTTTCAGGTATGTTTACCCACCTGGGCTAATCATTTAAAAGTTCTACTTTCCATTGAGCATTTGACCTCTAATTTGTTTCCTCTGAAAAATGTTCAATATATTGTTTTTTATGCTTGCAGAAGTTTTGAAATTTCTTAATGATATATTTAAAAGCTTACTGACCACTAGTAGTTGCATATCGGATAAGGTTTGCTTTTTTGTGATGCTGGTTTTCAGTAATTCAGTCTTTCACAACCTTAACCACACTGTTCTTTCTCTTATAAAAGTACAAGGCAGATTAGAAGGCATTTAGCATTACTAGCACACTTTTGTGATTGTTAAATTTTGAAAATCGCCTTTATGCGCCCTGAAACTTTGATACATAGTGGTAATTTGGCAATAATGTGCACATATTCGATTAACTACCTGTCAAACTAATGTACTCTTCTCGTCATCCTTGTTTTTACACAAAAGATGATCATCAAAAGTCATTATTCCTTTCATCAGACGATTTTGTTTGTTTGTTTGAATGTATGTTATGATTAGAGTTTGAATGTAAATTTTTTCAATAAACTCATCTTCTTCCATCATCCTTTCTTGTTGCTCAGATTCTGCTGATGAACGAGGAGATTCAGCCGCAGGAGTTAGACTTCCTGCTGAGGTTTCCGATCACTCAGCACGTCAGCAGCCCTGTGGACTTTCTGTCCAACACAAGTTGGGGCGGAATACGTAGTCTTTCCAGCAAGGATGAGTTCCGGTAAGCAACAAAGTACATCTTAAGTTTTGCTTTAGTTAAAGTGTACGTCATCGGATAAAGATCTCAAGAAGCACAGTAGGATAGGTAGCTAGACAGCAGGACTTTCTTCCCATAGGTCTCGGTTCAAATCCTGCCAAACACCAATGTTAATTTGCCTTGCGACAATTCAAAACTCAGCGCAAAACCCAGTAAATCAAAAATGCTACACACTATTTTTTTGTACTGTGCATTTTGGGTAAATCATGCAGGGGTTACTAGCTAAGACAATTTAAAAGATTTACGTGGGTAAAATAAAAATATGACTTGTCAATTTTCTTGATCATGAAATCTTATAGTCATAACAATTTATTAATACTTTTGTTTAGTCATAAAAGGTTAAACTTGTGTCTTTTCCATTCCCCAGAAATGTTTTGTATCCCAAGTATTTTCAAAATATTTTCAAAATAAATTTAGTACAAGTAATGGACTGAATGAAGTTGAACCTAATTTGTATTTTGCTTTGACTACTATTATTTCTATTTGTGATGTAAATGAGTGGGTTAAAAAAGATACAAAATATTACCACATAGTAATTATAACTAAATCAAATTGTGTAGAAATCTGGACCGGGACATTGAGAGCTCGTCCAAGAGGTGGAAGAAGTTTGTCGAGTCCGAGTGTCCTGAAAAAGAGAAGTTCCCGCAGGAGTGGAAGAACAAGACAGCTCTTCAGCGACTCTGTATGATGAGAGCTTTGCGGCCTGACAGGATGACGTATGCTGTCGCGTAAGTTTCACTTAAACTTGCAATGCTTATACTTCTTAATTTTTCTTTGGAAAATAATAAAATTTCTGCAGTAGAAAGTCATATGCTGAATTAGTTTGAGTACTTATTACCTCTTCAAGTCAAATTTACAAGTCTTTCTAGTCAAAAAGATACCCTTAGAGAACCATTTAGATGTGAATATAGACCTCAATTCCAGTATGTATTTTCCACTGTATTTTTAAATTCCATTTTGATTATGAAATTATGAATTTAATAGCAACTAGTGCCAACAGATGTTGAAGCGCAAAACCAGAGAGGTTTTGGGGTGGTTTGGAAAAATCAGCAGGCTCCAGTGGGCGTAAAAAAGTTTGCCTTGAAGGGCCAAGAACTTCCTTTCAATATTAGACGTTGTAACTGCTATTGTTGTTATTACAGAGTGTTCATTGAAGAGAAGCTGGGGGCAAAGTACGTTGAAGGTAGAAGTATTGAATTTGCCAAGTCCTTCCAGGAGTCTAGTCCTAGCACACCAGTGTTCTTCATACTCTCTCCTGGAGTAGATCCACTTAAGGTGTGCATAGACCACTAAAGTAGATTGAATGAAAATGGTCTGATGAAAGTTGTTTGTTGCTGAATTATTATAAATCCAATAAGAGTTGATATCAGCTGTTAAATTTTCCTTTGGCCCATTTCTGTGCAGCCTGTAATAGGACAATAGTATTATATCTGACTTATTTGATTTGTGTCAGAAATAAAAAATCCTTTTTTCACACAATCACATCACAAAAGATAAAAGTTTTCGTAATACTGCTGCTGCTGTTTTAAGGTTTTTATTGTGTTTTTTTCCTCCCAAAACGCGCTATGGTGGATACCGATCTGTCTTATTACCGGTGTAGCGCTACCAAATACAAGCATGTTTGTATCTTGAAGCGCTTGTAGCGTGACCGACGGCGCTCTTGCTGCTCAGCTAGGACACGCCCATTTTGTTTGTATCTGTTGCTCTTGTCACTATTGCCGCCCAGCTAGGATGTGGCCTTGATTCTCGCATGGGAAACAGAACATTAACTTAAAATAGTTTTTATGACGTTTTGTATTGAATACTCCCAACTTTTATTTATTAATTTATTGCTTTTGACAATTTTTTACATTGTGTAGAAAACGTCATTATTTTAGGTTAAAGGGAAGAACGTTGTCCCAACAAAACTCTAGTAAGCATGGAGTTACTGTGATCCCTGTTTTACAACTACAGTACTTTGGCAGGACGTGGAGGCGCTTGGCAAGAAGCTAGGGTTCACCGCAGACACTGGTAACTTCCACAACGTGTCCCTGGGCCAAGGGCAGGAGGTGGTGGCTGAGGAGGCGATGGACATGTCCGCCACCAACGGCCACTGGGTCGTGCTGCAGGTGATTAGAGAAAACTGTGTCTTCTAGAGAGTAGTAAGTTCTACTATAGGAAATGTCATGGGAGAGCGACAGCCACGTCACTAGAAAGACCCCAATCCAAGACCTTTAATGTTTTAAGGGTTGGAGGGTTCCTGTTCTGACTTCAAAGCCAGAGGTCCCGGGTTCAAATCCCGCCAATCACAAATGGATTTTATCTATGTGATAACGCCACGACCCTCTAGTAGTAGCCTGAAGTAATGTGTAGAACAGTTCCGTGCAAGAACTAACGTCCTAGAATGTGTAGGTGGGAGGTAAAAAAAACTAAATAACTTAAGTAATTTCCATTAAAAGGATTTAAAAAATGTCAATTGATTAATCTAATCTTTAGCTGAAACATTTTGTTGTTATGTTTTGTGGGTTTAATTCAGTGTAATTTGTTCACTTTTGCATGGGAACAGTCTAAATCTTAGTCTTATTCAGTCAACATAACAACCTTGTTTTTAAAGGTATAATTAACAGTCCAATGTCAAATGGCTACTGGGTTATGATGTATGCGTAGCCGAAGGTGTTCACCTTTAAATCTGAAGTTCACTGGTCCGATTCCAACCAAGATTGAGTCTGTACCTAAACACTGTCTGTCTGTAATCTTGATGTGGAGTCACAAACCACAAATCTCGAATACTACCATTTAAATTTTGTCTTGTTATCTCAGAATATCCATTTGGTGAAGAAGTGGCTCCCAGCGTTGGAGAAGAAGCTTGAAAACTTGGCAGAAACTGCTCACTCAGACTACCGAGTCTTCATGAGTGCAGAGCCTGCCTCTACTCCTTCTGCTCATATTATTCCTCAGGTACAACTTTTTTCTGCATACAATAGTACAAAGGCTTAATAACTAAATGAAAAATATCAAATTTCTTAACAATTAAAAACAGAGCTTTAGTTTATCAACACAAAAAAGACGATACCCATTTTTTTCTTCTGAATGTTTAAAGGACCTAGTCAATTCAAAGTGTGAATATCTCCAGGCAATATTTAATTAATTTCCCTTAAAATAGCAATCTGTCAAAGGTGTAAGAACAGGTAAACCACTAATTTTAAGTTGATTTAGCCTCCCTAAGAAGAATTGTCAACTTAGAGAATTGTCAAAAATGTTTTATCATGGTACGATTTGTGGAAAAAAAACTACTGTATAAGGGTTTGCTGAGCATTGATAAAATCCTGCCTTGAATACCAATTAAACTAATCAATATAGTTTATCACTTAACATCGTAATTTCTCAGGGCATTCTGGAGTCGTCCATCAAGATTACCAATGAGCCTCCCACGGGGATGATGGCCAATCTACACAAAGCCTTGGACAACTTCGGCCAGGAGACGCTGGAGATGTGCTCCAAGGAAGCTGAGTTCAAGGCCATCTTGTTCTCTTTGTGTTATTTCCACGCTGTGGTCGCGGAACGTCGCAAGTTCGGGCCGCAAGGCTGGAACAGGGTCTATCCCTTCAATGTTGGTATGCGGATTTCACGTTTCTGATACAGTGGAACCTTGATAACAAGTCTCACTATATAAGACTTGTAACCATAGTTGACTTCTTATTGAGGTATTGACATGTGATTAGCAACCTAATATGTAACCAAAGGTATTTGAAATGACACTTGTTATCAAGGGTGACCTGTAATCGAAGGGCCTTGTTATTGAGGTTCTACTGTATAACTTTCCTTGTATAGTAGTGTGAAAGTCCAGTTATGCTGAATCTCTGGTGTGTTGGATTTATGCCAAACAAGAGCACTACAGACAGTTATATATTTCTTTTAAAGGATCTTATATATATTACTTATACTTAAATAAAGGTATCTTCCTTGGTTGGAGTATCAAAAGCATTCAAAAGATTAGGCCTACATATTATGAAAGTAGATAAAAATAAAAAGTTAACATTAGAAGTTTGGAGGTGCATTTAAAAAAAATATTTACATATTACGATGGTATAGAGAAAACTAAATTACTTGGAGTAAGCTTTATGACTTTATTCTAACTAGTTGTTCTGCCAGTGCCTTACCACGGGGAGAGAACGGAGAGAAGATGGCTCGATTCTTCACTGCCTTGCTCAATGCAAACTGCTGGACGATTAAGCTCTTGTTCTTGATGTAAACTAATTTGACCAATATCCATGTCACAAGGAAAGGTTTGGTTTGGATACTTAAGATTCCGTCCAAGCTATGGTTTTTAGTGTCACTTATTATATACAAAACATTTTTGTCTATGGTAGTGGTAGAATCAAAAGGTTAAGTCAAGGAAAAGTAAACAAACAAGCTAAAACAAATCCAACAGCTGATGGATCTCCAATATTTTATTTAGATGTGATTAAAAATGAACGACTTTAATTGAAGTTCTTGACCTTAGGAGAGGGTTTATTGAAAAACTGATATTTCGCGGAGAGGTTTCCTATCAAGACCTTTCATTCAAGTATGCGGTTTATAGGTGTGTAGCTTACAGTTTTCTTTAAAATTCAAAACCTTGTAGCTTCATATATAGATTAAACTGGATTTGCTAGGAAATAGGATTTAGAGAACATATGGGAGGGATAAGAAGAATGTGACTGAATAACACACATGTTAAGAAAAGAGGGAAGGTCAAACCCAAAGAGACCTCTTCACAAAAAAGAGCACTTTCGAGTGATAAAGTGTTATGTAAAAAGAATGGGTCATAGAGTAATAATACGTTTCAATGTGTCAACCATCAATGTATCAAAGTTGAGTTCAATGTTTATCTTTAGACCATTAGGGCCAAAAAATTACCATTAAGCAAATCCTCCTAAACTGCAATATTCTCATCTAAAAACACTCTCTGTGCAACATATTTTATCCTGACAAGGCACTTCTAAAAATTGAATAAAATTCATATTGTGTTCTCAAATAATTGTTTCTTGCTTGAACCGTAACCCTTAACATCGTTGAATGAATTAATAGAACATCAGAAATTGCAACTCGCAGTTGTAGAAAAAAATCTTTGACACCTGGTAACTCTATTATACTAGGTGACTTGACCATCAGTGTCAGTGTGCTGTACAACTATCTGGAGGCCAACTCCAAGGTGCCGTGGGAAGATCTGCGTTATTTGTTCGGTGAGATCATGTACGGAGGCCACATCACTGATGACTGGGATCGCCGATTGTGCAACTCTTATCTTGAAGAACTCATGCAACCTGACCTGGTGAGGTTCTTTTGAAATTAATTCTTAAAATTAGTTCTTAAAATGTATTAAATGGAAAGTACGTTTTTGGTGTATGTTTGGTAAATCTCGAAATTGAAATAAAATAAGGATGCTAGTTAAGTTTTTAAATTAATGTTGACTTTTGAATAGTTCTTAGAAACATTAATTTAGTTTTTTGTTCACATTGTGAAAAAATAATATTGATTATAGTGGTAGTGAAGTCATAGATAGTTAAGTTAAAAATGAAGTAAAATTGATTAAAATTAAAATAATTTAAAGATTTTTGAAAATGCACACTTCATTGATAACAATCATTACTCATCACCCAACTGCTGGAAAGAATTATTTCCTTTGTGGATTATTATTTATTACACAATATAATTTAGTGTGTTGTAATAATAAATGGTCTTAAGGTCATTGTCATAGCTCACTCTATTCTGTATTCTTCCCTCATTTGTATTCACATCAAATGTATGTCCTTTTGTTCTGTATTAAATAGTTGGTACCATTAAATATATTAAATTAATGGTACCAACTATCTGGAGAACTCCTACATCAGGACGAAGTATAGGTGTTTATGTTTTGTGCCTTTTATGGTGTATCTATGGCTGGGTAGCTGAGTGGTTATAGTGCTCGCCTAACAATCGAAAAGTCGCTGGTTCGAGCCTGTGAAAAGTCAGTAGCTTTTTGATGGTTCAAAACTGGACCCACTTGTTCCTGATCATTGAAATGATCCTGACTGATGAAACAGCTGATCTTAATCAGTATTAGCTACACAGATCATCTCACAACATTCTACACTCATATTTGGATTTAAATACTCACCTAGGTGGCGTTCCCATCTCAATGGTTTTTTATATAAGCTCCTGGGACTTGGAATTTTCCCAGGTATGCTAGCTGAATTTCATTTCTTTTCAAAAAATGCCTTATGAATGATTCAGTAAGCTTAATGAATGATACCAGAGAAAAATAAATAATTTCACTGTTTTTTCTTCTTTTACGGATCAATAGGTTGACGGTGAGTTGTTCCTGGCGCCAGGATTTTCGGCTCCACCCAACACAGACTACCTAGGCTATCACACATACATAGACGAGTGCATGCCTCCTGAGAGTCCTTATCTGTACGGTCTCCATCCCAACGCTGAGATCGGCTTTCTGACCACCACCTCGGAGAACCTGTTCCGCACTGTGTTTGAGATGCAGCCGAGAGAAGCCGGAGCATCTAGCGGAACTACTGTGACTCGGGAGGATAAGGTCAGTACTCGCGGTAATGTGGTAGAGTGAGAGTACTATTAGAAAGTTATAGTTTGCTTGTGGAACCAGTGTTGGATTGAAGAACGTAATTGGGTAAGGAATAAATTTTGTTCAAATCCAGCTGGGATTGGATTTATTTTGTTGTTTGATGTATTCGATGGAAAAATAATAAAGATGGTAGGGGCCTACTTCACTTGAAAACAGAATTACAGTAATTGAATTTCTTGACATATTTCACAGAGTAGTTTTTTCATTGGTTAGTGTGTTGTCCATATTGATCACACTATAACATTTTTTCTATGAGTTTTGGAAATAACAAATACGTAAGGAAGAGTGAAGGGAATGGACTGGAGTCATGAAACTTTAATGAAACTTAAATAATTAAGAATTGCTGTATTTAAATTTCTAAAAAATGTTTACAGGTAAAACAAATAGTGGATGAGATTCTAGAAAAGCTACCTGAAGAGTTCAACATGACCGAGATCATGGGGAAGGTGGAGGAACGAACTCCGTACGTGATCGTCGCCTTTCAGGAATGTCAGAGGATGAACCATCTGACAGGAGAGATGAAGAGATCCTTGAGAGAACTAGACCTGGGACTCAAGGTATTGGGAGGATAGTTGGGTGTGATCTTATCTTCGTACAATTTTCATCAACCTTGCTTTGCGCTTTCATTAACACTTGGTTATTCCCATTTTTCCAACGTATGGATCTTCTCTCATTAAACAAAACATATCGTTTTGGATATGTGATTATTTTTATTTATCCGTTTGTTTTCTTATGCTTGATTTTGATTGAAAGTCTCCATTAAATACTTGAATTTTTTGTATAGTGTAAGAGTTGTGTTTCTTGTTCTAAATCAGACTCTTAAATCAGTCAAAATAAGTATTTTTGTTTTTAATAAAGCACTTAAGCATACAAATTTAATTTCTCCTCATTTTTCTATAGATTTTTTTAAGTAAGCCTGTTATCCTCATAAAAATCCTTTATAGTCAAAAATTGATTTAAGAATTTAAGTAGACTTTTATGATGGAAGTTGTCCTTAAGTGTTTCTGTATTTGTGTTTAAGGGTGAGTTGACCATCACGTCTGACATGGAGGATCTGGAGAATGCTCTGTTCTTGGACCAAGTCCCCGTCATCTGGACACAGAGAGCGTACCCGTCACTGCTCGGGCTCACCTCATGGTTTGCCGATCTCCTTCTACGACTGAGAGAGCTGGAGACTTGGTCTACGGACTTTGTTGTGAGTATTGATATCCAATCATTGACCCGAAATGCTGAGAATTAGTCCACTATTTGTTCATTGTGTTCACTCATTGATTGATTTGCCTGGTTCCAAAACCAGAACAAATTGGAAAATTGGAATCAAAGGATTGTATTTCTTATTATTTATATTATGTCTATATTATTTATGGGCGGAGAGCGAGCTGGCGTAGTGGTTAGAGCGCGAGACTTCTGTCCCTAAAGTCCCGGGTTCAATCCCCACCAAGTCACCAATGGATTTTATCAAAGTGACAATGCCTCACCCCTAGGTCTAGCCTGAAGTAATGTGAAAAACAATTCCAGGCTCGTGCCTAGCGTCTTAGGACGAAAAAAAATATATTATTTATGGTCAGTGTGTTTCAATGAACCAGGAGTAATACTCTATAAAAATCGATAAACGTAATGTTGTTATGTTTTAAGATTATCCCAGTGTTACTTGTAAATTTACTTTTGACAAGGTACACAAAACTTAAAAATCGAGATTATTTCATTTATCGTTTTAGTTGCCATCGTCTGTGTGGCTGGCTGGTTTTTTCAACCCGCAGTCCTTCCTCACGGCTATCATGCAGAGCACAGCCCGTAAAAACGAGCTGCCTCTGGATAAAATGTGTCTTCAGTGCGACGTCACGAAGAAGCAGAAAGAAGATTTCTCGTAAGTAGAAAATCAACTTTTCTACCAAATTGTTCTACAAGTTTTTAGAACATGTAGACAAATTGTGTTGTCTATAATGGGGTGATAAAGTGATATGATTGGTACAGGTCAGCCCCCAGAGATGGAGCCTATGTACACGGCCTGTACATGGAGGGAGCTAGATGGGACATACAGCAAGGCGTCATCCTAGACTCACGGCTCAAAGAGCTCTTTCCTCACATGCCTGTCATCAATATAAGAGTGAGTACAAAACTAGGCTGTAAAATTGGTCAAATTGGTTGAAGTTTCCTGTCTAACTATCCCAAGAATATTGTGGTAATGCCACCAATGAAAATGGTTGTATTTCACCTTAAATAAGCAGAATTAGCAAACTGGCGCATAATTTCTCGTAATGACTGCTTACACAATAAACTTTTAGAAAATGTTGCATGTGGGTGCCTACCATTGCAGAATGTAGTTAATTGCAAATATTTAGGTATAACAATTGACCACAATATGAAATGAGATTTACAAATTAAGACAGTAACAAACAGGCTAAGAGTTTGTGCAGCAAAACTTTTCTATTTAAAAGATTTTTTACCATTAACAACAATGAAATTAATATATTCAGGAATATGTGAGTCAGTGATTAGATATGGCTTAATAGTACAGGTAAAATAGGGTTTTATAAACAACAAAATTTGTACATTCATGAAATTTTACCTGTGAGTTACTAATAATATGAGAAATGAGGATCCGATGAGTCCCCAAAATTTTGGGTGTCCTAAGGCCCTTTTTGGGGCCCTTTTTGTTCCGAAGGGCCCTTGTTCCAGAATAATTTTGTTTTTACGTTTAAGGTCGAGTGAGGTGTGGTTTTCGATGGTTTTAGTTATTATAAATCGATTGGGACTAGTTTTAAGTGAATTAAACTATTCCATACAGGGTGTTTTGAAATATTATTACTTTTTACGATATTTAAACATTTATTCATAAAGTGATAAAATTAGTTACCTCCATGCTCTATATAAAAAGAGGTTTATTGAAAATAACTGTAATTATTTACTATATAAGAGGGAAGGATCACAAGGAGTAAGAGAAAATATTAAATACCCCCGTCACAGCAAACCTGCAGACTAAGCGAATTTTCATTTGCCCGATTTTCGATTAAATCTAAAATAGCATTGCGTTTAACCAACAAAAACAACAAACAACAAAATATACCTAGGTTTGCTGCTACAAGGAGGCTAATAAAGTGTGTTTATAGTAAAAAATTTATAGCCTAGTATAAAACAAATAAATTTGACAAGTTTGATCAAAATATATCTATTAACAAACAAACAAAATCATTTTACACTATTATTCTACATAAGAATAGCATGGGAATTTTAAATTTACAATTTTAGCATTTTTATCCGTAACTAATAACCATACAAAAACACGTTAATATACTAAACTAGAGGACCCATGCTGCTCCGCAGCGCTAAAATAAATACAATATCCGAGAAATAATCAATTTTATGATTTTTGATTGAGTAATACAGTATCATGAGCTTAACTGATTCAAACGATCATTAGCTCAAATTAAAGCCTATAATTAATTGATTTGTTTGAGTTTAAAACATATAGAAAAGTAACATATAGAAATATATAAGTAACATATATTATAACATATATATATAACATATATAACATATAACATATATATATAACATATATAACATATATAACATATATATGTAACATATATATATAAGTAACATATAGAAATAATGGAGCTATTGATTTTTAATCATATATACAAACCTTATGAAAAGTAATTTAATGTTGGTTGTTCACCTTGCGTTTGCTTGAAACTCGTGCGATTTGAATAACTAATAGCTTAAATAAAAACCACTATTTAACTGATGGTTCTTAGACTAAAATATATAGAATAATAAAACTATAACTTGTGAAGGTACATCTTAAATTAAAGTTAGAATTATAAAATAAATCAAATTATGAGTTTTGGTCAAGTAATACGGTATGTAAATATTTGCCGATGCTTTGTGTGAAAGCTTGGCGTGCATGCCTTCCATTTAAGGCCTCAATCATGAAAATCGGTCGGGTAGAAGAGCCAAACGAACTCGGAAAAGAAAACCCAAATTTTTTAAATACATAAGATTATTTGTTTCTAAGCTATTTAAAATGTTCTAGAGAAAAATTGGGAACCTTTGTGTTTTGAGGGTAAAGTAAAATAAGAAAACCCAATTTTTACTCCATAAACCTCGTTCCCATTGTTCAGGACAAAAATGCTTGTACCGACAATGCTGCTCTGATATCTTCGTGCTGTCCTGGTCGTTATAACAACGAAAGATAACCGTACTTGTATTGATTGAAAATAAGTTTGAGAAACTTAAGATACAAGTTGCAAACGTCAGTATGTATGAAAAGTGTTTTTGCACCACATTGTTTGTGCTTTAAGATTGGTGTTGCCTGTTCTGCAATATGCAAGGTTTTAGGTTTGTAAAGGGGAATCCTGCTTGAACACCAACTTGGACAAAATCAGTAAAGATGGACAAGTTGCTAAGAATAATAAAATTGTTAATGAGTCGTCTGAGATTAATTATTGTGTTGATGAAATTGTAAAGAGAGATACTACGGAAATTGTAGAAAAATGGCTTTAGTTTAAGTACTTCATTTTAATATGTAATGTAAGGTTTTATACAAATACAATTGTTTTAATTTTTAATAAATGTAAAAAAAATAGCTTAAACAACTACCTTAGAAAAATACATATCAATTTGAAATTGGTCTTAATAGATTTGCATAAAAAACACGTTAAAAGATTATTCACACCACCTTAAAAGTTGAAATTTTTTCTTAGTAACCTATGTTATTATGTTATACCGGTAGTGTAAAAGTTAATCCATCCCCTTTTAGCGAACATCCTATATATGAGATAAGCTATTACCGAAGGTCTTATGGTAAAACATAGACCCGAAACCGATTTACGTTTTCATTTCGATGCACCCAGAAGCCTAAAGCACCATCCACTCAAAATATTATATATGTGTTTATATACGTATATAATATATACGTGTCCGTAAACATGATAACTCGAGTGATTTTGGTTCAATTCTAACGAAACCGGCATAATCGGTAATGTCCATGGAACCGATATGTTTTATATTTCGTGGTCAAAATTTGTAATCTTTGACCCTCAAAAGACAAAGTCTCCCAATTTTTCTCTAGAGTATTTTAAAGAGCTTAAAGAAAACAAATAATTTAGTATATTAACGTGTTTTGTAAGTGTTTTAATTACGAATAAAATAAAAAAATTTTAATTTTTAAATTCCATGTTATTCTTAAGGAGAATAGTGTAAAATGATTTTGTTTGTTTGTTTATAGATATGTCTTAATAAAACTTATCAAATTTATTTGTTTTATACTAGGCTATTAATATTTTACTATAAACACACTTTATTAGCCTCCTTGTAGCAGCAAACCTAGGTATATTTTGTTGTTTGTTGTTTTTGTTGGTTAAACGCAATGCTATTTTAGATTTAATTGAAAATCGGGCAAATGAAAATTCGCTTAGTCTGCAGGTTTGCTGTGACGGGGGTATTTATTATTTTTTCGGACTCCTTGTGATCCTTCCCTCTTATATAGTAAAGAATTACAGTTATTTTCAATAAACCCCTTTTTATATAGAGCATGGAGGTAACTAATTTTATCACTTTATGAATAAATGTTTAAATATCGTAAAAAGTAATAATATTTCGAAACACCCTGTATGGAGTGGTTTAATTCACTTAAAACTAGTCCCAATCGATTTAAAATAACTAAAACCATCGAAAACCACACCTCACTCGACCTTAAACGTAAAAACAAAATTATTCAGGAACAAGGGCCCTTCGGAACAAAAAGGGCCCCAAAAGGGGCCTTAGGACGCCCAAAATTTTGGGGACTCATCGGATCTTCATTTCTCATATTATTAGTAACTCACAGGTAAAATTTCATGAATGTACAAATTTTGTTGTTTATATGGAGTGTTTTTGTATTATTTTACCTGTACTATAAGATCATGGGGATCAGCATCACCCACAGCCATAAATCAAATAAAAACGGTGCAAAATAGAATCATAAAAACTATGAATAAGCTCAACTCTACTGTTTTGTCAGAAAACCCTCTGCTCGGATATAGGATAGTTGAGGTATTACCAGTAGATATATTATTTGAGTATATAATTTAATAGATTACTATTTCTCAAATGAATTTAAGATAAAAAATGACCATAAATACAATTCACGTGAACAGTTTTATATTGACCCTAAGACCACAAACAAATTTTCAAAAAGAGTTTGAAAATTTCTAGTTAAAACGTTTTTAATAGATTTCCAAATGATATAGATAATATAACTAGTTTTATAGAGTCTTGAACTCGAGGCTTAAGCATTGTTATCTCCATGAATCCATTTAAATATTGTTTATTAAATTACTTACTTATTATATTATTGTTAAAGTTAAAATCATTTAATGCACGTTTATTTATTTTAGTATTGTCATCTCAAAGAATCCATTAAAACTGGTTTAGTTTTGGTTTTATTATAAAGTATTTAATTTATTATTATTTATTTAGTTATGTATTGTTGTATTGTTATCTAAATTATTTCATTATATTATTGTTAAAGTTGAGAAGTATTTAATGCATGTTATTTATTGTTATATATTTTATTTATTTAAGATAGTTGTTTCAAGTTGTTTTAAGGCAAGTTAGTCTTCTATAGGAAGGTAGAGAATAAGTGAAAACAACAATGATAACAGATCTTGACAGGAAACAAGGAAAACCAAAGTGTAATATGGAGAAGGACTGACCAAGGGACAAAGTACATTGTTATCAAGATCAAGTTTATCTCTATGAGCTGCAGGCAAGCCAAATTTTCCTGGCTTTTGCAGCAAGTTGTTTATAAAATGTTGCAAGATTTTGTGATTTTTCAAATAAATAAATTAAATGTAACAAATAAAATTACAATAGCCTGAAATTAAAGTTGAACATCCTGCTATTGGTTGGTTATAAGTAATCGAAGGGAGAAACTATGGGGGAAATTATAATAATTGCAATAACCTTTAAACCGTAATTTTTACAGCATTGTTTGTTATGTCAATTTGTAAAGAGTTAAAATTACTATAACATACTAAATCAATTACTCTCAAAACCGTTAGCCTTTTTTTTATTTGCTTTTTTGTTATTTTATGGGAAAACCCACCAATAATAATAAAAAACTTAAAAAAATATTCAAATAACGCCTGGAGATACCAAGGATTAGTACCTTCACATCAAAATTCATCAAATTCAGAATTCAAGTTATGTATGTATAGGTCTGTACGCACACACATTCTTGGTTATTATACTGTACCACCTACAGGAATTATCTGTTTCACCTTGACGTACATTCTGTTCAAAACTTCTGTCTGGATATATCTGTCATTCATGATAACTACACTCTCCATAACATATTAATATGTTAAACATATACTCCCCATTAGATTTGTTAATTTTTCTTATGGATCAAATAAAAACAGCTTTAAGCTATATTTGGTCCCGATTTAAATAGTGCGTTTTATATTGCCAATGCGGTTGGCGTGCATGAGGACAAGTGACAAAATCAATCAATCTATTGCCTATTAATATTCCTTTTTTAACCTTCTTAACAACTAATTTAACCAAATAAAACGACCTAAAGTCGGGACCACGAAAGTTTGCAGTTGAGGGAGGAGCCTATTTACCACGTGACTTCGAAGGATCCAATGAGGACAGTGCAGTGTTGCCAAATCTAATAATACCAGCTGATTTGAAGATATTGTTTAGTATTTCAATTAGTGTCGTCAACAGGCGTTATGGCAACGTCGCACTAGCCTTGTCTTGTGATTGGTGCCGCCAACTGCAAACTTACGTAGTCCCGACTGTAGCTATTTATGATACTTCAACCAAATAGTCAAGCATACATTGTGACAACTATCAAATTTAATTATATTAATTACACATTTATTTGCTATTAACACCATGCCTCTAGGCTCACTGGGCATTTAAAACAGGCTTATTTTAATGTAGGATAGTCTACTTGCAGTTTCCAAAGTCAATGTCACATGTTTCCAGGCCATAACTCAAGACAAGCAGGACATGAGGAACATGTACGAGTGTCCTGTGTACAAGACTCGGACTCGAGGTCCGACCTACGTCTGGACGTTCAACCTCAAATCTAAAGACAAGCCGGCAAAGTGGACGCTAGCAGGAGTGGCGCTGTTACTGCAGATATAAGGGGTGGAACACTGTTTATTTATTTTTATCTTTAGCAGCAACCAAGGAGTAAAACTTAGTTTTAATTTTTTTCTTAGTCGTTGAGTTGTTAGTTACCAAAAAAAGGGTTTGTAAACGGAAGGTTCTGAGGCAAAATTCAACCAACAAATCAAATAAGTATTTGACAAGTTTTCAGATATCCAATCAGCAAACAATTTAGACCTATGACAAGTTTCAAGAGTGAAATATTTACAAAAATTAAATGTTACATCTGTATACTTAATTCTCAAGCTCTTTAGGCGATATTTGTTTTTAAGTATGTCTAGCTGAGAGAAACTAGTCCTGACAGAATATTTTCAGTCGCTTTAATCAATTTATTTACAAATTTAAAATGCTACTATATAATAAGTTAATTTACATAAACTAAGTTGTTTATTATTTTAAGTGAGACATAAAATGATATAGAAGCTATAATTTATCCTGTAATACAGTAGACTCTCGCTCACCCCCTAACTAATGTGGCGGACGTCCGGTCCTGATTACGATAAATCCGGTTATCGAGAGTTGAGCAAATAAATACAGTAATGTAAATAGCCGTTTTTTTTTTGTCAATTTTGTTCCAGGTCCACAGTATTGATAGCCGGGCAAAAGCAGTTCCACTGGTAAAAATTTTTACCACTGTGTTATCCGAGTTTTTTACTATCGGAGGTAGTCTCGACCCTGTTTCGAGCGGATAATCGAACTTCTACTGTAATGTGCCGCTAAAAAAACATGATTGCCGATCCGGACTAGTGGGAGTCCGAACAAGGCTGATCCAGATGAGCGACAGTCTACTGTAATGAATACCTAAGAATTTTTACCCCATTTTTTAGAATACCCCCATTATGAAATCTTTTCCCTTGAAATTTGTTAAACCGAGGTTCCACTGTCTATACTTTGATAATTGTTTTTGAAGAGTATTCTATCTCACATTAGGATATAATTAAGCCATTCAGTGTTATATGGCTAATTATGCTTTTCAATTTTATATCAAACCGCGGCAGAAAAATCATACTTCAATAAAGTGGTTACATCGACCACCAAACTTAATTTTGCCTGTACAAATTTAGACTGAATAATTAGGAACAATTTATTAACTGTAAGTCTTTCACTAATCTTAATCTATAACTATATCTATAACTATTACTAAATGTAAATCTAAGACTGAATATATTTATAATTCAAGTGTATTGAAAAATCCCCTCCATTGGTTGGTTTAGCTCATATAAAAGATCATTTTAGAAAAATATCTTGATGGTACTAAATATATTAGTAATAAATCACTTGCTAAGTTCCCATCACTGTTGTGACAGTAACACTGTTTTAGACCTAAATTTTAACTTCTCTTTGTAGAATGTTCTTCGTGCACATTTAAAAAGTTAATTATTTTTGTTGTTTTTATAAGTACTCTAATCAAATCACCCAATTAATCACTTCATACAATGTTTCAGTGAGTTAAATTTTAACTAGGCTAAAAACAATTTGTCCATTACTTATTTATTTTTAGTAATTAAAATTTTTTTTATTTTGTGTGGTTTTACGCTTGTGGCATTTTTTACGTTTTGAAAGGGAACGACCTAACTTGTATGAAGGGAGCATTTAAAAACTAAGAAATTGCAAATAAAATATTTTCAGATCTCTTATTATTTTAACTTGTCTTTTGAACCATTGAATAGCTATCATTGTTAATTTGTTGTTTATTGTATTACTTAGGCCTTGTTAAAATCTGTTTGAGTTTTATTAAAATGTTAAACAAATCGTTATCTCTATTGTTTACCTGAATTCATTTTAGCGTTGCCAATTTTTTTTTTTTTTTTTATTGTAAAGAATGCTTTTAACATAAACGTTTGGGTTTTGCCGTTTGATTGAAAACTAGTTGTTTGAGTAGCATCATTGACTATTAGAAATAGAAGAAGACATCCCATCTAATGGATCATCTGTCGCCAGTTTTTTTACTAAAAACGAATGTAGTTGTGTGAGCCAGTCACAGATTGCTCTAGTGTCTAAAACTCTATTTTGTACCTTGTTTTTTGTTACTGACATAGTTGCTGGGTCTTAACAGTTGCTGTAGCTCATATTAAGTCATTCAATCAGTTTGACTCGTGGTAAAAACCATCGTGTAATCGGCAGAAATCAGTGATTTAGATTAGCGCTATCTGTAGGGGGCTCACATCAACTAAGACAAATTTGATTAAAAAGCTGGCGCAACTTTAACATGGGGATGGAATGTCTTAAAGGTAGCATTCCGATGTGTATGGAGTGAATCCTTTATAAACAAATTAAATTACCAACTTAATAAGGGATACAAGAGGACTGTTATACATTAGACAGTAAAAATATATTTAAAATATATATATTTCAATCGCAACACAAGCCTTCAAAAGTAAATTTTTGAACCAAAATGTTCTGTTTATGCATTAAAAAATGCTTAAGACTATTCCAGCTCTTTTCAATCAATTTGAGAATACGTTTGAGCAGTTTAAAATAAAAACAATCTATGTTAGTAACTGCTTGTAATTCTTTGGGTAGGTAAAATATTTCATTTAGTTCAAAATTGACTTTGTCAAAAAGTACATAGTTTTATGAATAAACTAACTGATACAGGCAATCTTTGTAAGTAAAGAAATATATTTACACACCCTAGCACATCTTCAAAGAACAGGTACATAAAGAAACATAAATAAGTAACTAAAAAAGCTAAGAATGTCTCAGTGGGAATGAAATAATTGTTAAATTAGGCCGTTTTGCAACATAACATAAATTATAACAATGAAAAAATAAATATACAACTTCTAAAAATAGACAAAAACAGCAGACAAAATAATACACAAATCTACAAAGTAAATTAATACTCTTAGTTATTATTGTATAAATATTGAAAAATCGTTCATTTTCTTAATATCTTCATATCTATATAATAATAATAACATTGAACAAGGTTTTAGAGGCACTCAGAGGTAGAAGAATGGTAGTATAATACTGGTGTTAAAACACCTTCCATTTTGATTGTGTTTCAGTTTAAACCCTAAGTATGACAATAGTATGTAGGGATAATACTTTTAACATTTACTACTGATCGACATATTTTTTCAAGATACAAGATACAAGATTCTTTATTTGGTCAATTGAACAGAAATACAGTTATAGACCACGTCAAATTGTTGAGTTAGGCTACAAATTACATACAAATTGAAATATTGCATACAGTTCATATATCATGACTGATCAGTAGAAAAACTGAAATAAAACTGAAACACATTTGATTGTAAGTCAAAGTACTAATAATGTAAATGTAAAAAAATATTTAATAACATGAATATTATAAATATTTATTTAATGGTCCATAAAATGACGGATGGTTTTCAAATAGCTGTTACTCACAGTTTTGTCTAACCCTGAGGAAGCAGAACGTATTTTGTGAGTTCCACAAAACTTCGGACTTTGATGCCATGATGATTGCATGTTTTGTATATATGTGTGTTTTGAGTCCTGGACATACTAGACAAAAATAATTTTGAGTGAAGCCCACATTTATCTTCATTAATGAATGATCAATAAATAATGACAATTCATTAATTCTCTTCATAAATGAATAACACCTCGTCTAAAAGCTTGTCATTTAGAAACAAAAATAGTTTTGTGTAAAAAACAAAAGCAAAAGTGTACGGGTAATTTTTGAGTTTTGGATTTTTTTTTTCTATTTGAGTTTGTCTTTAATTCAGAAATGATACCTTAAAAGGTCGGTAGAGTTCAGGGACACTTTGTATATGTTCCATTGTTCCCCCTTGAACTTCTAATGAATAAATATCTATTTATTTGAAAAGGATTTTTTGAGAGGATAGCAGGCTTACCTGAATGGGAAAGAGTCCAAACTGGCACAGGAAACACAAAACAAAACTTTACACTATATACACAAAACATTAGAATATTTCACTGTCACTGACAGCATTTTCAACTAAGGAAGAGGGACGATTGCATAGTTGCATAGCTGCATAGTTGCATAGATTTGCATAGCTCTTCCTTAGTTGAAAATGCTGTCAGTGACAGTGAAATATTCTAATGTTTTGTATAGTGTAAAGTTTTGTTTTGTGTTTCCTGTGCCAGTTTGGACTCTTTCCCATTCAGGTAAGCCTGCTATCCTCTCAAAAAATCCTAAAGAATCTAGGCCCTTGTGCTCTATGCTACACCCTTATTTATTTGAAAATATTAACTTACATGTTAATTAAATAAACAAATTAATTGTTAACTTTAAACATTTGTACAAAATAAAATTGGTAGGCAGTAAAGAAAAGATTAATAGCAGCTACTAAACTAGACCAGTTAACTTAGTTTTCAAAACCACAACATTTAAACAAGATTAAATCAGTTAGCAAGTAAAAAAAACAGCTGTTTCATTCCTCTAAACCGTTAGCTTTTAAAATTCACTTAGGCCTAGTTCAATCATTTTCAGGCATAACTTGCCTAGGCTTAAGAACACATTATAAGTCAACCTCATACAAAATCTTCTTCATGAACACTTTAGCGACCTTGTTGAGTGAGTTCCGGTCGAGTTTGTAGCAAGGCAGTGGTGGTGGCGGGGGCGAAGGTCCGTTGACAGTGGTGGGGGAAGCACGCGGGCTACTTACTGTCGGACCTCCGTAAATGCTGACTGGCTCGCATCGCAGATATCCTAGCTTGGCGTAAAATGCTGGCACTGGGTCTATTGCCGACAGATAAATCTCTTGGACTCCACATCTAAAAATATGTTACGCAACTAATTAACAATTGTGACATTATAATTTACTTGATGAGTGAAGTTTTGCAACAATACCGTTTGATCAAGAGGAAAGGTGTGAGAGAACACAAATCAAAATAAAGCATACTCAAGTTATTTGAGACAATTAGTATGTTTAATTAACTATTAATTAACTGAAATGCAAAATTTACCAATTTAACATCAATCTGCACTTATGTAGATTGATCAAATACCTCTGTAGTGAGCTGACAGATGTAATTTTATTAAATTTGGTTACTAAGAAGAGATAAATAAACAATAATCAGATATTTTTAGGCTTTCCAACAAAAAGTGGTTCAATTTATTTGCACTGAACAATTGATTGTTATTTACCTTTAAAAAGTGTATTAAATTAAAACAATCATATTTAGTGGAAATCTTTAAACTTTTATTTCAGTTATTTCTCCTGGTATAAATTAAGTCTCCTATTTATACGAGGTTCTTTCCACTAAACCTCCTTTAACACGTAATTGAGTGAAAATTTAAAAACGTACGTTTTCATGTCCCTGGCCTTTTACTTCGTAGATACTGGATTTGTAGTTTATTATTATGTGTTTTAATATTTTTTGAGACGGGGGCAACATGTTACACACATTTATTTGGTTTTAAATAGGTTATAGGTATTTTTTTCGTATTTTTAAAGTCTCGAAATTCACGACCATGACGTGTCCCTAGGGTACATTTTCCAACTTTCGCGATGTTTTTAGACTAATTATTCATGCCAAAATATATAAAGCCATATTTTTATGTCGTCAATGGTTATTAAACTTACAAAAAAGGAGCATATTATAATTTTATTGTCATTGCAAACTGACTACCATGACAAAATAAGTCTGTCCCTCGATTTGGCGTCACGACCATATGGGAAAAATTTTCAACTTTGGAGCCCGACAGTGGCAAGCCTGGCGTCGATGGAGTCAGTTGGTTTGAGAGACTAGTTCGGGGTGTACGTCAGGATTGTAGTGCCGGTCGTTTCGAGTTGAAAGGAGGAATTACAAGATTAATAAAGGAAAGATTGTGTTTTTTGTAATTTTGGTGTGTCCATGACCGTATTCGATGAAGTAGACATGGTGTTAATTTTTGTTTATAAGATATTTCAATTGCTAGATTAACCTAGAAGTCCACTTTGTATCCTCGAACATGAGGTGCAAGGCTACCGCCAGAACAGAGCCAAATAAAACGTAATTTCACAACCAAAGTTTCACGACCATCGCGGGTTTTTTCACGACCAATTCAGCCTTATGGATTATAGTGTGTTTGGTCGTGACAATAACTTTAATATAATTGTAAATTGAACAGTTTAGTTCAATTGAATGAAACACATATTTTTATTATAACTAACAGTATAATTGAAGGATTGTTTAGAAAGATTTAGATTATTCCAGACAATTCACGACCGTACCGCTTGTCCCTGACCATCACGTTTATGATTTCTATCATAACAATAATTTCAAAAATTAAAATATCGTCATGTTTCAATGTTTTATACACAAAAGAAGCACACCTCTATACAAACATAACGATTTTTCGGGTATCAGGTAAGTTTTTTCGTAGTTATACAAACTTAAAAAGATTTTATTGGCTTTCTTCAATTTTTTGAGTTTTTTTTCTGGAAAGACCAAATGTACCAAAAGCTTAGTGACCTTTTTATTGTATAATGGTCTTAAAAGTAAATTAGTTTATAGCAAAACATAGTTATAAAAATAATATTAACCATTTTTAATATTCATTTAAATGTCCGTTATGGTCGTGGCAGGATTTTGTGTTTTTCCACTAAAGATGCTCTTTAAAAAAAACTACCAAAGATATTGCGTTACCATGGACATTTTATGAAACTTCAAATGTTAATGAAATAAAAAAAATAATAAAAGTTTAGAAAAAAGGGGGAAAAAATGTGCAAAGTGCTTTTCCTGAAAACGTACGTTTTTAAATTTTCACTCAATTATTAAAAAAGCATGATATTTATTTGACATTATATTATACCGGCTTTATATCAGTCATTAAATTTGAGTTTAAGCCAAAAATAGCCACTTTAGGTGATGAAATGCACTTTGCACTTGGAAACCAATGTCTTACTTAAACTTTCAGATATCATAGAACTAAATTGATATTGAAACAGTAATATGTCTGTCGTTTTGTTTTAATTATGTTAATTACCACGCAGATGTGTTAGCTTCAACACTCATGAAACAAATTGCAAAAAAACATTGTCCAAAACCTTCCCTTTATGTTTGTTTCAACTGTCGATGACTAACTGTTACATATTATTAGTTCTTAAAGTTTATCTAGTATTTACGCATCATAAACTGTGATTTTGAAATTTTATAACAAAGACAAAAAATAATACTCACTTGCATGTCTACCTGAAATGGGAGGAATACAAAACCATAAATAAACAGGTGCTGTACACTTGCTACCAAACCAACTTGTTAAATGTTAACATAAATAAAATTACTAATTGATGCTTGTGAGTGTGTAAGTATACATATAATTCAACAAGAAAGGTAACAGCTGTACATTACTCACAAAATATCCTAATACAGGTTAAAATATCAGTTAAAATGTACAGGAGTCATGAAATAACTTAAAAAGGAAGAGTTTACTGGAGCAGGGCACTACAATATTGATTACGCAAAGACTACTTTACTAAAGAGTTACAGTAACATAGTGGTGTACAAAACTACAGGGTGGGAAAGCTTACAGTGTATGATGAATTACAGTTGTGAGAAAGAAAGTAAAAACATCCGGTTTCTAGAAGCTCTACTCCAATCGTATCCTAAAGAAAAATTTGAGTGAAGAATGTTGATGTTGAATAAAAATAGAGTTTTATAAAATTATTTTTATAGGAAGGAATCTGTTATATTATAACAGGTATTGTCTATTACAGTGTATGCGATTGAAAGGGAAAATATTTTTTATCCTGGGTTAGTCAAATTGTATTCAAAACAAAAATAATGTTGTGCAAAGTATAGGCTAAGTTCTACAAACTAAAACATTTAAGGATTTCATCTATGTAAGTGTCTAAACATTGTAAAAATGTAACCACTGCTATGTTAAACAAAGGTTAACGTATTATTTACGCAGTACACAGATAGTATTTTAATCACAATTATAACAAGTGTTAATAAACATTTAGAGGAGAACAAAGTTCTTTAATGGATATACATTTTCATATATTTGGAATTAAAGTCAGTTTGGAGTGAAGAAATGAACACAGTTTGGCATCTATATATTTAATATTTGAATTATTGCTCAAAAATGTTTTGCTGTAGCTTTCTGTTTAAAAACTTACTTTCCCATATTGTTCGACATAACCTACTTAACATAAATTTCACTAGGTCTAAATGTACTTATATAATAATAGTAAATATTTTTGAGCAGAATGTTTACGATTTGCAACTAAAATTTTAAAAGTAAGATGCTAGGCCTACTAAAAATATACCTACAGTTATAAATGAATTATATACAGTTTAAAATGAATGAGTTGTATAGGTCTACTCATCACACAAAGATTTTTCCACCTATTACAAGTCTGAACTCACAACTAAATGTACAACTGTAATCAAATACTGTAATCAAAGAACAATATTATGGTTACATAGGCAATTTAATGTCCTCCCCAATCCAACAAACTTAAAGGACGAGCATTATATTGAAGCTAGCCTAAATAAGTTATAAGAGTGAAAAAATATTTCTTTAAGGGGAAAGGGCGTTGACTTCACTTTCACTTGACTTTACTTTAGGTTTTAATTTATTTTAATTTTTTTTTTCAATGAAGTATCGTTACACATTTATCTTAGACATAGTATGATGTGTAGTAATTTGAATAATAGTTTGTAAATACATAACTTTAACTGCTAAATCTAAAATAGTAAGATGAAAATGTCAGATTATAATAATTGTTATATGTAAATGTCAGATCCAAGGTTTATAAATTACACCATACCTGATTGCATATTCTTCAGTTGCAAGCATAAGATACTTTCCCCATCCTTTACCTCTGTGATTCTTTGCGATAACCACTGTGTAGAAGAAGACAAACATTTTCACTTTACACCATTCAACAACTAGTCATTTGTATCCTTACAACAAATGACAAACCCAATAATTGTAAATGAAAAGTCTTCTAATGGAAAACATTGTAAGCAACAATGAACTGTGAGGATATAAAAGGAAAACTAAAACTAAGGCCTAGATTCTAAAGCAAGGTCTTAAAACCCAACAGTACTGGTAGACCATTAGAGTCATGTTATATGAGTGCTAATGTCACCACGTATTTAGCGGCGCGATACCGTCGGTTCATTTTCGCAATGGGGAGTGCAGGTTATATGAGCGGCATTGTTGTCAGTGAGGCCGGACTGAGCGTTGCTAGCACAACCGTGTTAACGGCGCTGCAGGCGCAACACGGGACCTGGTTATACATAGTGGTGTTAAAGGGTTAAAGTTGGCCAAGCAACCTGTGCTGGATAACCAACCAGAAATGATAATACACAATTGGTTAAATATAACCAAAAGTTAACCAAAATTACTTATGTTGAGTTTTCTGTTCTGATACAATTTAGTAAAGAAAAATCACATTTCATTAAATTCACGTAAGTTTAGTTATGTTTTAGGAGGAATGAGAATATGTTATTGGTATTTTATATTTGAAAACTGTATCACTTCCTAAAAGTCTTCCCAACATGTGTAAGAATCCTAAACAGCCTAACTGGATGGTTTCTATCGTGGAAGTTAATGATGCGACGACAACACACTGTCACTACTGTATGTACAGGGTTACTACTCGGTACCGATTTTTGTAGTACGCTGTGGTTGTAGTATTATGTATTACCTGATAATTCAATGCCTTGTAAATCCTGCAACAATGTCGCTCGTATAACATGGCCCTTAAACATTCTTTAAGAAAACATCCAACCATCAGACACATTCGAAAAATCACATTCTGAAGGTTGCATGGATAAAGTTAGGTCTATACCATGGATTGTTAGGATCACGCTGATTCCTGCAAGAACTTATGAACATTTTGAGTAAGAGTATGGTACTTTTTCTTTCATTTCATTTTCACAGAATGCCTATCTTTCATTAAAAATAAATAAATTATATTTTATATTCAAAATATAACTTTAAATGTGAAACAGCCTGTAAATAGGTTAAAGGACTTAAATAATATAAAATAAATTAAATCATCTTACCAGACTCCACAAAACAGGCGTCAGGAATAGACGGAATCGCTGACAGTTTACTGTGACCAACTACTTCTGATTTGTTATAAATCATCACTAAAGACGTGGGAAAAGTGTCACAAGAATTTTTCAGACTCCATATCCTAGAAAACACAATTTTACTTGTCTAGACTAAAATGATGGAGGCACTTGTAAATTAAAATAGAACACAGGGGAGTGAGGTCTATTGTGTGAGCCACGACTATATTTTTGGACAATACAAATCATTCCAGAAAGTTTTGGGCTATTCTTAGACATTATGAGATGTATTTCTTATTAATGCTTTTAGGCATTATCAAACTTTTTTCTTCCACATTATTAGATGCATGATTTTGTGTATGTACTCTATTGTTGTCTTGTAAATTATAAAACTTTCACTCACATTCTAATACTCATCAACTTGATTTGTACATTGTGAAACTAGGTGGCCATCATATAAGCCCATACTAAAATGGTAGGGCAGAGCTTCAATAGATTTGGATACAAACCTAGCTGTGTGACTTCTTTTCCATTCAGAATTTATTAGCTTAGCACACTCTTCTCTGTAAATATCATTTTGGTGCAGAGGTAGCACTTCCAGACATTCCATGTCCATACTTCAACACCTGAGAAAACAAATTTACCTTTTATTAAAAACTAGCTGTACCCGCGGGCTTCGCCCCGTTTAGCTTCATAAGTATTCGCATGGCTCATTCACGTCCTGGTTGAAGTTCGTTCGCTACGCTTACTCGCCTTTAGGTTGGAGCTCGTTCGCTGCGCTCACTTGCCTTCAGGTTAGCTCGTTCGCTACGCTAACTCGCCTCAAGGTTGAAGTTCGTTCGCTACGCTCACTCACCTTTTGGTTGGAAATTAGCTGTTGTCATAAATAAAAAAAAAAAATAATAGTGCTGCACCCTGTTGGTAATCCTTGTAACTTTTATGCTGTTGAACATCATAGAACAGAACCAACTTGTTTAATTGAGACAGCTGTTAAGATTCATTAAATATGAAAAATCATAAGATTAACATGGGGAACTACAGAGCCACTGGGGCGGAGCCCGAAAGGGTCTTTGAGATAAGAATATGCTTTAATGTTAATCGGGAATGTGAGCTATCATCATGCCAAATTTCAGCCCAATCCGTCCAGTAGTTTATGCGTGATTGAGCAACAAACACACACACAAACACACACACAAACATACACACAAACATACACACAAACTCACAAACTTTCAGATTTATAATATTAGTAAGATTGGGAAATGAACCCTATTGCTCTTGTTGAAGAAATATGTTATGATTTCTGTATAAATGTACAAAACTCTTAAGAGCACACCCTAGCTGGTTGTGTTATTTGGATCTGGTTCTATCTTTAGTTGGATCTCAGTATCTATCTTTCCAAACGCACGACCATGTTCTTCAACACTTTTTTAGCCAGCCAGCTGCTTCATAGCCCTGTTAGTTCATCTGACTCTGACTTGACATCTGATGATTCTGTCCTGTTAGTCTCGGTTTTGCCACTGAGAATGACACATCTTAGCATGGACGAAATATCTAGTATTGTAATAGGCCTAATGTAGATAGTATAAATACCAATTTAAAGCACCTTTCACCAGGAGACCAAGAATGAAGATCATTGTTCAGGTCTACTTAATTTGAGTAAATTTATTAATAATATAAAATATTGTGCAAATACAGTCGACCCTTAACAATTCCAAATTGGTGGGCCAACCAAATAAATTTGAGTTATTAAGAGGACTGAATTATTGAGAGGTTTGATTTAACAAGAGAAAAATAAACCATTTGAATTACAAAGAGTTAATTTCATTAAAAGCCTAGTGTATTACCTATGTAAGTTAAAAAAGGTTCCAATAAAACAGCTTTTAAATTATATTTGTTACTTTACAACAAACAACAGGTTATTTTTTATTTTTAGTTAGTTACCAAACATCTGTTATATTTGTTGCTTTAAACTATTGATTCTTGCATCAATCTTTAATGACATTATTTAAGACAAACTTCTATGGGGTACACTTTATCTGTTGGCACAAACAACCAATTGAAAATATCGATCAATTTATCAATTTTTCGATATATCGTTTGGTTAGTTAGGTAAGGTTAACCTAACCTAACTAACCAAACGATAAGTTATATCGAATTAAACAATCGAATAATCAATATTATTCAATCGGTTGTTTGTGCCAACAGATATGGAAGTGTACCCCTTCTATGGGTTGTGTTGTTATATCCACAGGATGTATAGTTTCCTGTTATGGCAGGAAGGAATCCCTCCCTTCAATTATAGTATTTTGCCAATTAAACTTCTTCTAATTACTGTGTGTTCCAAATCAGCCTACCCTCTGCTTGGGTCCAAAATAATGAGTTTATCATAATGCATGCTATAACTTCCAAATATTATGAGATTCTCTACGGACTTACTGTACTTGGTAGGCCTACCTAGCCCTCAATAATTTAGCCTAACACGATGAATATTTTGAGCCTGATAAAAAAATGTAGACTTATTATATAATAAGTAATAGGTAGGCTATATAACTTAGGTTAAATTTAAGTCAGTGTAATTAAGATAAATCCAGGATATAAATGTTTACAACCTAGTAAATAACTTAAAACAGGAACATCTATAATACCAGAAAAATTCATAATATTAATTAATTTAAATTAATTTACTAGGCCTACATATTATTTTGGTGTCACAACATTACAAATAATAGTATTAACTTGCCGTTAAGATTCATTCACTCTGAGTATATCCACAGGTTTGTTTGTTCTTGAACCCACTTTAGCTGGAAGATGGTACCTTGTCATAGCAGTATAGTTTACTCATAAGAATAGATTTTGAATACCTAGTAAGTTTGCGAAGTTAAAATTAGTTCATCTGTTAGCACTTCTGGCTGCAATAGGTAGGGTTATAATTTTCAAAAAATGAAAATGACGTTTGAGTTTGTGCGAATATCAGGGTAGCCAACTTAACGGTGATAATTATTTGTCGTGCACTATGCCGCCATGCTGTGGTGTAGACAGTGTGGACATAGCATTAAGCTTAAGCCATAGATTACAATAGTCCATGATAAAACCTCATCGCTTTGTTAACCAATCTCTGATGATGGTTTTATTTTTATTTTATTGAATTATGTATTGACATAGCCTATTATGTAATGTTTAATGGCCAAATAAACAATTTGAATTTGAATTCGCTTTATTACATCAATTTTTTACCCAATTCTCGGATTCATTTCGTCATTATGAAAACAAATGTCTAGGAGGGCCTTTGGTATGAAAATGTTTAGGGGTTGGTATGAACCATGGCAAGGGCACGTTTGTCGTTATGGTGTGGGGAGGAATGTAGTTTGTTAATTTCTGACCTAGCCTATTACTTGAATGTTGAATGGCCCAATAAAATTTAGATTTTGATACCTGAAGAAGGCACAGAGGCGAGGCAGTGGCCATTTCCAGTCGTATTGGTCAAAGTTTCTGTGCTCTTTACCAAATCCGGTCGGGTATTGGCAAGGGAGTTGGTGGGGTTACTTTTGTGAATACATTTATGTCTTGTTACTCACTCACCCCTAACCCCAGCACTGTCAAATCAATATAACTGATACTAATGTTTTAGTTAGGCTAGTAGTGACCCGTCCGCGTGCAGAGAATTTTTGTCTGAACTGTACTAAAAGGGGCTTACAAAATAAACAGATTTTCACTGAAAGTAATATTACTCTTTTAGAGTATGAGAATCTCCCCTGTCTCAGGGGAAATGCCCTTGTAACTAATATTTCCATTCATAGGTCATGGTTAGGTAAAAGACTCTGTCGCAACCAACCTCGACTTCAGCAGACACGTGAGGGAATTTTATATTGCAATTAATTTTTGATCCAGGAGGCATGCGCGTCGTGAGCATGGGCACATTTACCCACACATTGAGGCACATGGCACATGTGCGTCGAGCTGTTCGCGCCTCACATGTGCGCGCACAAGCGCCCTAGTGTGTGGGCCGCTTTACTCACCACGAAAGCGTGAGAGAATGATCGTTAACGGTTCATTATGACGCATAGTTATTAGAATCGTTTGTTGAATCCTATTCTTTTAAATGGTTTTGTCATTGTAATGAATAAATAAATCGTCACCAAGGCCTCAATTTCATTCGTTCAACCCCATTTGATTTTATTTTATGGGAAGAATGTGAACTAAGCTTCAACACAAAAGTTGTATAAGAAGACAATTAAACGACATCTTTTACAATGATGCACTAATTTACAAATAAGTAGATTGTTTTATTTTATTTTCATAGCTTATAAGTTGGAAACGTAACACGTAATAGCTGAAAGATATCAACACACTCATGATTGGGTTTTAATTTGGATGTTTATTTTATTCTATGCTAGATTATTAATTTATTGTCGTTATTAGGGTGCGGCAAAATAACCTCCCGATTTTTGTTGCGTCGTGGTGAGTGGTGGCCGGTGGGAGACACTTAGAGTGGTGGGGATGGCGGCCGTCGACGCGGGGGAGAGGGAAGTTTATGTGGCATCATTCGGCTCGTAGACACCAGTCGCCATCATGGCGTGGACGAGTGAACACAAAGCCTTTGCAGTTGAAGCGTTCATTCGCAACAATGAGTCTGTTATCGCGGCACAGCGTGCTTTTCGAACGCGATATCAAATTCCTCCTCGTGGATCTGTACCGGACAGAAAGACTATTCTGTTGTGGGTAAAAAACTTCAGGGAGACTGGTTCAGTTGTGAAAAAACGGGGTGGAAGACATCGTAGTGCGCGTACACCTGAAAACATCAATGCTGTCAGGCAGTCAGTGTTGCAGTCCCCTCAAAGATCAGCTCGCAAACACGCAGCCGCCCTTCGGATGTCTGACCGTAGTGTTCGTCGAATCCTTCACATGGACCTCCATTTTCATCCTTATAAGATGGTTGTTGTGCAAGAACTGTCTCAACCTGATTGGCAGAGTCGCACTGAAGCTTGTCGAAACATCTTTTGGAACGACTTCCACCAGACGCCATTGTTTTTTTCAGTGACGAGGCACATTTTCATTTGTCTGGCAATGTTAATAAGCAAAATTATCGTTATTGGAGTCAAAACAATCCCAATGAAATCCACGAGAGACCACTTCACAGCGAGCGTGTAACTGTGTGGTGCGCTATTTCACGACTTGAAATCATCGGTCCATATTTCTTCAAAGAAGAAGGCCTTGCAGTGACTGTGAACTCACACAGGTATACCAACATGATTCAGAATTTTTTTGAACCAGCATTGCAAGAGAGGGATTTTGAACATGTATGGTTTCAGCAGGATGGTGCCACATCTCATACTGCTCGGTTAACAATGGCCGTTTTGCGGCAGATGTTTCCTGGCAAAATTAATTTCTCGGGGAGGGGACATCGCGTGGCCAGCACGATCCCCAGATCTCACTCCATGTGATTTTTTTTATGGGGTTACTTGAAGGCCGAGGTGTTCAAACGTCGCCCCAGGAATCTGCCAGACCTGAAAGAGGCAATACGCCAGGAAATTCTGCGAATACCTCAAGCCATGCTCGAGAGAGTCCACAACAGCTTCAGAGTTCGTCTGCAGCAGTGTATCAACAGTCATGGTCACCATTTAACAGACATTCTTTTTAAAACTAAGTAAAAGTAAACTTCCCTTGTTAGAGAATAAGCAAAAAAAATAAAAACTGTTTTATTTTGAAAACCTGTTTTTTTATTTACGTTTAAAAATATGGAGGTTATTTTGCCGCACCCTTATGATATTTCTTCTCTCTTGCCTCTCTCTGGAAAAAAATATCAGCCAATATTTCTGTTGCTGTCTGTAGCGTCTGTTTGTTGTAAGTTGCCAGTTTTTTGTTCTGCTCTAAGATTTGCTCTTGCTGTCAAAGTGAACAAAAATTGATTAATTGATTACAAAACTAGATAAAGTTAATGTTTTTAACTGTCTCCTGAATAGTTATGTGATTATTTTGATCCTAGTTATTTATGGTTATAATTCTTTTTATTACAGAAATTAATTCGTCAATGATGTCAAGAAATTTGTTTTGTTTTGTAATCTTCTTCTCTTTTTTGTGTTATGTAAAGGTAAGGGCCTTAAATCTTAGCTCTAGACATGGAATAGTTTGGTAATTTGGTTATGTATCATTATATTCTTTGAATTTGTATCACCTTATCACTTAATTGTAATATTTACAAATCTGAACTGGAATTTCGAGGGGTGTTAAACAGATAAGCAATATAGGCTAAATGTACAATAAGTTAAGGCTTTCCTTGTCAACAGATTCAACAGTAAAGGGTTTTTAATGTTTCTAATCCCTGGACATAGGCCTAACATTTTTTCTTCTCGACAAGGCCTATTCCTGATATTAAGTAATGTCCTACAACTAACCTAGGCTACTAAGTTAGCAACTTAGGCCTAGGCCCCACAGTAACACTGCTTGGGACAACACTTCAGAAAGTTCTGTGTCAACGTCAACACAATAATTTAATCCTTGTTGACATTACGCTAAAGTCACAACCTTGATGGGGTACAAATACAGTAGAGCCCATGATATATGGCCTCAGTTTTACTATTTCTCCGTTTATTCAGCCTTATTCTTAGAAGCCAATATCAAAATGTTTCCCCTTGGCTTGCAGGTGCATAAGTTGAACACACTATTTTCTGCGACCCAAATGCACTAAAGGTTCATCTTAACTGTTTTCATTCAATGTCCTCCCTATTGCGGGAGATAATGATGTCTTTGCGACCGCTGGAGATGTTCAATATTTTGCCACAATAGCGGGAGATGTTCAAAGGACTGACGAATATAGCCGAAGGTAACATGGGCCCATAGCTTAAAACATCTAACTTAGTCCTAGTCAAACAATCCTGACCCGAATGAAGCCTCTAAACAGTTGTCTTGTATATTGTAGTTAAACAACTGATAACCACTAGTGTATACGATGAGATTGAATTAAAAAATTCTTTTCCCACTTCTAGGCCCAGTCGTACGATGATGCCCGATGCAAATGTGTCTGCACTGTTGTCAATGGAACACAGTCTTACAAGAAACTATACATAGCTCCTGTACCACCCAATAAGTGAGTAATCATAATATCTGAGATACTTAACTTATTATTGTAAAATGTTTGTTAAAGCTGGTGTTTTAAGCATGTAGTCCTATTTAGCATGAATGAAGGACTGTTGTCATAAAAAGTTGTATCTGCCCACTCCTCTTCTTTACCACCTTGTATCTGGTTAAACCTGTTTTTAGAACTACAAAAAGACTCCGAGAATAACTGCCAATAGCAATACTTAATTAACTTGTTTGTTTTCTTAATCCTTACAAAAATTTGTTTAGGTAATTGATTGTGTCAATAAAGCGAAACATATTTAAAATGTACACTTTATTAAAATAAAAAAAATAAACATTCTAACAATATGACACATACTTTCTTCGATTAGCTTGCAACAACTCTTATCATGGCACATGAGTAAGCGGTAAGAGCAGTGCTCGATTTGTAAAATATGAGGTGCCATAACTGTAACCTATTTAATGTAATTAGTACATATTTATGCCAATATTTTTATCTTTCCGAAAGAGAGGTACTAGAACTCCGTTCTGCTGCGTTTCCCCGCAAATCGAGCACTAGGTGAAAGTAACTTTGGTAATTTATTGGGAAAATTTCAATAGGTTTTATGGGGAAAATCACAAAAGTTGCAATAACTTTTGAACCGTAATTTTTAGAGCCATTGGTCATTGGAGTTATACCATCTTGTTCAGAGTCAAAAAGGTAACAACATACTAAATGTTAAACAAAATCTTTCAGGCTAATTTTGAGAAAATTTGATTTTTTTGTCATTTTAATAATGAATAGGTAAAGCCAGTAATAACCCAGATCAGATTTACAACTTTTTGGGGTTGGGCAAACTCCTCCTGAGTTGTATACAGACCTGATCCAGATTTCATTTTAACCAGAATGGACGAGTGACAATGCATCAGTTGTTGATCATACTTAATGGTCCCGGTTAACCCAACGATTAAGACAGACAAGTACCAAGTTCTAGGTCCAACTCTCATGCGGCTTAAGCTTATATATAACTTTTGTTAAGGTACAATTTATCAGTTGTTTTCTTGAATTTTGCCTGCATAAATAGTAGCAAGTGAAGGTTTTGCAATGTTAAAACTTTGATGGCTGAAGAATTAGGGCTTAAAATAGATTTTTAAAGTATTTTTGTGTATGCCACAACTATGTACTGAGTGTTTTGCGCCTCAGTGACTGTGACGGAGTCAGTGTTCCGGTGTTGGACAACCTGAACAACAAGACTCAGGCGCAAGAGCTCTGTCCTCGGTGTGAGTGCAAGTACGAGAGCCGCAACACTACCATTATAAAGGTAACTAATCGATGTTATGTGGATGTACATAAACTCACTATTGGGACACCTAGAGTCTGAACACTTGTCTATACAAAAAAGGTTCAACATATCAGAAGTTAAGTACAGTCGAGTCCCGAAAACTCGGCGTAATGTGGACTGGAAGGGTGCCGAGTTTGTGAAATGTTGGGTTATTGGGAACTAGGTTTATAAATAAGAACAATACAATTTATAATCCTTTTAGCTGCCTTATTTATTTATATTTATATTACAAGTCAGTATTAAGTCGTCAGATATAGTACAATAAATCCTTGGTACGAGTTGGGAATGATTTAACTTGAGCCCATGTTCAACTCGTACTCAAAAATGACTAGTTTTCTGAGCCAGGTGATGGCCGAGTTATCCAGACTGCTGGGTTATCGAGTGCCGAGTTTGCGAGACTTTACTGTATGGTAAATTGATATACAGTATCTCAGAGCCATTTGAGTGTGCAAAGTTAGTTAACTGTAGTAAGTAGCCACTACATCATTATAATAAAATCTATAAGTAGTATAAAACAATGGTAGACATAACTGTAAGGACAAAGTGTGTGTGAGAACTTGAGCCATACGCTATAGGTCGTCTCAACAATATCTATGATGAATGTTTCATCTTGCTACATGTAATCCAGAGGCGTAATGAAAATTATGAATATTTATTTATTGAACACCAACGGTGGTGTTCCTTGTTCAGTGAAATATTCTTCAGTGATGATAAGTAGTTCCAGGAGACACTTTTGCAACCCTTTCTTGACAAAAGTTTTTGCAAAGTGTCCAAGGTCTTCTCAGACCAAACAAAAACTCTCACACCCCTAAAACTAAACACTTAGTAGGTTTCAAACTTTATCCAGCAATCATCAATTTTACTAATTGTTGATTGGGCTTATATTGTTAATAAAATTCATTTTTGTAGCACCGGAAGTTTAATGTATAATATTTGGTTTTACATTACCTTTTATCAGTTCCAAAAGTAACCTTCCTCTGAGTGTTACATGTTCCGGCGAGCTGCCATTGTAAAATACTTCATTTCAGGAATATACATTAATTCCGCCCAGACCCGAGAGCAGACACACAAAAATCAACTTTTGCCCAACACCGTATTGACAGTAATCGTGATATGTATGACATCAACACCGGTCTGCAAGTCCTACATTACTGTCAAAAGGGAAATAAAATGGACGTCTTGCAGGAGTTCAAAATTTTAAATCAATAACAAATCTGGATTCCAACAACCATATCCTGAATGACAAACTCCAGTTTAAGTAGAATATAATTTTTAACACGCTACTACAACAAGGAAACAAATCTGATCAGCTGTCCACAACAGATAACGAAGATAATTCAACCAGATAGCGCTGACTTGAACCCTCCACCGACAGTCCGTTCCCGCTCGTGTACCGGCAATGTTGCATACTCGTGATAGGCCTATCAAACTAAAAGTATTTATTTGCATGTCGTGCATGTCATGTGTTTGTCGTGTAATGACAACGAAGCTATTCAAGCGGAATTAATGTATATTCCTGTAATGGATTGTTTGACAATGGCAGGTCGCCGATTCAGTTACTTTTGAACTGATAAAATGTAATGTAACACCATACTTTATATTGATAACTTATTTTATTTCAAACCACTTACCTTTGTAAACTATAACAGTAGTTTGTTACAGGTGGTGGTTATAATCGTCATCTGGATCATATCTCTGCTGGTGATCTACATGTTGTTCTTGATCTGCTTGGACCCTCTGCTCAACAAGAGAGCCAAGAGTAGCTATGTGGAACACACCAACGAGGACGTAAGTTGTATCAAACACTCAGATCCATACAAGATCGCCATCATCTAGCTGTAGTAAATGTGGACGTGCATGTCAAACTGTTGTTTCATTTTGCCATCCCTTCCCAAGAATATGAGTAAAATTTAGTACTAGTTTGCCTGTGGCTAGAATTGGAGCTGAATAAGCTTATTTATGATTAATTTGGAAGTATTATTTCTTTGGGTTATCCGTTTACGGATAACCCGTATTGGAGCCTTAAGTTTAATTTATAATGGTGACCAATCTAAATTTAATATTTTAAGCTAATAAAATAGCTTAGCACCACACAGAATTATTTTTCAAATTCTAATTATATAGTGTTGGTAAGTTGCTTAGTTGATGGCAAAACCTTTGCCTATTAATACAACAGTAGCCAATAGTCAATGATAATACATTCCATCCATGAATGACTCAATGTGACCAAAGTAGAAGGCAAAATATTTGTGTCTTGTGAAGTAATAGTTAGAGAAAATCAATGCTATAGTAGATATAGCCTAGGTTAGTTCTCAGCATGTTCACTATCAAAGTACATGGGGAAAGTCTAACATGTTTACTAGCAGGTGGTAGTCTTAGCTAGCTGTAACTGCAGTGGTGGCGCTTCCATAAGGGCCAAGTGGGCCGGGCCCACCCAAAATAAATTGTAAAGTATATTTTAAAATACTTTATAGGTTATTTTGTTGATATTATTTAATAAGCTGCGATATAAATTAATTTTGAACTTTTAACGGGTCATAACTTTTGTTGAAATTCAATTCAATCTTCATCTTGTAGCACATTGAAGGGCCACGGATTTCGGGCCCTTCTAGCCACTATAAGAACGTAATGGACAAGGCAACGCTAGCTGGCGACGATTGACTATCTCAATGCTTTGGTATATGGAGCAGAGTGGGCCAATTTGAGCTGGCCTACTGGACATTGATTCTCAATATTCTCACTGGGAGTGCTGAGCGCTAGTGTGGCTTGGTTTACATCCCGCCGTGTATGTTTTACACCAACCGGCAAACGGGTTGTAGTTATAATATTTATGAAATAATAAGTAAACACTTAGTTAGTTTTGTTTTTGTGATATTATTAGTACAGATTTATTAGAGTAGCCAAATTATGGGTTTAGTGATCATAAAATTGAAAGGCTAATTTAAAGGTAATGTTATTGTGAAGTGTGGTTCAAATAAGGTTAGGCCTACAACGGCACTGCAATATTCAGAATTGGGAGTTATTATTAAAAAATACAGTTCTTGCCATGATTTAAATAGTAAATTTACAGGCTAATTGTATGTTTGTTTGTAGATAGTTTTAAAAAAGGCCAATGCCTATTAGTTTCAATGAAACTATCTAAATCTAATGTAGCCTAACCTCCAAATTGAATAAAATAAAAACGTAGCATTTTTTAACCAACCCAACTTCTAATCAGGTGCCTCAAATAACACCCCATCTAATTTATGTCAAAAATTTTGGGGGAGGTCTGGGGGTTATGGATTACCCCTAGTGATGTAAAATACCCGGGTATTTAAAACTCAGGGTAAATACCCTGGGTATTTACCCGGGTAAATACCCAAAATCCATAAATACCCGGGTATTTTGGGTATTTATGAAATCGATTGAAATTCATTTATATTCACCCCTAAATATGTTATTGTTATCATTACATGAAAAATTATGATAGTCTATAACACCTTTTACAGTATCTTGAAGCTTTGCTAGTACCTTTTATTTAATGATTAGCACTTTTTTTTTTAATAAAACATAAAGTTTTTAAATAAGAATGGGGTTTCGTTTTTTATTAAGACAACACCTCATCAGAGAAATAGTGAACCTAAACCCAGGGCTAGAGATATACAAGGGCTGGCTCACTCCTTTGATGTTAGCGGTCGCCGCCTGATCCTACTTCCCCTCCCCCGCCCCTCCTCAGTGACGTAGCGGAGATACATCGGCGCGAGGCGCGACGGTAGCCTAGCACGGCAGTGCATATGTCGCCCGGCATATACGCGCATATTAATAGTTGTGTTTATAATAATGTAGTTTTATAGTGTGATTTTTAAAGCGGGTTTCGTTAACACTCCAACTTGCAATGGGCGAACTCTGTAGTGGCAAGGCATTTTTGGCGATTTTGCAGTCATATTTTTGAAAATACATATAAACTAAACCAACAGATCAAACCTATGAACCGTATTTATTACTTCCAACTTGAAGTGTTCATAATGAAATGAAGAATTTGAAAATGGCAACGAAATAAATATTAAAAATATTTTAGAAAATATTATCAGTAGGTAGAAAAATTGCTGCATGAACCCAAAATGTTTCATAAGATATACAAATTGTTTGGAATTTATTTCCCTACATGGAAATGTAAAAAGATTCCAATTACCATTTATACAAAGTTATGGCCCAAAAACAATAAAATGACAAGTTTCACGATTTTGCACAACAAATTTCAAATAAAACCCAAATAAATGTGTTACCAAGAGATAAAGTAAAACATTTTTAGGCAATAATATTGGAGATAAAATGAAGTAAGAATTGTTTATGTACACTGACATTGAGTATATACTGATCATTTCAATAGATGTTTATGACTTTTAATAAATGTTCATATTTGTCTAGAAAAACAGTTTGTTATTCACACGTGTATATTATTTTAAAAACCCAAACCAACTATATAAAATGAAAGTAAACTTATTCCCCTACATGAATATACATAGTTAGTTATAAAGGCAAATATACAAAAATAAATATTTTAAAGTTTTTTCTATAAAATGCTGATGTGCCTTTTTCATTTGGCGATTAAATCGTTTGTTAATTATGACGAAATGTTTCAAAAACGGGCTAAATGTAATGTCCCAGACCTCAAATTGAGTAAGTATATCCACATAAAACAGTTTATAAACTAAATAAGTACAATTTTTACAACTAATAAATACGATTAAAGTGATAAAGTCAAACCCGCGATATTCGTTGTCGGTAAACAGTCAATGAAGTTCACAAAAACTGGCTAAAAAATAGTGTCTCAAGCTTCTAAAAGTAATGTCACATTACAGTCGAGGCACAATAAATGATATCGTAACTAAACATTTACAACGTATAATCACGATGTAAACTGATAAAGTAAAATCACACCAAAACTCGACTTTTTAGTTATTGGTCAACAGAGATTGAGGTTAGTTAGTCAGGCAACTTAATGTATTTTTGCAACTATATGTTATTTTAATGTATTTGAAATATGTAGGGCATATAATAAAATGTAATTGATTAATTGAAATTCTTTTCCTTCCTGTAAAAGTTTCAAAATACTAAGTATAGGTAATGTATTTTTATACAACATCAATGTATTTTATATAACTTCAATGAATCCTAAAAGGTATGAATAAGTAATAAATAAATACAATTAATAATCCATACATTAAGATACATTCGAGCAATACGAACACAGATATTACACAGTAACTTTAATGCATTAAATCAATAACTACAGTAATCTTAGCCATCGCTTTACATTCCACTCCCATCCTTAAATATGTACTAAAGTTAATTTTTTACTTATTAAAATTGATGTTATACGTCGTAATCCTATTTGAAAATCAATTACTTTTATAAAATACATTAATACCTAATAAAAAAGTCCAACATAGGGCTTAATAAATGCTAAATGTGCGGTAATATCAACGCTCACACAGGCAAAGATATACGGTGCCGGGAGCCCTACTGTCGGGTCAAAAAGTATAGATACTCGAGTTTGAGCTTTTATTGCAACGTAACCAGTAGACTTAGAAAAATACAAGTTACATAATAATTTTACAAATTTATTTCTACGTTTATGTGTGTAGGTTAAAAATTTTTAATGCAGTTTCAACTCATCCTTTCAGCGGGTTGAATGAAAAAAGTACACGTTTTTCGGCACTTTTCTATCAACGGGCGACTTTAAAATTTTATAACAAAATAACTACTGATCTAATCGTCATGAAACTTTGACAGCCTTTAGAACATATACTTATAATGGATATCTGTAAGTTTTAGAATTTTTCATCCATTAAAAAAAATTCTGTTGTGGTTTTTGTAAAGGCATTTTATTTCAGGTACGGAACAAGTAAGAAACTACGATTAAAGCTTGAATTAAAGCTCATAAAAAGATATAAATGAAAAGTTAAGTCACAGATTCGCTAATTGGCATTGAATAATTAAAACGTACGTATAATCAAAGCAGATCTGAAACGCAGTAGTGCGTGAAATTTGTACCGCTATCGATTCGCAGGCAGGGAGTTCTCCCTGCCCGGGACCGGTTTTTGGCAGCCCGGGCGTTCCAGCGATGAATCATACATACCACGCGAGGTTATCTGGCTACAAACCACCCTTACTCGTACCACTGAGTCATACTTTACTTAGTAGTTATCTACATTCCATCCCTACAATGTTATTATTTTGGTCTGAACATATTTCCCTCAGTCTGTCTGCGTTGTTCGTTATAATCACACCAGTCAAGATGCCTCGAGCGCCACATTTATCCGAAGGTGAAATTGCTATGATTTTAAGTGCAATATGTTTTTTCAAGAACGAAGGTGTTAAATGTAATGACAAGAGATACCCAGTTTACCAGAAGGTTTCGGAGTGTGTTGGGAAGTCTATTGCAACAGTGAAGAGATGCGGCGCTTCAATGAAGGAGAACGAGTCAGTTGAGGATGAGAATCGACCTAGCAAGAAACAATGTACGAGGACAGGCCGACCAAGTATCAAGCTGGACGATTTTACTCTGGGGGTGATAAGAAGAACTATTTATGATTTCTACCTGAATAAGACGTACCCTACGATTTGTAATTTACACAGAAAACTGGTTGAAACATTGACGAATTGTCCTTCGATGTCAAAAAACACCCTCAGGAAAATTGTACATGGATTGGGATTTTCTTTCAGACGCATAGATAAAAAACCCGTCTTGATGGAGTCAACCACAATCGCTGCTTCACGTCACACTTACTTACGAAAAGTCAAGG